AGCGGGACACCTGATCTATGATACGGGAAATTGATTTGTTTACATCTGACATATGGATACTGTTGAGTAAGATATCTATATTGTTCTGTGATATCCATCTAATGTTTAATAATGTCTTCTCAACGTTTAGACTTTTCCTTCGCTATTTTCGTTTATATTGAATTTATATTTAGGTTGCGGAATAACAGTCAAATATTTGGCTCCATATTTGTTTCCATGTGCAATTGAATATAGCTTAATAGCTGGTGCAATATTTTATAAAATGTTTGAAAAAGTTGGACATGTACGTAAAGAATCTGAACGCTTAGAAAAATTACGTAAAGCTAATCCAAAAACAAGTCAATTTTCTGAATGTCATCGTTCACATAAAGGTTTATTTGTTGGCCTATTATTATTTATGGCAACATTAGTTGCAATGAGTCTATTTTTTATATTTATTGTGAAACGTGATCGACGGAATACAGCTATAACATTATATCAAGGAACTGAGCTAGTTCTATTATCTGTTAGTACAGTAACATGTTTAATTAGTTTGTTTCGTTTACAAGCATTGAAATTAAGTGATTTGTCAGAAGAAGTAGCATTTGATGATAATTTATTATTGATTGGTCTAGTTGGAATGTTATTCTATGATTTATTCCTATTAGTGCCCGCTTTAGAAGCAATACCGAATGGTGTAATTGCAGCCAAATTATATGCAGCTAAGGCTATCATGGAAATGATTCAGTCTATGCTACAAGTAAGCGTTTACTGATTTTGTATTCAAGTAAATTGTATTGATGATAGTAATATTACTAAACATTTTTTTGTGTCTTTCAATATAATCTACAGCTTGACTCAGTTTTACTTTAGGTTAAGTCAGGAAGAAGGTAAACTATGTGACAATCTATGGATGTTGAATACTCACACTAAAGGTTTATGTGTATTCATAGTTTATAAATGAGTGATGACTTAGTGAATGACAAAGTTACTTTACTAAAGCTCAACTAAATTAGCATTTTAAGCAAAGATGGATAGTGGCTAGCAGTGGAATCCAGGACGCGCGTTTCGTCCTATTTGGGACTCGTCAGCTGGATGTACCTGCATTTAACTAACTATACAATGTTGGTAAATTATACAGTTTGATGAACCATGCATTTATCTGCTAAATTGTGTAAAAATATGAACTAAAAATGTTGTACAATATCGGTGTCTGAATCCAGCTATAAGAATCATATGAGCTAGAACAACTGTTATTCTGTGGCCAAAGTTGGTTGTGAAATGTAAGAGCAACTGCATTAAGGCATAATCAGTATGATATTAGTAATTACTAAATCGGATCGAGGAAACAATTAAAATTACATTTTTCCCAAATTAAATTATGAATGATAGCTAAATTGAACATATTTTACTTCAGAGTCAGTCAGTATTGATATACATACTTCCAGACGTTGACACCAATTATCATTTAGCTGATAAGAGACATTCTGGTAGGTACTCTCAAACTATTTTGAAAGAATTTATTCACCGGTCATAGATTCTAGGTGGTATTATGGAGATTGGAAAACCAGTATAATATTTTCTCGTCTTGACGCAAATTGTATTCAAAAGATGAACCATTTTTGGGGATATGCTACTTTATCGTTTGTGTAAATTATGCTGTCGAACAAGTCATTTTATAAGTGATGCACTAAACAACAGGCACTCGTAGATTACAGATACTCAAACAGATTAGAATACTCATAAAAATGTTATCTTATATAACCGCTTCACTGATAAAAAAATTTTATACAGCTATTTTTGACTTTACAAATGATTCATATTTACCTTGCATTTTTAAGCTTGAAGTAACTGTTTTTAAACCCTGAAAAATTCCAAGATTATATGAAGAAGCTGTAGTGATTAGTTTTGAGTTAGAGATTCTTGCAGGTAGCAATTCTCACAGTAAGAACTACATTGAGGACCACTGAAAACCGGTGGGAAATGTATAGTTGTTTTTTTCTCAATGTAAAACATCAACTCTTCCTGTGGTCAAAGCAAGCATCTGCGATTTTCGCAGTGAGTATTTTATCATTGGACTAATAAGCTAGCAACTCGTACCACTAATAAAGCATAGTACTCTTTATCACTACGAAACTTCTTGTCAAAGCATCAAATCAGTTAGCCTCATTGATGAATTTAGATAGTGTGGTTAGATTACATTTACGCGAACTATGTTAACACCGTATGTTGTACATGCTGTTTGTTAAAATGTTTGTATGACAAGTGTTATGTCCCGATAAGCATAATGAATGGTAACTATTAGGATCCATTTATGAACCAATACCATGCGTACATTTTTATCGCATAATTGTTAAATAACTAAACTGTTCATATTCGTGTTCGTCTTATCATGAGCTTTATTGTGACCTATGAACTACTATTATACGATTTACTATTCTTGAATTATAAGCTGTCTATTAACTACTATCTCCCTCATTCACAGCCACTTTTGGTTAAATCTTCTATAAATATTGTTTCCTATTTTATGGTACGATGTGGTCTGTCTGGTTGATATGTAAACCAAGTATGTTTGAAATAAATGATTTATATTGCAGAGGCTAACATTGGTGTTCTGGTTTTAACTGGCTGGGCTAGGCAGGGCAGTAAGCAGTACCGATAAGACCAGACTGCTAGTACGTTTTACGAGTCATTGGTCCGATTGATAATTCACTGCTCTCTAATTGGCGGTATCGTTACGTTATACATTAACAAGGTACACAGGCCACAAGTTATAACAACAAGAAGAAACAAAAAGACAACCAAGATGCTACCACATTAATATGTAGCGAACCGGAAATGAGAATGATGAACATTGAAATCAATTATGAAAAAAAAAAGAATAAACAGCTCTCCCCGTCAAATATCCTTTATTAGAAGCGCTGTTCATAAATGGTGTATTTAGTCAACCAGCAACCATAATTTCATTTAATTCAACTTAAAAACGATATTTGTTAGAATATTTGTTTTCAAGATGAAGTTCCTCGGGGATAACTGGAATAAAGCCAATTTTTCTAGTCGACCAATAACTATCGTAAGTTGTTGCTTTATAAAATACCATTTTATCCTAATGAAACATTGTAATTAATTTGAATAATTAATTAATTTTTTTCATCGAATTTTAGGTATTTTTCATTTTGGAAGCATCTCGAAGATGTGCAGGAACATTAGAACATGTACAAAAAAAACCTGGACGTACAATGATTACATTTTTATTAGTATTAAATTTAGCTATGTGGTTTGTGAATACATTCGAAGTGAAACACGCAGATAATCATAGTATACATATAAATTATTATTCATCTATGGCATGGAAAATTATCACACATATTGCATTACCTTTAATTGTATTTTTTCGTTTTCATTCTACAGTTTGTTTATCTGATATTTGGGCAAATGCTTATCGTTTTAGAACAGAGTAAATGAAATTGTGTTATATCTTTTTCTTCTAATTAGTTATTTGAATTTTCTTCTATCAATCAGTTATCTTTTCAATGTGATACAATGTTGGATAGAGCACTTACTTTTATTTATATAAATTAATCAGGATATTACTGAATATATATATAAATGTGCTTTTATCGATAAGAAATGATATGAAATGTAGTCTTATGTAAAAACTATTCTTTATGTTAAACAGATGTAATGATATACACTAAAATTGTGTTCTTTTTTGTAATACCATGTTCCAAATTATTTTCTTTATTGTTCTATATACTCTGTGTACCACTGAAAGCCACATTCACGTTGACGTTGTGTATATGAAATCTTTATATATATATATATATATATATATATATATCTGCAAAATATATTTTGTATACTTTTTACTGATATTATTTAAACTTGTTTTTAGTTTATGATTTACTGATATAGTACATTACATTCATGGATACATATGGATAATGTAGATCATTTATGATTAATTCAATGTTTAATAATGATATAGAGATCATGAAAGACATATGGCAATCATGTAGAATTAGATTATTCAAAGAATCCCACTAGTTTGTTTTTAATGTTGAAGTTTTAAAAGTACAATCAAATACACTTTATGATATTGATGTATATATATAACATAATCTAAGGATAATAGTTCTGAACCGATTTGGATTAGTAACATAAAGCGAATAAAGAATATCACATTCATACTGGAACAAAGTACTCTTGTAAAAAAATCTCTCTCTTGATTTTTAATCATAATTCGGTTGATAATAATAGTAATAATAATCTATAATGTGATCACTACACTTTCAAGTTATAAAAAAGTCTCCACCAAAAGAAAACAAACAAACAAACTGTTTACAATTATTATTTAAACATAATACCATTTGAATTATATTTTACAATTGAAAATCAAGGTTGAATTATTAAAGAAAAACAAACTAATTACATATTATTTTAGTATTCTGTTTTTATGAAAACAAAACCAGAAGTTACATAATCACAAAAATACTTGATTTGAATATTAATAATAAGAATATAAAGTGAACAAGATAAAAGGCATAAAAATCATAAAATCATTTCGATATTACTCTGTTTATTTAAAAAATATGATCAGGTATACGGTATACATGTACTATGTATATAATGCTGAGAATAATCTTAACAATGCTGATTAATTTATCACATTTATGCGATTATATAGATTCATAGTCAATGCAAGCAAGCATCAAATGAAATACAGGCAAATACATTAATTAATCTGAAAATATCCAATGATTCAAATACACTACAGTAAAATGACTGAATGAATTGTGTTTTCTTTTCCTTTTTAAAATATTGGATTTATAAACAAAAAAAGGAAAAACAAAAGTTGGCTTCATAAATATTTTTTAGTTGTCAAGGCTTATGACAAGAAAGAAACCGATAGTCACTGAGAAAGACAAGTAATGTTATGAGTGAAGGAATAAAGAACAAGTGTTTTATATAACATTTGTTTATTCTCATTATGTATATGCATCATACATCACTAAGCATAATCATTTTTGATCATAGTTTGGTGTAGTTTCATAACTTATGTGTGCTTGTGAATTGATCGGTGCATTGATATTATTAATATTTGTAATCGTATGAGGATTAGTTGAAATTGTTGAAGATTGGGAAAAGTTATCTGAATCATGATACAGTACACTGCTTCGTCTATTAACTAAAGTTTCATTCATTGTTGTGGAATGTGGAAATTGTGTTTGAAGAGTCAATTGTGTTATAGGTAAAGATCTAATTGGCTCTATTGTTGGCGGTAACAACGATTGTGGTTGAGGTGTTAATACTTGGTGGGGAAGTGTTGGGCCAAGCAGATTAGGATAATCATTTATTAATTGATTTGTATCTGTAAAATTCCCAGTTAATCTATTTAAAGCTAAACGTTGATTAACACGATCAATAGCAGCTAAATCTTCATCATCATCACTCGAACGGAAAAGTAATAATGAAGCGGCAGCTGCCGCTGCAGGCAAAGCTTGTGGATTTGAGAAATCGACTAAATCTTGTAGGCCATAACTATTAATTCCAGTAGTACCACTAGGTAACTGAGAAATTAATGTATTCTGATTCTGTTGCTGAATAACAGTTGGATTAAGTAAATTACCATGAAAGAAAGGCATTACCTGTTGTGGATAGGTTAAATTTTGTCCGATATTTTGATTCATTATCCTATGTCTCGGTCGAGATGAATGATGAATCGATGGGTTGTTTGCATTAATTATATGAGTTTGTAGTGGAGCTAAAGCACAATCTTTTTCATCATCTTCTTCCTCATCGATATCTGGCTCCAACTCTGGGTCTGGATCAACATCTACAGGACTAACTTTCTCATCTTTCTCATGTGAAATACCACCAGTAGTATTGGAATTCTGACAAATCTGTGATTTATTAATTATATCACTCAAACAACACTCATTATTACATTCATCTTTATGCATTGAGTTTGTTTTATTGGCTGTATAACAATGAGTTGATGGATGAAGTATATCTGAATGGACTAGATTATGAACTAATGACTGTGAATTAGTTGTGGCTCTGACTTTATTCATCTTATCACGAGCGACATCAAATGCTTTGTGTGATAATTCAGTTAACTTAGGTAACCATTCTTGATAGATCTTTTAATAGTAATGATAAAATAAAACCAGAAAATTTCGTAATCAGTCTCACAGATTTAAACGTAAACATTAATTTTTAGTGTGTTTACACCTACCTTAAAAGTGGGTTTTATTTGCTAAATCACACTGAACAAATAACAAACAAATAATATCTGAATTCCGTAAAAAGAATATCACAAATCGTTACTACTCACATATCATTAGTAGCTTAAAACGTAATTAGACTTCCATCCAAGCAATATGTTGGATAAAAAACAGTATATGTTTTACTGAGTTGTGGACGAATCTGTATACTTGATGGACCTCTCTACTCAGAATAATTTTCCATCTAAGTATTATTTCATAAATTTAGTTTCCGTACCAGTAGAACTGACTGTTAACAGAGTTATTCAGTTAGCTTATCGTAATAATAAATGAGTAGCTACGGTTACTTCAAACATGGAGTCATTTACTTTAAAAACTTGTTCTAGAAAGTGAACAAACATCTACTGTTACGGCTGAGTAAGCAGAAAAAATAGAAACCACCATAGGTTGTGCTTCGATATAACTAACTGAACTAATAAATAGAAAATATATTTCTGATGATATGTTCAACAATGTGTTTAGCTAGATTGTATAAGACTGATATTGAACGGATAATATGTTTCCAGCATTCTCACAAATATTGATGTAAGATTAGGGAATTAAATGCATAAGAACTTACTTTTTTACGAGGACTTCTTAGGAAGTCAGGACTCAAACGTCGATCTGATGATCCGCCTGAATGTTGTAATATATGAAGATAGTTTGGTCGTTCAGGATGTAATCGTTCGAAAAGGCGCTGACCAATACCTGTATTATTCATATTGGTGTTAGCTGGTGTTGTAACCATGGAAAAGGAAGAAAGTGATTTTATGCTCATCTCATCATGTAGTTGAACTTCGGTATTTTCTAAATCCGTACTTAAACCCACATGTATTGTGGGTTGGTGAAATCTAAGATAATGGTAATCATGATTAAAAAAAAGGTCATACGAAAATCAGTAAACTGTAGAACCAGTACAAGAATTCCATCGGAAAGAAACAAAACAAACGAACTGGAGTTCATTTTACTGACAAAGCGTGTTTGTAATCTTGAGAAAATAGATGCTACTTATTGGATTCGAAATCGCGTATATATATAGTAAATATTTAGCGTATGAAAATAGCTTGGATTCACTAAGTGTTACTGATGATCATATAGTCATTCGGACAAGACCTAAACACAGCACTAGTTAAGCCAGACTATGTGACTGGTAATTTGAAGTAGATACGGTAAGGAAAGTGTTTCAAGTCAAATACGATCTCAAAAGTTTATGCTAGGAGTCAGCTTAGGATTGATAATATGGATTAGATGTATTTATCTGATGATGTTGTGTAAATATTGATTGTATGATTAGTTCTTACCAGGTAGTCATCCTTTTAGATTCATACTATTTCTGTCTAGCTTTGTGCTTTACTATTTCGCTTAGTTTTTTTCTGGATTGTATCAATGTGTGATCATTTGAGCTGAAACAAAGTTAGATAAGATAGTTGTTTTGTCTATTTGACGGTTTATGAATCTCACCTTTGTACATACCCAGTCATAAATCTTGATTGGTTCGGTGAGTAAAAATTAACGTTACATTTTCAAATGATCGATTTGATTAATTGGAATTAATATTGAAAAATTAAGTAGGAAACTGAGAATGTATCTATATATTGAGTTAACGTCAAGTACCTTTTTGTGATGAAAACTGATGTAGTGAATAGATAAAGTTTATCAATATTGCTCATTGCAACTGAGTAACTAAATATCCATTCATATACTCAACATTAGGCTGCAAGTTTTCCATATGAAGAGTATTATAGTTCAGATTGACGAGAAGTGAGGTAGACCACGAACTTGTAACATACAATTATTTCCACTTACAAATATGAACAAAACTAAGAATAGTGACCATAGCAAATAACAAAGGAATTAATCTATTCTATGGATTCGCTTCAGCTGCTTATAATTTTTTATCAGAAAAGTCTTGATTCAAGATGGGTTTGATACGTAAATGCCGAATCATAACAAAAGGAGAGCAACTAACCATCCATTTTAGAGAATGTAACATTATCATAAATATTATTTGTACGAATAATTATGTTAATATAAGACTATTTAATATTTTCTTGTGTAACAATAAGACTTCGTAGTATTGTAGTAAATGAGAACCTAAATGGGGAAGATCAATTTATTGTTTAACGTAAAATATGGAAACCGTACAGTATATCATTTGCATATCTTCTTTCAGTTTTTCATTACATATTTCATGATTCTTATAATTCTCTTGTTACTGCGATTGATTCCGCTTCAATTCCTGTTTTTTTCAGTTCAATCTTCTCAAACTTCTGCTGATAGGTATTTCACTTCCTATTAGTGCTACATACCACTTATATCTGTTAAAATAAGTAGCATACACCGCAGTATAAAGAACTAATATAGATAATCAGAAGAATGTTTTGCAGGAGATAAACATGATAAGCGAATAAAATTAACTAACCAGACCGTGAAAATTTAATTTAATGTTAAAATGTATCGTTCATTAATGAAATGTGAATTTTGATGAAAATAAAAAAATTCGCAACGGTTAGTTTTAGGAACTTACTCAGAACCATCATTAAATACATCCGAACCTACACCGGAACAAAATTCATAATTAAATTTAGAATTTTGTTTATTATCAACCATTTCGCTAACAGAATGTCTATGCCTACGAATGTTTTCCTTTGAAGTTTCACAGATATCTCTGTCAGGGGGAATTAAATAATTTAATGTTACTGGGTTATCGATGACAGATGATGCCCGACGATGTGTTTTATTATCAAAGTCACTACTAGACCAATGTGTATAGGAAGAAGTAGACGGAGATTGTTCGTTTGGTATAAGTGTATATTTTATCGGTAACGCGGATTGTTGTATATTAATGGCACAATCAGATAAAAACGAAGGTATATTTGATGTTTCAGAAGATAATATGAATTCTGGCAGATGGGTGGATTCAGTCGACTTATGAATTTTATTATCGTCTACCGATCGTGATGATTCTATAGAGGATAACAGTAAACCACCAGTAAAAGATGAATGTCCAGCACTTCTTTCTGCTTCAAGCTATTGAAAAGTAAATAAGAAATAATTTAAATTATGAGTTATTCAGTTTGAAAATTAGTAAATGTTCATTCATTTGTACAGAAAAACATTGTTATCTGTAAATAGTTTTATACATTGACAATTTTACAAATGCAGTCCTTACTACTTTTGTCTCATATAATGTTAGTTTACAGAGAACTTTATTATACTAAATACTTTTCATATAAAAGTTTAAACATTATTATGTATGAGGATCTACAACTTATCCACTGGATGATCAATGAAACTGAAACTTAATGAATTTCGTTATGAAAGTTAGTAGGAAATCAGCTACACAAGAGAACACATTCAAAAGTTCAGCTTCAGATTTATAAAATGAATCCAATTATAGCTAAGTTAATCACCTTGTCATATAGACAAATGGATAAGAAAACAGATGAGGAAAGTGAGAGGTAAGCATTATAATTCTTTGCAATTAGACATTTTCCTTCGATCGTCCTACCTGTTTTTCAGTGCTGAATGGAAACAAACGCAGTATAGAGGATAACCTGTACGATAAATATGTATGATAATGAACAACTACACACATTATGTCAATAGTTGTGATCACCCCTCGAATACCCAAATTACACCGGTATTCACAGCGAATCATAAAAAAATATTTCGAGATCCTAAATCACTGAATAAGCTTATGATATTGATATGGAATTTTGGAGACCAGTGACATATCGTTAGATAAATCGATCATAAACTAACCTTGGTAGAATGAAGACCTAAGAACCTCATATTCGTCTAGATAGACATAAAAAAAGTGATTTATGTTGACACCGGAATATTTTGTTTAGTTTGAGGGGAAAAAGTTTATATTCAAAGATATATACATAAAATAAAGGTAAACTTCAAGGGATTTTAATCACAATATATTCACTATGAGTTAGCTTTCAAGGCAAAAAAGAGATCCGTCATAGATTACAACTACAAACCGTTTACTTACATTATGTAGCTCAGTTTTCAAATCAGTCAATTCAATACCTGATTGGCTAATTGGGGAAACACTTGGAGCACTTATGTGTGAATCGTACGGTTCATTTGTAATAGAGTTTAATGGACTATCGTCTATGACGGAACTTGATAAATATTGTTGTGTTTTATATTGTACAAATTGAGGAGTACTTGTATTTGTTGTTGCTGTTACTGTATTGCTTGTTTCATTATTTGAACTGACATCTCGACATTTAGTTGTTATTATTCTTGTATTTGGAACAGATGTATCATCAGTATATGGAGAAGTAAAAAATGGATAATTTGAGACTAATTTCTCTTCTTCGTCTTCATCTGCTTCTATTTCAGGAACTGCTTGATGAAAACTAGATGTCACTTGAGCATGTGCGCCAGGATCATATAGGTCATTATACTAAAGAGTATAGTTTAAAATATATATTATTACATTGGTTTGGAAAATTATAGTGAATACGTAAAGAACAATTTTCATGTATTATCCTTAAAATTCATATGATTAATTATATATATATCACCCACTACAGTTAGCACACAACGATCTAAATAAGTTAAATGAATAACATATCATAGTTGACTTAGTTTATTTAAATCAATTAAATGAAGCAGCACAGGAAAGAAGCTGTAGATGCAACCACTATTTGATGTAGATATTGGACGTCGATTATATTCTCTTATAAATACGCTCAATACTATTATCATAGGGTCGAAGTAAAAATCAATACAGTATATTGGAGATCGCGATGAGCTTAAACCACGGAACCAAAATCAGATAATTTATATTTTCTAAAACTGTTTGATTTATGATGTCATTTTATGACAGTATTGTTCTTCAAAATATACAAATTAAGCAATATAAGACACTTCAGTAAAATAATTTGTTTTGTAATAGATGAAAACCGTTTTAAAAGGTGTATCAGTATTTTAAAACCTTAATTTCAATGATAAAATAAAAACAACACGGGTAATATACTTAACTTTATAATTTTGATCAGTTTACGTGGAATTGTTATCGGAGTTGAAGACTCATAGTTTCAGCCAAGCATTAAATTGGAAATCAGAAAAAAACAGGTATTATCGTTAGTTATTTATATGGTGTCGTTCCCTAATGGAAAATATAGTTTGAAAAGTAAAAATCCTTATACAACAACATTAGTAAATAAACTGTATTTGGTATTTTTATGTGAGCGTAATTCGTTTTATTAACTTAAACAGAATAATATGAATTCATGAGAACTTAACGAAATACGATGAATTCATGTTATCTTTCGTAAATCATTGTTCATGAGTTTTCAAATAGATTTTTCATTTGACTTGATGTACACAAATAAGACAATACAAATAAAATTAAATATAAAAAAAATTTGGTAACACATGCTAGTGGATGATAAACATTGTTGAAATTCGAGACTTTTAATCTTTTTGGAAGTTGTAGGCAAGGTATTTATTTAAACAAATTCAATAAATATTTTAGTGGGTCCGTGATCGCTACGCTGCGTTAGGTTCGTCGTCGTTGGCGGGCTCACCATTTTTGTGGATCCTGTTAGGTTCATCCACGGTGGCGGGCTCACCATTTTTAGTAGAGGCCCTTTGGTTTGTTGTCATTTAGATCGGACGATGTTGTCGAAGGGCTCTTCACTTTAGTGGCCCGTGATCTGACTCCAATAGGTCGTAATGATTGTTTGTTATCGCCTATCCTCGTATATAATGATTGACTTTATTCGTGTTAGTCAATAACGGAATTAAATAAGTCAAATAATGAGAATGAACTTGTGAATACATATATTTTGTATAATCGTTGATCGGATAAACGAACAAGAGAACGACGCGAAGATGAGAAAGCGAAGCAAAAATGACGCGCGGTGGAGATGGCTGGTAAGCCAACTCCCCATTTAACCAAACGTTAATCAATATTTATAGGAATACAAAAATAAGTCACATACTGTGATAAACAGTGGAATAAGATGTGTACAAACGCCTACGCGCTCATATGAAGACAGTCAAGATTGATGAGCGAATAATTAGCAAGATCAAAATGTGACTCAAATAGAATGAATAGAATGGGCTGTCCGAAAGTTAGAATAAGGTATTTGGGCTTAACTTAATGACAGAACTACAATATCAAACTTATGCTATTGGTTGAATTATGTACATAACTGCTGAGTTATCTGTCTAATGAGTAAATCTATGTAAGATGCTTGGTCATCAAATTTTCTATACATATAGTAATGATTGTAGAAACTTAAACACACAGTTTGAATAACAAATTTCTGTGTAAAAGTAACCTACTTGTCTTAAACGTTGCTCCCATGCTGACATTTGACTAGCTTCACTTCCACGACGATAAATTTCGGGTATCTCTTCAATATTAAATTTATTTTCACTAGTTATACACTGCATATTTAAAATTTGAGAAGCTGGAATTTTTTGAATCCATGAAGTGTCATGTAATTTTTGTTGAATTTCTTGTAATAAATCGGAAGTTAATGGTTGATGACACCTACATTGTAGTTCATTTTTGATGGTGCCTAAAATTGAGGTAGCATAGTTAGTGTTTAGTAAAATCGGCAATTTAATGAAATGATGTCTGCATTTAAAAAAAGGGAATGAACATATTCATAATGGATTTCTTCGTTATAAAATACTATACACATCTCACATTCAATATTGTTTCAGACTTAGTTGTCAATTTAATTTCTCAGATCATTAAACTACTTGAATCATTTAAGTAGTATGTGATTGTTATTCTAACTTACATTTTCAGTTTCTGGTGTTCTTAATGGTAATCTGCATCTCTTACAAAAATAACTCGAGTACTTACTATTTTTTAATTGCTATGATAGTCGAATCAGTGAAATAATTTAATGAAAAACAATTCTTGAAGACTTACCTGGTGGTTGTCTTAATGGTCCACAATTCACAGGTAAACTAAAACGTTTTTGATGTCGAATAAATTGTCCATCCCATAATTCACTTTTTAAATTTTCACCAGCTTGATTAAACTTTTTATGTGTAAGTTTCCACCATAATCCTAAAGGAAGACGTCTTCTTTGAGAATGTAAAGCAGAGAATAGGGAACGTTGTTGAGCAGCTAATGATCGAGAACGAGATTCCGGGAGTTGCTGTTGTTGGCAGCTTTGTTGCGGCTGACCACTAGATGAAGAGGATAACGGTTTTGAATTTTCACAATTGTCATATTTTGGTCGAGATGTCTGAATCCAATCGGAATTCTTCACAGATGTTGTGGCTCCTTCTATGGGATTTGGTTTTGAATTATGCACAGTATTGATTACAGCTAAAGATGAATTTTCACTCTCAGCACCAGAATCCTATGCACATATCAAATCATAAAAATACACAATGGACACTGTATTTTTGTTCTATTAACTTAAAAGCATTGTAATCCACAAAAATGATGACAATTATCACTGACCCAACATACAAAGACTAAATAAACCCTAAAAAGTATTTGCTTATAATTTAAATCTATACAGTAGAAACTGCTTATTTGAATCTAGTTCAGCTTACAGAAATGTATCTAGTCGAATAGTATAACAGATATTTACAATGCAAAATCAGTTGTGTCACTACTGTATAATATATCTTATGAAACAATCGCAGGATTGAGTTAATTTCTCCTGGACAAGGCAGTATATTAACTTCATCATTATATTTGTAGTATCCCAATAAGTAGAAATCTAAATTTATTGCGTTTCATCACTTAATTTAAGTCACTTTATCAAAGTAATTAAATAAATAAGTGAATTAAATGAACAGTAGTATAAGGAAACGAGAACTTGTTCCCCTAACCAGTTATAATCTATCAGGTTAAGAATAATTCGTTTCAATCGAATGATATCCCTGATTAAAAATTAGTTTTGACCATTGATTATGTTATTAGTGATTCTTTCATCCTACTTTAATCATGGTTATCCCTAATACTGTTTTCAAGAATCCATTTGACCTACAGTTTGATTCAAATAGACATTTAACACGTTTATACCTCCTTATGAGCACTAAACTCTTAGACAAATGATATGGAATCCAGTGATCTACATTTTCAACTCGATTTGTAGTGTGGTGTAGATTGTTTAAAATGAATCATGTAGAACTATTATTACATATTAAGGATAAAGTTTCAATCATTTATCAATACTTGGTTACAATTTAGTTTAGACGAACAGTATCTATTTTCATAGAATCAAAATCAAGAGTCGATCCTAGATAGATCATCATTGAAGGCCTGAAAGCGCTGGACAGCTATTTCATCCTAGCGCGTATCCACGATCCTGCACACGGGAATTGAATCCAGCATCTTCGGTCTTGTGCACGGATGCTTAACCTATAGACCACTTAGTAGTTTCATACTAAGAAGAAACAGCCGTTCAGTGCTTCCAGGTTTTTAATGGTGGTCTAGCTTAGATTGACTAGTGATTTCAACTGTGATAACACTACAATCCCCACATATTCTCCGTACTAAAAACAGTAACTTGTCGATATTGTGTATAATGAGGAGTCAAGTGGTTAAATATAGCAAAAACTTTAAAATAACGAAAAACAAAAATGATTCAGTATAAGTACCTCTTTACGGTAATTCGCTTGTTCCGGATAACTTCCCCCCACCGTGATTACAGGTCGATGAAGTGGCTGTAGATCAGCTGCACCATCAGATGATCTACGAGGAAAACTAGAACTATCTATTAAAAAATGGGAAAGAAGGGTATGAAAATAAGAGAAAGAATTCAATTTAAACGAAGTGGAAAAGATAGATCATATACGTTAGTTCTCTAACAGACCTCAAAACTGATGTCATTGAAACCGATAAATTATTTGCAACAACTTAATAACTCAATTACAGACGATCAAGTAATATCGCACAGTGACTGAAATTAGACTTGTATACAACTCGGCGGTTTAGAGGTTAAGAGCTTGCACAAATATTGAAGGTCTCGAGTTCGAGGTCGTGGATGTGCACTACTGAGGAATACCAAACTAGAACGAAACGGATGTCCAAAGCTTTTTGGTTTTCATTGGTAGTCTAATTGATATTAGTCCGTATTGTAAATAACTTAGATTCAAAAGTCATTAACAGAGAGAATAATATGTAGTAATTTTCGTGGAGATACCTAAAGTTATCAAATTGAGGAAAACGGAATACTTCTCTACCCGATATGAAGCCTAATTCAGTCTAAAAATAGTTTATGATCATCAAGTTCTGGTATCTAGAACTAATTAACCACTGAACAGTGATTAACTTTATGTATGTGAAGTCATTTTTAGCGCTGATCAAATTCTATCAATGCTCAGTTTATATCTGTACACAGAGTATGTGGTATCAAGTCACTTAGACTAGTGGTAAAATTACAACTTGATCTATGAAGTTTGGTCAAAAATACGAGGGAATTGACATACATGACATTGGTCACTACTTGGTGATAAGTAAACTGTACATTTAACTCTATTCTACAGGAGGTCATTCTCCACTAATTGGCAGGGTCTCTGACTACGAAGCTGGGTGACACTAAGTCGAATGAGTTATGAAGTATCGGTTTCTTTGAAATTATAAGGAGATCTTGCTGAAAAGTGCCAAACAACACTTTACTTAAGTTATAGGTTTACGGTCGATTACGTCCAACCATCACCTTAGTTTCTGTGACCAATTAACAAGATAAACTCCTAAAGTTCTAGCTTGAAAAGGTAACTTATGGTGTTCAGATATATAGGGAGTGGGACATTCGTCGTCAACAATATTGAAAGACCGCTGTACCGTATCGTTAATTTACTGTGGGTGATCATATTTTCTTAAAGTATCATTGTTGCCACAAAATTGGGTGTTATGTTTGACTGATAATGTATGTTATTATGTATGCTTACATTCAACCAATAAAAACAGCTGACAAGTGCTACATGTTTGTCAGTGGTTCTCTAACTGATATCAAGCCATGATGAATACTGTCTTCAAAGTGAGGTTAGCAATGTCATCAAACAGTTTGACGGTTTAAAGATTAACAATAAAACAATGGCACTTGAGGATATTGAATTCAATCTCATATTGGTATGTAATAATATACACAATCGTAGGTTTGATCAAATAAGCACTTGTAAAACATACGTGGAGTCATAAACTCTGGCGGAGCAAGTAAATTTGGATCTTTAACAGTAAAACAAGCTACAGGTTGGTGAATCATAGCTGGTAAGTTCGCCGGTAAGTTAAGCTGTGGAAGTAGTGTACGCAGTACTCCAGCTGTTGGATCACATGAATTATCATCATCTTCATCCACTCCACCTGAAATACGAACAGTGGACCAGCAAGGGTCTTCTAGTAAGGTTGGTTTTTCAATTTGGACATGTGCCGTATTCTAAGAAATTTAAGAAAAAGATATTCTAAATGGAGGAATTTGGCAAAAAATTAGAAATACTGTGTAAAGTGAACACCTGAAAAGAAAAATTAAAGCTCTAAGGTATTTTCCATAACCAGATAATACAATGTTGCTTTATGATTCGAGTAAAATAGCTTCAATCAGAACCATTCTTGAATATCCGTTTTATTTTAGGTGGGCTTTGGGAATCGATAGAAAATTCTAAATCTAAGGCTTGTACTTATGACAGGTGAAACAGCGTACAAATGACTCGGATCTTTGAAAAGAATATCTGTCTCGTTCATGATTATACTGACAGGGCGGTTAATTTTTTATTTCAAGTTTATTTTAAACTTATCATTTATGGATAAGGTATATTGAATAGCCTTAACATAAGACTAAACAACAGTAAAGTGTTCGCTCTGTCAGTGATTATTATTGTTTTATCAATTTATATTGCCAAATCCTATCAGATAGTGAGTTTTACCAAATTTTTGTTAGATCACAACAAATAAATATTTTAGGGGAATTTTGTACTACAATATTTTTCAGTTTATATACACAACTGATAAATGTGTGTTTTTATTGGAATTCTGAATATAAAAAACACTAAGAACACTTACATTCACTTTTTCATTAGTCTCTGTGTTCATATCTATTGAAATTTGTTCTGGAATACGATCTAACAGCGAAGGATCGCATGATGGTATTTGTGGATTAGTATATTGTGAAGGAATCAGTTGACTTTTAGACGTAGACTCATATGGGCATTCAACTGGAAATTGGAACGAAAATTATTTATGAGAACAAATAGACGTATTAACGTATTATTTACAAAATAATATGAAATTGGATCGACTTATTTTTTCTTTCAAATGTGTACTAAAACAATCAAGAAACATACAAAGAATCAGAAAACTTAAGATAATTATTTTATCCAAACTCAGATGTAATTCACAACATTGATTCATATATAGTTAACAATAATACCCCAAAATGTGCTTTATCTAAATATCTAGGCAGTATACTGAAGCCACTTCAACATAACGTAAATGATGTTGCATAGAATTCATATGAATTTAAGTCAAAGATCTTGGGATTATTTATCAAAGGGAATGAAACAATGGTAAACTTTGATGTGGTATCTTCCTACACTAATTTTCCAAATAACAGATGTGTAGGCTTTATTCATGCCTCGCTGTAGGATAATATAGCAGATATAAATTAAGCATTAGTTCAGTTACGAAATCAACGCTGTTTATCTTTAAAGGGACTTTATATAAGCAAACGAATGGAGTAGCCGTGTTCCATATTGAGTCGCTTATTTTTGCTAGTACCATCAGACCACGCATCTAGTTCAGATATGCGGATGACACATTTGTCATCATTGAAAAAATCCGCTTTGAAATTTCGTTAGGCTGATTGACAGTTTCTCAAATAACATCGAATTCACTTGCAAAAAGGAAGGTAAACAACATCTTAGACTATTTAGTTAAAACAAATTCTAATGGAAATCTTAGTCAAACTATATACTGAAAACTGAGACATTCAAATCGGTACAGTGATTTTAACTCTGCAAACTGTGTAAAAATTGTCCTGATTCTTTTCAGAAGAGCTAACAAGATCATTACACGTAAAGACATGATGATCCTGTAGAGCCGGAAAATCTACAAATTAAATCGGCAATAGCAGTACATGTTATTTTCAATAGCCACTAAATTAATATTAAACATATCAAAATAATCCAGAAACGTTTTTCCAACTATAAAGAGAAGAGAGCAGCCAAAGCATCTCATATAATGCTGAATTCCCCTATCTTCAATACAAAAAATCCCTGACTATTCGTCCAACCTGGACTTTTTCTTCAAACAACCACACGTGACTTGATTCGTTTTCCGCACAATCTACACACACATACTCACTCAAAATTTTAACTCCGAATAGTCATATTACAAACTGTAGATTTTTTGTTTCTACCATAACAGAATGATGTCTCACATAAAATCGCCTTGACGAAAAATAACATGACATTGACGTGTTCAAACTCACTATGGTTTTGGTTGTAGTAAAAAAATATTCTGCTTCGTTTCCTTTAAAATGTTAATATTATTTCGGTTATTTATTACTTTAAACTGAAGAACTGGTTTAAATTAAGTCACGCAACGTCAGAAACACAAATTTCTACTCATTATGATATCACAAAAAATGTAATAACTAAAAATCTAAGTACCACTTAAATCTCAGTGCAGTGCGTTCATTAAACGAGTTGATCAAAGCACGCCTGATCTTACTGATTGGTCAATAGACCGTACGCATAATTGAACCACATTTATATCTGAGACCGGATTTTCGGATCGTTTTAAATCAATTAATGATAATCGTTAAAAATGTAGTAATTAGCTGTCCATCGGCCTTCATTTTATTGTATTCCAAAAATTAAATTATTTTCTCTAGAATTATTTGACTGGGAATAATATAACAATTTATTGGACTCTCCGACAAATATTAGTTACACTGACCACCAACTATCCACTGATTTCGCCTCTAATCCTTAGTGCCGATTGAATTAAATTAACCAAGTTGCAGTGTGGTCATTAATTCAAAAGAATACGTTTTGATGTTTGGGATCAATTGTCAAGAATCGCTCGATCTGGATTTCGTGATAGTTGTTATTCGTTAGTAGAGCATATTTGTAGTCCTAGTGGAACTAAGGTTACTCATATTGTCTATTGTTGAATTTAAGCTTTTCAGTTCGAAAATAACAGCCACCAAGTGTTTGAACTTCATCCTTTAAAAAATGTCTACCCAACAGGACCACAAGGTTACCAAATTCACTAATTATCTGTTCCCACATAATGGAAAAGTTAATGGCATTTTAATTACCAAATAACACTGCTGACACCATAGGATGACCAGAAATCTTAATTTTTATTATTCCAAACCAATACTTTTTGTATATTATAGTCAGCAAGTAAATATGTTTTATTAATAGAAATCGAAAGTTCTGGATTATGCAACATAAAAATGCATTGTCGACCCAAACACAATAGTTGACACTATTCTTTTTCAAAACCAAAGCCGATTCTCAACAATGTTAGTTAACAAATACCGAAAGTAAGCACAAAATCACAAAAAATCAATTTTCACCTGCATTGGGACATTCTGCTTTTAATAGAAACGTATTACTTTTTTCAGACACCATATTTGGTTTATCCATTACTGTCACATTATAATCACCAACTGATGAGATATTTTCTGTAAATTGGATAGACTGTGATACTTCTTCTGGCAAGCTGTTTTCCTGATCAATTAAAATTGAAACATCATCTTGCTCTCCTTCTTCTTCATCATCACCTGTTGTTGTCTCTATGGTGATTGTATCCCTTTTCAATGATGGTAACTTTGTGGTAGCTGCTTCTTGTCCTAATTCAAGTGATGTTAATGTTTGTTCATTTTGTTTACTGATCTTATTTAAATATGGTCTTGATGATTGTAGTAAATGAGATTTCCGATAGCCCGACTGGGTTGTCTCCCAAGTATTTGGTAACCAATCCAAACGAGTCTAGTACAAGAATATTTGATGAAGCATGAAACACTTTGAAAGGTAGAAAATCTATATTCAAAATTAATTCAATCGAATAATTCACCGATGAAATATTACACTTTAAATATTATTACCATTGTGTATGTTAAAGTTCAACCTAAAGTAATTTGAATATTCAGAAAAATTATTTTATTTGTAAAAATCAGTTGTTTAGGTGAACATATCAGAAAATATAATATATCGGGGAAAGTGTTAACCTTTTTGACATAGATTTGTTATTAAGAACGGGTCTGGATTGTTATTTACTGTTGTTTCAGTGAGTTTATGAACTATTCTCTAATGAATAATCATTAAAACAAACAGATAAAAGAAGGATCAAGTGGATTATCGTAACTGACTACGAAGCTCACTAAACAATCAAACTTGATACATATAGTTTAATAGAGCTTAGATTAGACCCACTTTACATGTTAAATATCCCATGTACTATTTTAATCTTATATTCATCTACTTGTCGGTACCCAAGGGGCTACAATAACTGGAACTTATGTTGTGATAAAGAACCAAGATGCGATCTATAAAATTTGAAGAGATGGTTATTTGGTTGTGGTGTGCGCTTCTCAAGTGAACAGATATAAGTACTATGTAGAGGGGATGGGAAGTGGAATGCTTATCAGCAAAAGATTGAAATGAAGAGAATGCGAAGGAAAACGGAGAGCCATCAGAATGACATCAGAATTAAAAAGATGGTGGAGTACGTAAAAGGCAACTGAAAGATGATGTTTTAATGTATAATCTTCATATTTAATAGTTTTTTTCACTGTTTTCAATGATTGTCTCAGCTAAAGTCGAATAGGGATGTTATAGTGGCCTCATTTTGTAAATTTTAAACATCGTATTGAATTGTAGACAGTAATAAAGCTATATAAGCCATTTTTTTCAACATTCCTCTATACTGTAGTCTTATTTCATGTACGCTTGGACATTTAACTGAAAGCTTGTATAATGGATTCTACGTTTATCATGTGAATAGAATATAAGTATAACATTTTTCTGTCAGTTTCAAAGTTAACTTGCTTCTTAGTGAGTTATCAGACAAAACTTTGCATCTGGATCACTGATACCCTATCGTTGGTAGTAGTCAATTTAGCAATAAGTTTATTCGAAGATATATGAAGCCAGTCGGGGACTCGTACATTTGGAATTCAACCTGACTAAGACATAATATACACAACTGGGTATGTCTCGATCTCTTCAAATTTTGCACAGATTATTCATTTGGATTTTCCTTCATAAACCAACATTAAAAGAGTCATAGGTTCATTTAGAAAAAGACTATATATTTATGATTGTGTGGTCCTGTTGTAACATATAATCTGAAAAATTAACCGGTTTCATCACTGTTGTTCTAATAAAATGATGAGATTATAAATCTGTTGACAGAGACAACAGTTGATAGAAATTCGTATTTTTATTAAGATTTACTACTACAATATACGAATAAAACATTGTTTTTCTACATAAATTATAGCAATTCATATTGTACATGGAACTCTTTGATAATTTTACACTACGATAGTTAAATGACACAAATATATGAAATTTGTTAGATTTTAATTCCTGAATATCATTATTAGTGATAAAATAAGCAGCTCCTAAGAATGGAGGCTTGAATGCTTCCAGCCTAAATCCTGTAAACGACCAAAAATATGAAAATATGTTAGAAAAAGCCTATTATTTATTTTTTCTTGCTATTGTTTAGTAACTATTTATTTTCATATAGTCATCAATTAGGCATTCAAACAATGATTGATCCGATCATAATCAGTTAGAGTAAAAGACAATTATAATGAATTGAAGTGTTTTACTTAAATTCACTACAATAACGTAAAAAGTAACCAAAAGATGTTTTATATATAGCCAGTCAACATTCATGTAACTTACAAGTAATATTTGACCTGAATTATCCGGACTAGTTTGATTATATTGTAATCGATTTGAATGTGGTTGAGTAATTTGACGGGGAAACCGACGTACTGTAGTGCGTTTAACACTATTACCATTAGTCTTACTATTATTACTATTACTGTCATCAGATGAAGAACTTTTGCTTTGATTATTCACATCAGTTAATTCATGAGGTTGTTTAGCTCTTGCATTTGAACTTTTTATGGACATACTATTGATGGTGGTAGAAGATGTATCCGATTGATGATTGTGAACATCATCAGTATTTGTTAAAATATTATCAGGATTATCACGTTGATTGGATGGTTTACGAAATAATGATGTAGTAAATTGTAATGTATGACGTCGTATTGAATTAGAAAATGATTTATTAATTGGCCCTGAATCAATGCCGAAATTTGAGAGAATTTCATCTTCATCAGCCTTAAAAAAAAATCAAGAACATTGACGGTTAATCATTTAATGGAGTAAGTGTTGATAATCGGAAACTTTCTGTGTGCTTCCTAATGATTTCACCCAAAATAAAAGTTACCTGAAAATGACTTTTAAACTAATATTTATTACTTTATTAAAAGTTAATTACTCAATCTAAACGAAATTCTTCAATCAACAAATAACTGAACCTAAGAATATGAATTCATAAAATTCTTTTTTATGTTAGATATGTAACATACGGTTATTCTGATAGTCTTATTCTTCTTGATAGCCATAAAGTGTGCCAGGAACCTCAAAAAGACAGAGATACGTGCAAATTTATTTCTGATAAAACTTATTGTTGGGGCCTTTTTACTACAAAGATTCATAAGTAAGATATTTATGTTGTAATAATTGCTAACAATATGGTTTGATTGATGTAAATTTTACTGGTCGGAACAGTGATTACTTTTTTCTGGAAAGCAGAAAACTGGCATCACCCTAAATCGTATTATTTTATTGAAATAGATATTATTAGAAAAGATAAGTAATTCTATGAATAAAGATATGACGATGGTTTCATAATAATAAGAATAACAATAATAATAATAATAGTTTTTAGTATGTGGTCGTAGATATAGATTAAATTTCATTGAAATTATGAACTGATCAATGTTAGACTACCAGTGCTTCCACAGTTTCAATGGTGGTCTTACATTATTCGGTTCATGATTTCAGTCAAGTGATAATAATAATAATAATAATAATAATGTTTGTTGATATGTTATCCATTTATCAATAATTAAGTAGTAAACACTAAAGTTGAATTATTAGAATAAACACAAATGTCAATATTATTCAATGAATATTAAAACTATTTATTGAAACATAACACAGGTGAAATGAACGTACTTTTAATATACATATGGCAGCATTCAGTTCAGTATTTTTTGGCTAATAAAATACGAGAGAAATAAATAAGAGTATTTAGTAAACATTTATATTTTCTACAATTAAAGTCAATAAAATTAACTGGATAATTGATTCAAAATGAACTCTTCTTTTTGTGGACAATATGGGGACCACAATGTTTACAAAACCATATAAGACTGATATTATAGTCTTAGTTAGAGTTGTACAAATTAAATAATTAACGTCAAATTGCCAAACATATTATTTAAGCTTATACTAGTTGATGTTTTATTAGTTAATTATGTAAAGGGATTTTGTGGATATTATAGTAATTTAAATGGTTGAGATCATAAGTCAATTGAAGCTAGATCACCATGGAAGACCTGGAAGCACTGAACAGCCGTTTCGTTCTATTGTGGGACTCCTCAGTAGTGCGCATCCACGATTCCATTTCACGAGATTTAAACCAAGAGCCTGTCAGTCTCGCGCGCGAGCGCTTAACCACTAGACCACTGAGCCGACCGGCATCCAACGGTGTTAATGTCTAAATTCAACCAATTTTACGAAATTGAGCGACACATCCAACATTGTCATCAGTGAGTTACTAACTCACAACAGGCCCGGTTGAATTCCACTGGTCACTGCTTCTCACTAGAACTCCAGGAAATATCTTTTGAAGCCAGTCACTAGTGAGCATATGTTGATTAGTATCAGAAGGGGTTTTGTGGAGATTCTAGTAATTTCAATAGTTGAGATCATGAGTCAATTAAAGCTAAACCACCATGGAAACGGCCGTCAAGTGCTTCCAGGTTTTTCATGTTGGTCTAGCTTTAATTGACTCATGATCTCAACTATTGAAATTAATTATCGTTTAAATTTTAAAGCGAATTGAAACATTCACTAAGAATGAAAATCAATCATAATAAATTGATTAAGCGCAATCCCGAGGGACTAAAGGGCATATGAATCTATTTTTAGTCATTACCTTTCATAGAAGTGGATTTCCCAACTCTGATCCACCACCTTGTAGATTACAATTCTGGATTAAAGGGTCAGAGAGTAACCCCTTCATAAAATCACCTGCTTCGGTTCGGGCACACAGGCAGTATCCCAATCCACATACAAAATAAATGATGACTACAACTAGAAAAAACTATTCACGTTTTAATTCTTATTGTTGCAAATGCTACTCAAAACTACTTGTTAATCTTTGTTTTTATTTTACGTTGAGTCACATTTCTATTCCTTTATTCCCATCTGCATATTACTTTACTCTTTAACTCAACTGGCAGCTTACCTAGGGTGAAGAACAATTCCAATTTCAGTACCTTGAACATGTACTAAGAATGGCATCCTAGTAAATCTAACATCACCTATTGCTTGCAGACGCTAGGACTGGTTGGAAAAACTTGAGAGGTGGTCAGTGTGTCATGGTGTCAAGGTATGAAAGAAAACTATACGGGACTGGGATCTGCTGGTCCTTCACGACTCCCTGGTTTTAGTCCCAGAGATGGTGTGACACAGTGGTTTGAGAAATAGCTCAGAATAGAAGCCGGTAACAATTTCGATATAAATTCTCTTTACTTTCTTTATGAGTGAGAGGAACGTCTTTAACTGAAAGAATTCTTTTTGGTTGTATCTTTCTTAACTGAACTGCTTCTTCCATTATTATTACTATCATTTTTATTATTTTCACTCATTTTTTATACTCAACTTCCTTTCTCTATCTCTTCACAACCTCATTTTTATTGTGTGGAGTATACATATTTTGGTGCCTCTCTGTATCAATGTTTGTGTTCAATTCAATAGTTATGTTTATATCAAATGTAATCCTGGATATTAACTACAGGATAATATTAGCTCTTATAAATATATTTGTTCAGTGTTGAATAGGTTGGTGGCTATCCAGAAATAATAGCGTATGAAGCGATTAGTAACGTGTATAAGTCTCACGGACTGTAAAATGGTCGAAGAGTGGATTCTCGATAGTACCACTATTCTCAATAATAAAAATGCTAGAATTTAAACAAAGTTACAAACGATGTAAAGCTTTTGTATATGTTACAATATTTCAAATTTTTAAACAAGTTTATATATATTTTAATTGTTCATGGACAAGGAACCAGTCAATGGGTTTATAATCTAAATTATAAAATTAGGTAGCATTATAGTATCATCAATCTAAATAATTCAGTCCTCAGGGAACTGATGCTCTCCATAAGATTAAATCTTGCATTCCCTAATAATACAATCGAAAATGTTATCAATCAGTTATTTGGGACAAGCATGATCTGTTAAAGGATTAAGTTATTTACATAAATTGATCACTGAGTAGTAAACAATATCACCAGTTACATAAAAGAAAATTAAATTACATTGGTTTACAAAACACTTATTACTGATTAATCCTAACATCCAAAAAACAATCTGGTATCATATTGTACAGATTTAATCAATCTATAAGAACGATGAATAGTTTTATGAATTTGGACTTCTATCTATTATAATTTCACAGGCAATTCAACAACTCACTCCATAGGATAGTTTTAAACGCATATTCACCTTTAATATAATGTCTACGTTCAACAATCTCTTGTATTATACATACCTGTGTAGCACATTTCCACTCTCTTAAACTACTTTCACTGAAATCTTTCTTGTTAGTTGTAACAGTTGTATTCTGTTTATTATAAGTACAAGAGTTTTCGGACTTTCCAGTATTGGACGTCGTGATAAAAACAGTACTCATTGTTGTAGAAGTGGTTGTATGAATACTAGTACAAGACAAAGAAGTATCCTTCATCATTACATCTGATGAATCACTAGAATCACTGGACATGATAATATCGCTCGGAGGAGTTTGTTCTTCTAACATTGTTTCATCCAATACACTAAGCATAGCAGATGGTTGTGTTGTTGATGTGGTTATGCCTAAAACATTCGTATTGACTTGTTCTTCAGATAAATTACATGCACCTAGAATATCAGAGGTTGGCTGACATGCAGGTCTTGGAGTTGTAGCTAGTTTGGAAAATATGCCTGCTTGTTTTTTGGCTTCATCATTAACGAAATTTCGTAGAATAGGATTATGATAAAATATTTTAATTTTTTCTTTTAATAATTCATAGGCTGCATGATACCGATCGTATTTCCTTTGAATTGTAGACTGACGAATCTAAAAAAGGTACGTAAAAGTTGAAAATGAGGATACAACTGTCATCGGCAGTAAACTCCATTATCTTACTCCATCTAGATCAAGGAGAACATACACTTATGGTTATTCAATCGTAATCATCAGTCTACAATGTTGACATTAGCCTGCCAAACTGGTCAGATTAAGAATCTTTCATACATTAAGAGTAAAATTCATGACAACTTAACTTTGATACTTTCCTTTCAAAGGAATAATGTCTACTTTGGTCAGCCACAGGCCTAGTAAGCCAAGATTTATCTAAATTGTTATGTAGCTTAATACGACTAATACATAGATATCTATCTGTGTTTTTGTAAATTTAAGACTCGTCTGATTCAGTTACTAGTGTGGCGTGTGCTACTTATATCGACATAAGTAGTATATGACGTTAGTCGTGGGCAGTTTGTCTGGCAGCAGAGAAACAAGAGGATGGAACAGTAAAGAATGAGAACAGAATGAACTTTGTATGAAAGTACAAGAACAATGAAGTCTGAGGTATTTTCAGACAACTGATGGACATTTTGCAAATTAAGCATTTACTATATGATAGATTTTATTAACAAGTCCTGTAATTTTGTGTCAAATACATTCAATTGTCCCCACTGGTGTTCTGTTCACTACACTAGTATTCTTACTATTTCTTTGGTTGTTTTCAAACTATCTTTTTTATCATATTCAACAACATATTCGGCAATCACCACACTTTACTATCGCTTACTTCAAAGATGAGGTAATCTTCGGTCGAACATTTGGTATGATCACAAATGGCTTTATTTTACTCATTCTACGTTACGGTTTTTTATTCCGATCATCGATCTCATGGTCTCACCTGAACTAAAATTTGATTCAGGTATACACAGAGAACTCGTCGCGCTAACATTTTCAACAGTGCTAAGAAATTTATTTTAATCAAGGAAGTCTAGTGAAGATTACCAAATTTTATAGTTTACATCACGTATTTAATGTAGCCAGACAACTGGAAGATCCAAGAAAGTATTAGAGAGCTATTCCATCCAACTATGGTACTTTTTAGCATTTTCAATCTACGGCTGATGAATTAATTGAAGTTAGGAATGTAATGCATTGGATGTAAACTTAAAGATTTGAAGATTCAGTTGCGGATGCGTAGGATAGAGAAGTTCAATACTCTGGTTTAATAGCTGTCTAGTGCCTCAAGCTTTTCGATTGCTATCTATGTACAGTCAGTCCGTGATCAAAACTGTGAAGTTTATTTATTTAAGTTCAGAACCCATTTTCAGTTTGAGAATGTATTTTAAAAAAAGCCTATTAATTGATTTGCTCACATATCTAAGTAATACAAAATTCTAAACAAAACATAAGTAATTCGGAATTGTTAGTTATTCAAGATATTCAAAGTAGATAATAGATCATTTAATTTAGGAAATAAATAAATTCAAGTTTGAATAAACTTAGTTAGCCACACTAAATGATTCATGATGCAATGATTGAAGGAATAATTACTATTTCTATTTGTTATATCTACACATTGTACACTTCACATTAACAATTCATACTAACTGAATAGCATTTTAAAATTATAACAGTTATATACACAGGGTTTCCTCTCGACCAACTCTAAACATCAAACATATTTGATTATTTTATGAAGCAAGAGTATTGAGAGGCTAATACACTACTGATGACTTCATAAACTAGTAACGTTTTAAATTTGCAAAGCTATGAAATTTATCTGGTTTTCCTATACATCTTAATAGAACTGTTTAGTCTATCTGGATTAAAAATTAATTTGAAGTAATTTTGAATAGGAAAAATGTAATTATTTGATGACATACTTGTTCTTCATCTAAACCTGCTTCTCTAGACAATGCTTTCACAACACCAATATCAAGTTTACGCTCAATTCTTTCTAGAAATTCTTCTTTAGCTATTTTACTATGTTCCGGATGTTGATGATGAAATAAAACTTCGAATTGACGTTCTTTTGCTTGTTTTTGATATTTGTTCATAAGTGATTTATAATGTTCCACATTTGGAGACTCTTGCATCCATGCTGTGGTCGTAACCTGCGACACAAATTAATAATGACAGAATATCATTCATACATGAATAATTTAAAATGGGTTAAATATGATGATGTTAAATCAAGTTTGCAGTGTACACTTTAACAAAGTCATTATCATAAACATTCGGCTGGTTAATAAACAACTTTTATCATGAGTCACAAAATAACTGGGAGAGAGGTAGAATCTATTTCGTCCTGCTAGTCGTTACATGAAAGTGGAGTTGTTGATAATAAAAATAACATTGGTAACAGTCACAGTAATAGTCTGTCGATAACTTTGAAATTATATTTCAAAATATAATATCAAATTATTCGGAACTGTAGACTACCTCGTAACAACATAGTTGGGAGCAGAAATTCAGTCAGTCGGAACAATAGTAGGCCAGACGTTCAGGGACGGTATGAAGTATCTAGAATTCTGTCGTGACTGATATCCCCCGTGATATTTGAACTTGTGTTACTAGGTGTTTCTATCCGAAATATTACTGAAGTTGTAACTTGCATAGAACATAAATTTTAGAAATATTCTTAATGACTTTTAGTGACAACACTTACATATTAACTACATAAACATTGTTTTGTCTAGATTAGAATATAAGATTTGTTATTTTCGCCGTTTATTTGTTGCTGTTCACTAAGCTATGTATGAGACATTATAATACACACACCTTTAATTATAATATTCTGAATTTAAGTAAATAGAAATTTTGATTTCAGAACTTCTGAACATTTTTATTTACAGCCATTAACTATACGAAACAGTCATTCCATTTATAATAATTTGTTTGATGTCAAATAAGATTAATTAGCTATCATTGTATAGAAAGTAGTTTTTTATAGATCAATTTATTCTTACAGTGGCTCATTTTCTTATTATGTGTACCAATTGGAAAAGAAGAAAAATGGAAAACTCAATTCAACCTCTATTTCTATTCATGAGAGAGAACAATTAGATTGATAATGTTTGTTCTATGATGAAAACTTGAAGTAAAGTTATGTTTATACTAACCTGTTTTAATTTGAATCGTCGAATAGGATCCACCTGTAACATACATCGTATAACTTGTTCACAAGAAGTTGACAAATAAAATGGAAAACGTACAAGACCACGAAGTACTTGTGTACGAATATCACCAAGGGATTCACCGGGAAATGGAAATGAACCACAAACAAGAATATATAAAATAACACCTAAGCTCTAAAATATAAAAGAAAATTTATGTAAACGACATTGTTTTTTATAATCAGAAGTGTCTACTATACATAGATTACAATTTACAGTAAAGGCATTCCGAATAGATTGTATTTACAAAAATCCAAATGAAGTTACATTGGACAGACGAATCAATCAGCACTGAATAGACAAATTTTAATTTATTTTATCAAATTTATAAAGTGGAAATCTTTGTAAAAATGTAGTCGACGTGTGAACACTACCGTGATATTCCAGTAAACATTTGTTTACAGCTAGGTCTCGCGATCTTGCTTCCTTTAGATTAACAAATACTTTTTGTAGCGTTTTGAGAGTCTAAATGGTTCTCTCAACAAATTCGTTGCTTTCTGGATGGTAGGCAGTTATTCGTGTTTTGCGAATTCCCAACACTTGACATAATAAGATAAATAACTGAAATTTTATCGCACAATCAGTTTGAAAATTAGATACAGTAAAAAAAGAATTAGAAGTTGATTTTCTGTCCATGATTTTTAAATAAAAAGGAATCAGCGATTAGGAGCAAGAGAAAATGAAACTAGAAAAACACAACACTGTAACAAGGAGGTCATCACTTCTTCAAAGTAGGTTTTTTTAAAAGAAAAAATTGGTTACCTAATTATTAACCTGTTCATTTGTCATTTATACTATTGAGCTGCATTCATTGGATTAATTTGATTATTTCAATTCAAATTCTTTTTCCCTCAGTTATTTTAATTACTCATTGCCATAGTACATATAATAGACGCTGGTCGAGTTCATTTTGCTTATTTAAATAATTGTTTGAGTGAAATTATAGATAGACGAGAACGTTTAAAAGGTTTTGGTTAAGATACTGCGAAATAACTAATTACTACTAAAATAAATGTTTCCCCAAGAATTTGTTTCATACAGTGAATGATAGTTATCGATTCTCGTTAATGTGAACGTAAATCATTGAAATGAACAGTAGGGAAGAGCAATTAAGGTCGAATTTAGTAGAATGTAGTTCGAAATGAGGAAATGACGTGGAAGATTACAATGAACAGAATGATACTGAACACAAAATTTAGAGGAAGATAAGCAATGAATGGAATTACGTCTTAGAGTCAACTTCAGGTCGTATCAATCAGGGTCTTCAGTCATAGATTACAATCATTGTGTAGGATCCAAAAAGGACATTTGGTATTACAAACATAGCTCAGGTCGACAGTTAATTATCAATAGAGTTAAAGTCTCATCTCTATGCGACCACGCTTTGGTGGTTTTCAACTTGCACATATGCCAATTAGATTAGGTGCTAAACTAGGTTTTTAAGCATAATCAATTGATCGGAACCACCTCAGTCAATGGAAATAATGATCAATGAAATAATTTATTACATCTTTCTCAATATTCAATCGATAATCTTTAATAAGCTATGTAAGACAAATATTCTACGTATTATGAGATTCGCAACGTACCCATACATCGGCCAATGTTCCATCGTATGGTTCACCTTTAAATAATTCCGGTGCAGCATATTGAGGACTTCCACAATGTGTAGATAATAATTGATCATTTTGGAAAAAATTGCAAAATCCAAAATCTATCATTAAAATGAAAAGAGATTAGTTAAAATATGCTGATAAGTTATTTTGTTCGAACACAAAATACGTGATATTTAGCTTAACGGTTCCTATTTTGAGAAGAAACTCTGATCATCTGTGTGCTTCTTTGACATGTACTGAGAGGATTTATTTAAGACTTGGAATAAGTTATAACTTTATGTGATTTGATAGCGCGATAATCATCTCTTGAACAAGAGATTCAACTATGAAAGGTAGTTGAACTTCAATTAAATCTCTTGCATGATGTGGTAATGGATATGAATCGATATGTGAAAATAAAACCTGAAATCTACAGTTTTAATTACATCACTGAAAAAATATTTTTATCACTTGAAATTTGCAAAACAGAAAAGAATAACTGTAATAAAAGTACTTTGAAAAAACTTATGAAATAATTATCAGTACAGAGTTGTGGAGATTGTTAAATTTCGTCAAAACCATAATCCGATCAATGTTAGAAATTGTACAGTAGTTTCGTTTGAGAATGGGTCTCGTCATTAGTGTACATCCACGGTCCCGCACACTGGAATCAAACACAGAAGCTCCGGTCTCGCACACGAACGCTTAACTTCTACATCACAGAGCCGGAATCCAACAGTGTCAATGTCTGACATCAATCAATCCACGGTATTGCTAAACCATCTTCAATTTTCTTAGGTGAGTAACTGCTTCACACCCAACACAGTTGAACTCCACTGTTCACGGATTCTCATACGAACTCCGTGAATTCTCTCTCGAAGCTAGTCACTAGTGAGCACATGTTAATTATCGGTATAGGGTTGTGAAAATTATTGAATTTCATTGAAATCATGAAAGGAGAAATGTAATTTTCCATATATTTGACAGGAAGTTTAACAGTAATAAAAATTAGCTAGTAATGCAATGAGTAATTTTGATTTGTTTAACAGAAAGGTTTCACTCTGTAGGTTGGTATTAAGTTTATATTAACAGCAGCATATACTTATAAGCTGATCAACGCTTTTAAGCTTTTGGACTAATGTTTCAGTGACCATATTTTATGATTATAAAATAACTGAAGATAGCGAGAAATTGCATAACAACGGCTAGCGTTAAATGGATTAAAGGGGCTTTCAGTAAAAATATTGACAAAATTTATAATAATAATAATAGTTTTATTGGTGGTGAGAAATTTTAGTGTAGCAAATAACTCTTAATATCAATTGTAAAATGTAACCCATTTCCCAAGTGTGTGTTTCATAGATACAGATTTAAGCTTTATTGTTAGAGTATGGGATATTGGTACTACTCGGCTTATTTAATTTTGACCAATTTTTAGACAAGATCTAACTTCTACGTACATATAGAAAAATAATAGTTTGACTCATTAACAGTAAAATTTTAACTAATTCAGAACCGATTTCCAGAAACCACTACACAAGACGACAAATTTCATATTTTGTACAATGATTACGCTTCTCAAACATATGATTTAATACAGTAATAAAATCAAAACTGTCTGTAGATACAGCTATAAATGATGTGAAGCGGATTTCCCCTGATTTCACTAAATGATAATCATAATAAATGATTCAAGCTAAAAAGTATAGGTGTACGCTGCTAAAACGTTCTAAATAAGAATGAAACTAATGACCAGTCATTTCTGTTTTTTTAATGATTTTACAATTGGTATTAGTCCAAGATAAAAACTTGATTTCAAATTGAACAAAACTTCACTTACCCTTGAAATCTATGAATTATATGTGAAAATGTAGCTTACCGGCAACTTTAATTTTGAAATCAGCGTCTAATAAAAGATTTTCTGCTTTTAAATCTCGATGTACTATACCTGAAGCATGACAGAATTCGATTGCGCAAACAATTTGCCAAAATAATTCCCTAGCTTCTTTCTCCGTAAATGCATGAGATAGACTGATGTGATCTAGTAGGATGGTACGCAAAATAAATTGAATCGATCAATTAGTATAGTATGTAATTAGTATATATGTTTATAGTAAAATTCAAGCTATAAGAATCAACCTATAAAATATCACGGTGAGTAATAATTCTATACTAATAATTATATTTGAGCAAGATTTTCCAAAGTTCTATGTCAGTGGTCTGTGTTTGATTAAATAAAAGACCATAAAACACTATCTGACCAGTGATATTGGACAAGTATCGCACATTATCACAAATGCACTAGTGTTAAAGTTGTTAACAAATGGTTTCAACTAATTATTTCGAAGTTTTCACGCTTGCCGTTAGAACTGGAATTTATAGGTTCGACCCTTGTGGTATCATGAGTATACACTGCTAAGTAGTACACTGCTTGTCGAACAATCGTTCCTCGATCCTTAGTTTATGACAAAATTCATTTTTAAATCATACATGTGTTCATAAAATTTATGATAACCTCTTTACTTTACTAATGTTTATTACACAATGACATTTTGGTGATTTTATTTCTGAAGTGTATTATACACTATCCACTGAGTATTAGCGTCCATAAACTTCGGACAGTTGATGTTTAATGATACATTGGACAGGTAGCATCATATTACTCATTCATCTTTTTCACTTCTCTATCTTCTTATCGTTATTTTAGTTTTAAAGTCTGATTATTTTAATGTCGGATTTTCCGCTTACTGTTAGTTAACTAATAACCAACTGTATGTGTATTATGAGAAACAATACGAAAAAACATATCAGTAAACTAATATTCATCATGAGTACCATCTCTGAAGAATACTGATATCTGAATGAATCAAATGCAACTAAAGTTTACAGACTTCTTAACAATGAATGTAGCATAACAATAACCGGTGCCAAGTAAGTTTAGATTGTGAATATCGATCACGCAATAACAAAAACGAAATTTACCTTTCAGTAAATAGATTACAGACCATGAAAACGTTTTATAAAATTATATAAAGGAACTTTAATTTCAAGAAGCCGAATCAGTTTTATTCAGAAGCAACATTTAGTTATTTCTATTTAAATATTATGCAAGGCAAGAGTATGATGGTCGACATAAGATTTGTGATCATTTGGAGTAAAATAGTTTCCCATTGAGATATAAAAGGTACTGTATCTTCAGCCTTTAGGTTAACTAAAAATCATCAGAGACCATATGCAACACTCATGAAAAATTTTTTATGCAAGTTGTGCGTGTACACTTTCGAAAAGTCACATAATAAGAAAAAAAAGCAGTCTGTTGCTTCACGGTTGACAGTATTCATCAAGTTAGAGTCACATTGTGTGTAATGTATTTTTCAGTAACAAAATCAAAAATAATGAGTTGACTGATGGATGAAATAAAACTCACCAAATACCTCTCCTTTACTAGCATATTCAGTAACCATAAAAATATTTGATTCTGTTTCCATAACATGATATAGACGGATAATATGCGGATGTTGACAACGTTTCATCGCTTCAAGTTCTCGCGAGACTTTACCAAGATTTTTAGAACCAATCAAATCTTTGTTCATAATTTTGATGGCAACCTAGGAAGAATTACAAAAATAAAAGAAAGTAAGAAGCGAGAGAAAAAAATGGATTCAAATTGTCGCTTCATTGAATTCATTCAGGAAAAATACATTTCATATATAAAAAATAATCCCTCCACTTCGAAACCGTGTCATTAGGTATCACTTTTAGCGTACATACAGTAGGACATGAAGTAAAGACGAAAACTCAATAAATGAATGATGAAATACGAGCGTATACAAAGATAGAATTACCTTTACAGATAATTGAGAATGTTTTCCCAACTTCACCACAGCAAAATTACCCCGACCAAGTGTCGGACCTAAATAATATGGACCAATACGTTGAGGACCATTTGGTTGAACAGAGTTATTGTCATTTGATTCAGATACATTATTAAAATACCCCACTGTTGGCATCCCATAACCACTTGTTCCGGGCACCGGTGCAGTTATTGTCGCATTTGTTGCTTGTTTTGAACTGTCATTATTATTGTAGTCTTGTTTAGACTCTTCTAGGGTCGATGGTATGATATTCGTGAGTGATTGTTCATTTTTTGTAGATAGAACTCGAAAATTTGACATTTCTTGTTCACTGTCTGGTTCACTGATATCTTTCAAAAAGAAAATTACAGTTCAAAATATTACAAACAGAAATTTTGTACTAATAAAATTTTGGGGTAAAAATTTCAGGTCTTCATTTATCTTATTAGAAAAAGGTCGGTTGTCTTTATATTTAGTTTTACTCTCTACCAGATCAGTTAAAACCTAGATGTGAAAATATGGACAATTCAATGCCTCTTTTCTTATCATTTGAACATTTTAAACCCCACCGTTGTTGCTACCTTGACGTGGTGGTCGGGCTTGCTTATCTTGGTGAAGCAACTGAGCTATACTGGCTGGAACAACCGTTCCCCAAGGTACCACCATGCCAAACAGGTCGGTTGAAGAGCGGTAAGACCTAAAGCAACAAATCCAAGGTCCGAAGGCGAAGTCGTACTGCTGACTGTACAGAGGTGTGACGGCAGTAAGGTATTTCCTTCAGACAACCAGCATGACAGCGATGCTGCCTTCCCATAAGGAGGAGTGGGGTCAGAAAAAGTCGACCCTAAAAGTGCACACCTCGCCTTATCCTACAGATATCCGTCTCCGGCGGTAAGGTCTCAACAAGTACGGAGCTAACACAAAAAATACTCATAAAAAGGTCGTGTGTGACCGACTTCAAGCAGCTGTCCCTTGGGCACTGCGGTCACGCTCTTAGGTCACTATGACCACCTCTAACGCAATATCCTTTTCAGGTACCTCCAGGAGAACGCTTCCACTGTGTGGACAACCGGGAAGTGATAACCGCCCTCATACCTCTAACAGCACTCAAGACCACTGTATTCATAATCAACCTCCCTCTTCAATTCCTATTATTCCTCCTACATCGACTCTCAAACCTTTGGTTCCCTCCTCAAGTATCACCATAGCCAACGATTCTAGTGCGCAAAACGCTGTCCCAGGTCTACTGAAACCTCGCTCCAAACTACACATTGGAGCCTTCAACGTACGCACACTATGATCAGCCCTAATGGATTGGTGTCTGACGAAATCTCAGCACGGATTCGAAAAGCTCGTTTGGCCTTTGCCAACTTACGTCACCTATGGCGAAGGTGAGATATCCGTCTATCAATTAAGGGTCGAGTATACTGTGCGGCAGTTTGTTCCGTTCTACTATACGGCTGCGAAACATGGTCATTAAGAGTCGAAGATACTCGTAAGCTACAAGTATTTGATCACAGATGCCTTAGAAATATTGCTGGTATCTGCTGGGATAACCGGGTAAGTAATAGTGAGGTTAGACGTAGGGTATTAGGAAACGATGGTAAATCAGTTGATGAGGTTATGAATCTTCATCGACCGAGATGGTTGGGCCACGTGTTGTGTATGTCTGAACACCAATTACCACGACGCGCAATGCTGACTAGTGTTGGAGACCAATAGAAGAAAGTTAGGGGCAGCCAAACCAAAATGTGACACCAGTACGTAAAGTCACTAACTTTTGTTCTGAGCCATGTTGATAGATGCAGACTACTTGGTTGGGGTCCACGTGACTATCGTAACCAATGGTTGGAGACTCTCGGTGACATGGCTCAGAATCAATCACAATGGCGTCGGTGTATACACTTTCTGTCTTTCCTTAAACTAAGAGATTAAAACCGCTTCATGTCTTTCTTTCTAATTCTTTCTTCCTGTATTATATCCTTATACACAATCTTTCTTTTATATACTATTACCTTTGATGTGAATACTTCTATGAATCCGGTGTTCATCTTGTTGTGCTAATGAGGTATGGCAACTTGGACCGATGCATATATGTGCCTGGTCCTACGTTGCAGCTGACTGACTGAAAATTTTAAAAGTGTTCGTTTTAAAACCGAAAATCTTTTTTAACGAAGATGTGATCTGAACTGATGGAGAAAACACCGTAAATGAATTCCATAAGAAAAAGAATAAAGAAGTCAGAAACAAGATAACAAGAATAAACATAACAGGAATAACATTATAGAAATTGAAATAACCCATTTGATTTTTGATTCCTCAGGTAATTTCATTACAATCTTCACCTAAATCATTATTTTTTATTCTTTCAAAATCTAGATCCATTCAGTTTCATTCATACATAACACTAGTTCATTCAATACATCCAGATAAATACCGTAATATGGTGTTTATATGACAGAAAATCCGGTAAAAAACGGTTGTATTACTTTTTTTTCGAATTAATTTTATCAATTTAATAAAAGGGGTACAACTGCGAGTATAAAGATGTATGTTAAAACAATCGTTCCATGAACTACTCACCATTTTTTCCTTTGCATAAAGTTTGAGAAAATTGAGCCAATAAATTATCACCATGAATTGGACAAATCAATCCTGTTCACAAAAGAGAAACAAATTGGTTAAATAAATCGAAGCTTAACTTTTTATTTATTTTTAAACATGGTATCATTTAAGCGCCAAACTAGATTTATAATTCAGTTGTACGTATTAATCCATCTGTTAAAAATACATTTATATTGCACTGGCCACTTTTGGTCTACTTCGCGTTACTAAAAAGACATACGAATTTTAAGTTATTATTCGGTTCTAAGAGTCTCGTTGAATTTCCAGGTTAATTTTTTCCAGATTGATCTGCAATTATCACTACAGACCCAGTTTATCAGTTATTCGAAAAACTTTTAATCAGTTACATTACCAGACGTCAACAGAAAGAAACTGTCAACGAATATGAACATAGAAAATGTGCAGAGACAACCAGTAGCGAAGAATGTAAACAGAATAACCTGATTAGGAGTTTGTGGAACAAATCTTGAAAAGCTCATTCCTATTTGGAGTATGCGCAGGTTATATTGTCCAGTATGGCAGGTAAAGCTTAGGAATTAAACTGTTTGACGTAAGACATGTGACACCAAAAAAGCTTTCACCTAAGCTACAAATTTCTTTATTTTAGGGTTAATGAATATATTACCAGATTGTGAATGGCTGTGAAATCTACGGGGAGTTTTTCGTCCTACTTAGAATTTATGAAGTGTATCTATCTAGATTACTCTGTTAATGCCCAATCTCAGACCCAAACTCTAGTATCTATCCCTTCAAACTTTAACCCGCTTACTAAGTTTGACCATACGGCATAGAGTTACAAAGCGTGAATATATTCCAGGAGAGACTGACGTAATTAAATCTTGGATATCAACAATGGGGAAATAAGAGTCACAACAAATATTATTTAACAAACTGACTTTAGTTGAGATCATTTAGTTGTAAGCAGATAGATTATAAATAGGCTAAAAAATTGAAGAATGAGAATAAAATAATATTAACACTCGGATTAGTGCATAATGAACAAAAATTCAAAAATAGTCGTAAAACTCTTCGGTTAGTAACAAGAAATTATGAGTAGCTTTCACCATTAATTGATAACAGTTGGAGAACCGTGAAAAATTAGAGAGGATTTAAGAATCGTCTCTCCACAGTTTTCGACCACCCAGTGGCGCACAAACGTTCATTTTAATTCATGATCAAAGTTATTTACAATTTATACGAAATCCCCGTGAAAAGTAATGATGTCTTCTAACTTTACTAAAACTGATAGATATTTTATATGATTGGAAAATTAAATTACTACTGGAGACACAAATCCAAACGCTTCAGATATTTAAATGAGGAAAGTATGATTTAATATATTCCCTCGTATTTTGTTTGTAAATATATTTATTGTTGACTTGACAACATAATCGATATCACGAACAGATTAATGATAGACCACCATTGAAAACCTGAAAGCACCGGATGGCCGGTTCACCCTAGTATAGGGCTCCTTAGCAGTCGAAACTCACGATTTCGCGCGCGAGACTCAAGCCCAGGACCTTAGTACCCTTAAACTTTATACCACTGAACCGATATCTAATATTGATTAGTTCATGATCAACAATCTTCACAACTCCTTTTTTAACTAAACTAATCAACTAATAATCATGACATAAAAGAAAATACAGAAAAAAGTGAATAGTGATAATGAATTTGAAAAGATCATAAATGACGATAATTATGTTGAAAAGAAAAAAGTGAAAACAGTTGAAAGAAAGTAAATAAGAAAGGGTGAAATTGAGACAAAAGTTAATTAACCATATAAGAATAGGAAGAAAGCATTTTATTTATATAAATATACAACAATTATATTGATTAGTTGCTTGAAAAATATGTAAAATCAAAAGAATGCATTCGAAATGTTGAAGTATTTGAATAATTTCATGTTTAATAAATAAATCTTGTTGATAATGTTTTAAATTACTTCGTTACTGAAACATGTATGTTAACATTAAAGAATCAAAGTCAGTTTTTAAACGCAATATTAGTATTCAATTAAATTTGACTTTTATGCTTATTTACAACGTTGTTGTTGTCACGTATCATTGAATTAGAAATTTTCAATTAACACTGAATACTAAATAAAACATCAACACCCTTTGAGTCATCATTTAACTCTTTACCTGATAGAATGTGATCTTCAACACAATCAAAACTTATTTGAAAACCGTTTTAATTGTATATTCATTGAATCAATTTGCCGGAATTCGCTTTGGACGAATAGACGAAGAACCACTAAACAATAGTTTTATCACTTACTATTTTCTAGCCCCAAATAAAACATTTGGTTAGATTCTGTAAAATTATATACAGGGATATAATCAGCATTTAGTTTTTTTGAATCAAAAAAGATCTGAAGGAACCTAAAAGTTTACTACTCTGTTGATACTAAATAATCTAGCTATGAAGTCATTTGTGACGGCAGAGATCAATCTATTGAAGAGTGCGATAAAGATTTTAAAATAAATGACATGGCATGGAGATAGAATTCATTTGATGTTAAACGTTTAATCATGGTCAGGAAATCGGACTTTTTAGCGCCAATCCGTAAACCACATTGTCAACCTTGAGCAGACGCATATGCTTGAGTTGCGTCATTCACAGTGGTTAAGTTATAAGCGAGTTCAAAAATTTTAGGTCGCGGGGATTTTATAGTATCTTGTCATACATATATGTATATTATTACACATTTTGACTTAAACTCATGATCGTCTATTTTTTTGAAGTTTCTTCAATCCATTTTGTTCTCTGGTATTATTATGTTTGAACCAAGCTTTCAAAAGATTTAGTGTCTGTTTATATATTTCTTATCGCAATATTGCTTGATTTTCAAAGCAATATAATGAGAGAAGCGAAAATCTAACTATCACTTTGAGCACTTAAAGTGAGCATTGCGAAGCAGGTAGAAAAATAAATGATTTACCAGAAAGCATAATTTATAACATAATATAACTCATTGTGTAACATTTTAAAACTTAGAATCAAGTTTATAATTTAAAAAGGCAATATTTCTTAGTTGAACTGTCCAAAATGAATAGCTTTCATCTAAAGGTATGTTAATAATGCGAGTTGTTGATTTCCAGGATAGAGTAGAATAAACTGTTGATTAGCCTTGATGGAAAATAATTTTAGAGAAGATTAGAAAAAGCATTTTCAATATTTTGTAATAATATATTTAAGACGATGCGTGAGGATATGCGTTCCGATTGTTATCAGAATATATTGACTGAAATGACAACAGGTGATAAATAAATATAACGTAGTTCTAACTTTAAATTCATTTACTACCACTGCTACGATGGCCCGTTCTTATTTTATCAATACAATAATCTGTATTCCATTTACTAAGGAAATGATGGAGCTCGATTTGAGTTAAATCACTCGTTAATAACTACGATTTTGAAAGAATAGTTTATTCTCTATCATTTAATAACGAAGAGAAACTTTATAGGAATTTTTCGCTTAATTAACATAGAAATTCCTAGAGATAAGTGATTGGAAAAATTTATTCAAAAAACCAAGTCATATCTTTTAGGAGACCGAATGCTGTTATATATTTACCCCTACTCTAAATACAGATCACGTTCATTAAGAGAGTAATGCGCTGAAACGAAATGTGTTACGCCCATTAGTTTACAAGGTGAAAAACAAACAACATTTCAGCTAAAAATATATTGTAGTAAAATGTCAAAATCTCACAGACTTACGTGGCCATAAATGAGGAGAGATAAGATGCAATGGCAAATTTTGATTAAACTTGGACAAATCGATCTTAACAGACGTACTGTGAACAGAAGGTGGCACAGAATTTATATTGCCATGTGATGGTGTTTGTGAAAAGAGATTAACCAAGTCATTTTTGGATGTTGGAACAGATGGTGTGTTCATTTTTACATCAATTGGACCTGAAGAGTCTCCATAATTTTTATGAGCAGCTAGTAACGTAGCATATTGAAGTTGTTCAGCATTCTGAACTGAAGATTCGGCATAAAAACTACGACGCATTGCCTGATTCATTATAGCCGTTAATGCGACACTAGGCAAAGGATGTAAATCTACACTACCAAAGCGTTTTTCACGTGCTTCGGTTTCTTCAGTCGATGATGAAGCACTGCTACCACATCTAGTCCCTCTATTTAGTGCACTTGAACAAGCCAGCCTAGCTTTATCACTACCACTGCTGCTGTTCTTACCACCACTGCTTTGACTATCTACACTTGTACCTCCCGTTGTTGCACTACCAGTACTACTGCTGGCTCGGCTATCTTCAGGTGGTGGGAAACGAGTGTGAATACCATGATGTTGCTTGACAGCTGCTACTGGTGAATGAAAAACGGGCTTGTCGGTGGATACGGCAACTGTTTTTCCATTGCTTGGTGCATGGCTGTTTGATTTTGTTGAAAGATGGCTGTGATTGGCAGATACAGAAATTTTCACGTTATACTCTTCTCCCTCAGTGCAAGAAGTCTGCCTATATTTCGGTAACGGTAAAAATAACAGTAAAGCATTTGATTGATAAATATGCGAGCAAGTACAAGTATCAAATTTAAGTAGGCAGATGCATGTTTCCAACAATCTAAAAACCTTCAGCTGATGTGGTGGACTTCAGTGCAACAAAAGTTTCTTTTTATTACGTAAGTAATAAAGTGTCAATTTTGATTTTACTTACATGTTTTCATAGACTTTCAGTCGATAAACAAATTCATAGAGCTTGTAAAAACAAGAACTGTCGTCGTTTTTAAAATAGAACCTAATTCTTCAAAACGATGTGAATAGCGCCTTTTACGTTACAAGTAATAAGCAACACATATCAATGTGCTTTCATGGCTTTTGTGCAACAAACACTGGTGAACAACACAAAGCTAACAATCCACTCGTCGAAGCACTTATTTCATGACTTTATCAGTCCTGATATGAAATTACTTTATTCGTGAACAGGTGAAATTGTTTAGGGGTTAAAAAGCAATTTTTCATAAACACGTAAGCCTTACAAAAGTCAAATTTTTTTTCATAGACACAATTCAGTTACACTTAGTTTGCAAATTTAACGAATACATGTTAGTTAGTCACAAATTTAGTATAAACGTTTGTGAAAAGAACAAATAAATATACGCATCTCTTAATAATACAAAAATATACCCACGGGAAAGCGACTTCATCTTGCTCCATTTGTCGAAACAGTTGTGGAGGATGTCTTCTTTTCTGTAACCCTCCATTTTTGCCTTCATTGTTTGCCATCGGTGATAATAACGTTTGAAATTTTAAATCCTTGTAAAATCAGGGCTCGAGATAATCAATCAGCTCAGCAAAAAGCTTGTATGGTTTTAGTGATAACACTGTCTATAAGAGGTTGCGGAACGGAGTAATAGTAAATACGCGCTCAAAAACGGCATCTAAAAACACAAAAATAAACACTATGAGCAGCATTCCTAGCCGGTTAATAAACGAAGTAATGCCGAAAATTGTTTTGCTAATTAAAGGACAAAATGTGGAGGATCAAGTCATTCTTCTTTTCCATACAACTACCGAATCGGGATGAAATTGTTATTTTCTAAAAATCTAAGTAAAGAGGGAGGTTCTATGAAACTAGCCAATGTAAGATGATGAGTAAATATTTCAACAGTTATAATTATCATTACATAGTGGATTGCCATGATCTTTATCTTAGGAAACAAAATGGTTTTAGAAAGGCTTGTCATACTCGACAAATCTGCTCATTGCAAGAGATGATTAAGCTGAAGCGAAAGATAGAAATATTCTGGAAGATGTAATTTCAACAGATTTAAGTAAAGCCTTTGACAAAGTCTCTCATCTGAGTTCTAAATTAAAGCCGGAAAGATTTGGGATCCATTACGAAACCATAAACTGGACAAGTGACTCTACAAACGATAGAAAAAAAAACGGGTATGGGCAAATGGGGCTCTACCGGTGTGAACTTGCCCAAGATACAATCTTTAATCCTCTTTTGTTTACGTTATTTAAACGACTTACTGACTGCAGCAAAGTGATCTGTTTTACTCTTCTCGATGACATAAGGATTTGAAAACCCATAAACAGTAGATCAAATAGATAAATATTACGGGATCACCTAACTTCACCGGTTGAATGGATGGATAAGTGGTCATTAGAAGTTAACTCTAACAAGAATGTGGGGATGAAAATAAATAAATGCGACGGTCAATATCACTACACAACATATGGAGTTGTGTTACCTGAATAATGGACTTTGAGGATCTAGGAGTCTTAATAAGCAGCGACCTCAAATCAGCGAGTGCATACAGCGCAGTCGACGTCAAAGGTTTCAAGGTCTATTGGCGTATTTGTAAGTCATTTCAACACTTGCACGAAGAAGTGTTTGGAGTATTACACCCGACTTTGTGAGGCTTCCTTTGGAATATTGGATTCATGAAGTGAGTCCTTCTTTCAAATATGAGGCGTTCGTGCAAAAACTAGTTCAATGGAGGGAGACCGAAATGGTAAAAGGTCACATAACGACCGACAATCTTGACATTATTATGCCTTATCTTTCCCACCCATTTAGGAATGACCATCCAGTAAGATATTATAGGAAATTCGAAAAACCGAAAACAAGTCATTTACGTCTAGAGTCCCATTTCTCGCGCACCGCAGTGAATTACTGAGATCCTTTGCCAGAACATGCAATGTCAGCAAAGTCTGTTTTAAAAGCGACATAAAAACTCCAAAATATTACAGACTTCAAGAATCAATACCAGTTTATGAACCTAATATCCCCAAAATTTCCCAAAATACGTAAAATTTTCCCCAAAGTTGGGAGTTTGGGTACTGAAGGTTTTTATTAAAAACATGATATGCAGAAAAACAAAAATGAATATGCGTCCATTATTTTCCTATAGCGAACAAATGCAGCGACCTCACGATGCGTTTACGCCTTGTTTCTTCTTATTTTCTGAAGGAATGTCTACTTTTGTCTTCTTATTCGTTTGTTCTAGATATTAGGAAATGCTTTAGAGCTTTCATCTCATAGTTTTATTGTCATATCGACCGGAATTTCGTTTTTCAAGAAATTTTGCATAGGTTGTATAAGCATTTACTCACACCGACTTTTATTACAAAACTGATTAAAAGTGAAACCAGCGCAAACAAATTACGGAACATCATGCATCTGAATAACCCTCGTCAAAAAGTTCATGCTAATATTCAATACTCATTAATCATGAATTAATCGTAATCCCAATGATTGTAGGAATGAACGGTTACGATTAAGCAAATCAAAATTCTAGAACCTTTGTATTCATTTTCAAATACACTTCGCCCGAGCATTTTCTGGTTTATTGATTCGGTACGAGAATAGTGACATTTACATTCCATAATTTTTGTAACAACAAAACAAGGAAAAATTCTTTTCGCTTTACTTGTGACACTTTATGCGTAGCCAGATTTTTACTCAATATCCACCGTCTACCTATGTTGCTCGTGAGTGGACATTAAATTTCTGGTTTATACATACGCTCCTTTGGTATGAAAATGAATTCTCTCTGCATCGACTATACTTTTGCTTAATTGGCAACAGCCTGTGACTGAAATTCGTTATGTGACTATATAATCGTTTTGAGTCTTTTATTACCACGTAGGACTTCTGTCCTGAATAATTTATATGATGATATTTATTTTGATATATTATTAACTGTGCGTAATACTGCATCTTGAATATAACCATTTGCAGTGATTGTTTCGTATATTCACAATGTATTTATCCGGATCTGAAGGCATTAGATAGGGTAACGATTCAGCTACCTGTTGGTAGATCCGCGTATACAGAAACAAAACAGAATAATGCGTGACAACCTGTAAATATTTTAGGACTCTTTCACTGTCAAAAAGCAAGGAAACCAGAAAGTAGTTACGATATTATCTACTTGTCGATCATTGAGTCATTTTTTCTATGTACTGATTGAGACTTTAGGTTCATAGTTTATGGTATATACGGGCAGCAAACTCTGAATAGTTCCTGTTACATTAGCTCGGTGACCAATAAATATGAGTAGTAAGTATTTACTGGAGCCATCCTACAACAGTCAACGCAGAGATTAAAAAGCGGGGCCGAAATGTTTATGCTATCTTACGAAGCGAAAGATGCTTTATTTGCAAGTGAATACGAGATCTCTTACAAAATGATGCTGTACCATTTAAGTCTAAACCACAAAGCGATGCTGGTTTTGTAAACAGACACCTCGAGTGTATCCATTGACCTGGCGTAACCATGATGAGTAATCAATGAAATCAGATTATTTGACTTTTTCTCAAAAGTCCAGCCCGCTCAAACGAAGTTTAGTAAATTCAGAGGAGAAATACTAGCCTTTTACGTGACTGTCAAGTATTCTAACCTTTGTTGCAAAGCAGATATATATCAATACTTACCAATTACATGGCATTGATATACGTTTTTAATGCCGTCTAACATTAAAAAAAAATACTAGTTCTATAGAGACTGCTAAAGTATCGTTTAAGGGGCAGGCTATGGTACATCAGGTTATCTATGTGTATGAGTAGAAAGACTGAGTGGTGAGATGGGTTCGATTATGTCCAAATGTACGTGTCGAATCCATGCATCTAGAGTTAGAAAATCACCGAGTTTATTGACTGTATGTTTCTGAACATTGTTGCGTTGTAGTTCCATGAAAGTCCTTATTCACGTTCTAAGGTCTGAGTTTATGCATACCAAGCAAAGCGTTCGGTTATACTTTTGGTGTTCGCTCGACATTCCAGGATGTGATAGAAAGTAGAAATGTTGAGATAAACGTTTTTAACGCACTCCAGTTGCAAGAGAATTCCTAGTATCTTCCAAAACATCAAAAACGACAGCGAAATCCCATGAATAGAGGGACCCGTAAATGAATTACTACAGACATTCTTTGCATACTTTTGAATCAGTATCAGCTACTTTTGGCTTCACAATGTTGGCCAAATCCATTTTCGGGCCTTGGATTAGATAACAGACATGGAAGATATAGTCCAGTCGTTGTGCTTCCAGCGGTGAATGTCGATTGTATGACATACCATAGGAATAATACAGAGGTTTATGATTTCATTACTGTATATCCATGTCCCTGGAATAAGAAGACAAGGCGCGTCATTGATAGGTATGTCGCTATTAGTACGGGCCCGAGATGCTATGGCGTGAAAGTGCCGAGAATAGGTGTTCAGAAGAAAACGACAAGCAACAAGACGATGTAGCGAACTTTTCATCGCAAATCGCTTCTAATGCGGTTTACGATGCATCGGTGTATAGCATAAGTTTAGTTGCAGGATTTAAATTTTAGTGTGATAGAAAAATGGCTTTGCATGACAAAGTTCTAGCGCCTTGAAACATATTTTGCGCCAGGCTGAAAGTCAAGGCGTTCGTTCTTCCAGAAAATTTTTCTGTCACTCATTTTATTCTTTAAAAGATATTTTTAGGGGCTGAAAAAATTAAGCATGATTCGGCATTAAACGTTAACAACAACTGTACATGCCTGGAAATCGTCCTTATTTTTTGTCTGAGTGTAGGTAGTGATAGATAAGGCTGGCGCCGACATTCTCATGGCATGGTTTCATACTTTGTCGGTCACTACGGTGTCTAAGAATGTTTAACGCAGGTACACCAGATCTGTTCTTCGACGGGTTTATTACGACTCCATAACTTCTAAAATGAGTGAGTAAAATAAATAAATAGTGCTCATGTTCATCAATGAACATAGTGGCAATTAAAATGTCGTCAATATAACCGAATACGAAGTTCAGTCCTCGAGTCACTACACCGATAAAACCCCGAGATGTTTAGGTTGCTTTGTTCCATCCGAATAGCATTCATAAAAATTCACAGAGACTAAAACGTGTTATGTTAACCGTCGATTCCATAACTTCAAATGCCACTGATATCTGATTTTACGCTTTGACGAATTTCAATTCAAAAAACGTCTTAACATGTAGAGTCAAGAACAACTATGCGGATAAGAAATGTGATATTTAACCAATGAATTGTTGCTATTTAGACGTCAATCGTCGCAATTTCAGTGCCAGTGATGGAAGTTCTTTGGAACTAGATAGCAGGGTGAAAACCACGGACAGTTGGGTTATCTTACAATCGCTAATTACATCACATGCTGGATACTTTTAGTTTTTTAAGAAGCAATCTTCGTGGCTTTCTACTTAACAGTTGACCTTCAGTATAATGCGGTGTTTCATGTAATGAAACGTGTAACGAGCTTGATGGTCAACCCTCGTATTGCTTTTATATTTAATTAAAATGACATTGAAGATACTATTCGTCGACTTAGGTAAGTTAATCTAACAAATTACTTTGTTAGCAACTTATCTGAGGTCGTATGTTCGCATCGATCAGTTTCTTCTCGTTAATATTAAAGTTACGTTGTAGAAACGTATGAAATGTGCTCCCGAAATAGGCTATTTTACCTAACAATGCTTGCAAAAGGACGTGGTAGACCAATGTGTAGTATAGGTGATTGTTTGTCGGATATAGAAATGCGATACTTGTCTGTTGCTTTTAGAAATATTTTACTGGCTGTGGTGTTTTCATTTGGATAGATTCCATGCGATTATGTTAATCTCTAAAGACATAAAGAATTTGTTATTATCATGCACCTGTAAAGTCGTTTAGTATCATCTAGTTTTATTTCACTGCAACCCATATAACCGGACATCTTTTTGATAATACGCTTCTCCTAGATGAAAAGGTAATTTGTTATTTCATTGGATGGAAAATCATACACAAGTTGACACTTTATCTGTTTCTTATTAGATGTTTAAAAGACTCTCAACCCATTGAAGTGTTTTCACAGCACTCAATAATCAACGATAATTTAAAAAAACACGATAGTTACACAAGTGTAGTAATTCATTATTCGAACGAAATTGAAATCAAAATATTTTATAAATACAAAAAAATAGAGATAGTATTTGGTCAAACAATAACATCCAGTGATGAATTCATTCTATTATCGTCTCCTGGATCAGAAGAAACTGCTAATTGAAGTTTATTATCCATTTTTCTGAGTAACTCAAAGTATGACCACACGAAAGCGGGAGTAATCTAAGTAAGAATAAACAAAAGATTATCAAATATTTCAATCAATGCATTCATAGTTCATGAAATGTTTCAATAACAATATGTGAGGGCAAACATTATCACTGTTCAAAGTGCGTTTTGTAATGCAGCTTAAAATTTTCCTAGCTTAGTCAAGTGTTGCTAGTGGGTCACTCTACTTATGCTAGTTTACCCAGATATATACAACTGTTTTAGCTTCTCCCACTCACAGTTCGCATACGTGACTCTAATAAAAAAAGTATAGGTAAACGCTAAAGCTTTCAGAAATGAAAACGCGACCTATTCCACTGTATTATTGTGTTCTAACCATATGAAACAACTTTTCTTCGACAAGGAGGTATTCGACGATTTCCTCTGTTCATTTGTCAATAAATTCAGTCCATTTAATTGAAAAAAATCTGTTGGTATTCTAAACTTCGGAAAGCATGAGTTTAGAGTCTGGTGGACATCGTTTTCGATAAACTAAGTTAACTTTGAACACCAACTTCGCTAAATGTGACGTAATAGGCTATCACATAAAGCATTTCACGCTGATTGCCGTTTTTTGCTGTTAATATTTGTTGAAACGATGATCGGATTGAAGTTCAGCAATGTATTTCATTGTTTATAGATTAAATAATAGTTATTACCTTTAAATTTCGTTCAAGACCTATACTCTCACGTAATAAATCATGTACTATTAGAAGTCGTGATTGTACTCTTGTTGATTTGCGTATGTCTTCATGCGTTTCTTCAACTTCTTTGTCTTCTTCTTCTTCATCTTCATTTGTAAGTTCAGTCAATACTTCCTCAAGTCTTTTTTTCAATTAAGAAAAATAACATAAGACCAATAAAAGAACATGGTCATATTATTGTTAATTTATTGAAATAGGTAATCTCTATGACTGATGTGAACAGAGAAACAAGAAGCTATGACAAACTACAGAAGTGATTTTTGCGGACGTTATTTCGTTTTATTCAAAGCTTGTAAAACACTGACATTCATTTTTGTCCCTAGCTTATTTTACAGACCATGAGCTATCGTTTAATGTATGATTCACGGCCATAGCCTTACCTGTTCCAAAGCTATTGTAATTTAAGCGTAATCTTTCTGTACTTTATTGTTCTACCCTAATCTCTAGTTTTGGTCATTATTCTGTTTTTCTAATTGTTTGTGAGTTGTGGTCTTGTTACTCATCTACTTATTCATGTATCTTTTTACATTGATCTGAATTGGAAGTAGATCGAGTATGAATCGGAAATGGGAATAAATCGAGTAGCGTTTCAGTCAACAAGTCTTCTCTCTTTTGCCTGCCTGTCAGTCAGTCAAGTGATAGAATAGTTTTCATCTCTTTACCCCAAGCAGTTAGTCTCACTTCAAACTCACACATACTAGCCTCAAGGTGAAATCAATCAGATACTAGATTAAACGACAATATTTACTTAACGAACTTAAAAGATGAATATTTCTAAAAATAAGTGATTTCATTGTAATGTTAAGGAGCTATTTAGAAAAGGCTTATGAATTTTCTATATTACACATCTGAGTATAAAGAAAAAAATCTAGTACTCAACAAGATAAGTGTTTATGAATCTTAACCTTGCGAGTCAATGGAATAAATTCTAGTAGTAAGTTTACAAAGTGGTTCACATTCAAAATTATATCAGTTATGTATCTGATCGTGTGTATTTCATCAAATAGAAGAACGTTCAGGGTGATCAGATGGTAATAAAGTTCACTTTAATAACATTATTTTCTTAAATTTGACATTTATGTAATCAGTAGCCTACTAATTTAACATCGTTTGACGATAGTTACTTTCACTCGAGAATAACACTTAATTTTGATTATTCTATCATGGCATTAATCGTAACATCAACATGCCTGTTTGAAATATGACATTTTACATGCTGACCTACAATTGATAACAAAGATTTAATGACGATCTTGCTGATTGAAAGAATTGAACTAGCAATTCAATAGTGGTTCGCATTAGCATAATATAAGTGCATATTGTACTTTAAAATATCGAGAATCCCCAATGTTAGAGTTAGAACAACATATGCATAAGTGAATAATACCGTTCTCTTATTTGTGTTACTCTATATTGATTGACTTACCACCTATTTAACAACTTTAGCTAATCTATTATACAGAATTAAAATCTTATTAAAAAGCCGTTAACGTTATCTAGAGTTTGATGGTTGTTTTAATTAGGGATAATAATTAAATAATATTCAAGGTCAACTGGTTATTTTATAATTGTAAAAGAATTATATTAAAATTAGTTTTTAATCAGTTAATTAACCAAATTATTTAATTAGTAAATATACTATTTAGCTTTTATCCTACATTTATCTGTATAGGCTTCATAGATTTCTGCTTGCTTTCAGAACTTGACGATTTCTCAATGTATACAATTAATTCATGTCTTAAATGATATCATACCACGAAATCTAAAGTCGTATTCAATATGTCACGATTGCAGAAGAATATGAAACTAGGACAAATTGGCTCTAGGACTGTTTAGTATGAAGAGATCACGATATCACCTAACCGGCGAACGAAACAAAGTCACTGACACAACAACAGGACAAACTAACTATTCCAATGCTCCTCAGCTCTGCTAACTAGAGGGGGAAGACCAGATTCAGCCGACGGAAATGTACATTCCACAGGCAGCCCAGAAACACGAACAAACATGCTCACAACTCAAATGTATATATACAGAACGAAAATGTCCTTAATAAACGTCACAAAATAGCGTACTAAAAGAGACAACGAACCAATAACATTTAAGGTCTTTCCAAGCGGAAAACACAAGTGAAGGTACAAGTGGGTGCCTTTGGCACAAAAACGAGAAATTCAAATTTTCATAAATAAAATTACAAGAATGACACGTTTACCAAGTGATTTCTAGAGATCTAGCATCCTCAACAAGGACGTTGTCACGTTTCCAACGATTAAGACTTCAGCTTGTAAAGAAAACTATTTTTATACCATACAAAATTCTTATAGTTATATCAGTATATAAATGACTCCTGGAATATTTGTATGAAAAGCACAGAATTTGAGGTAATGTTGTGTTGAAGTATCCAAACAATAATTGTCTAACATAGAACTGTTTAAAAAAATCAAAACTATTTTAATATTGAAAAGGTGAAAACGTACTTTAATTCATGAAGATTAACATTGTCAGCAGTATGTTGAAAGCCTTCTAGTTCAGGAATAACTAATTCATCCTTATCTGCTGATTTCGATTATGATATCCACAACATCACCCAAAGATACAATACAGATTTATAATTAAAAAAAATACGAAAAATGTAGATAAAAAAATTAAGTATCTCAGTAGAAAGTGTATGTTGATGATGATTTCATTATCAAATATCTTGTCGTCACATTAACTTCACATTATGCAATTTTCGATACTACTAAAATTATTCAATCGAATTCGTAGAGTAGTACAGTTAATGTTACTGAGCAAAATAAATTAATCATACGTAATCACAGTATTCAGATCGTAAAGGAGCATATAATGCCCTATTACACTTCATATTGTACTATTTCCAAGTAATTCCAATTTACTGGTTATAATTCATCATTTTTCACTTGTTGCTTTGGCGAATTTCAAAAGGTCGAAGTTTCATTGTTTGTTAATCACCTTGAAGAACTTCAGTGTATCGACTTCATGTCCTGAATATTTTAAACTGACTGTTGTAGTATGGAAATTATGAACTTGAAACTAATTGTGCAGGTAAAACATGGAATTATTGAAAAAAATAAATGTTCGTTTAGACATTTTATCTTGAAAATTTAATTTATACATCCAAAGAGTAGAGAAAATTACTTGAGAAACATATTTCCGTGTGAAACTTTACCAACCAGTGGGTTAACCATCAAAACAGTACGTCATGCGATGAAATATACATGAACTTTGTAATTTGATTTTTATCAGAATGAGGATTTTTGGAGAATGTCGTAATTTCACAGTTGAATTCACGAATCAATCTAAGCAGGATCACCATTAAAAACCTGGGAGCACTGAACAGCCGTTTTGTCCTAGAATGGGACTGCTCAGTAGCGCGCAGTTTCGGGTGTGAGACAGTTATTATTTCAGATAGTGGATGAAGGGGTGCGCAAGATCACTGATTGATTAAAGTTAGAAAATGACACTGTTGGATGCCGGATCAGTGGTCCAGGGGTTAATCGTTCGCGCGCAATACTGAAGGCCTTGAATTCGAGTTCCTGTGTGAGGTGTGGTGAATGCGCACTACTGAGAGGTTTCATAAAAGGACGAAACGGCTATCCAATGCTTCCAGGTTTTCAATAGTGGCCTATATTAGATCGACTCGTGATTTCAACTGCAAAAATATTGCGATTTTAGTGTTATGGCTTTATATACATTTCCACTACATTTGTACCAACAAAAAATATATTAATTAACATAGTGAACTTGTTTTTGTTTGAATTATCTTGTCGTTGATATTTTTGACTAAAATTCGGTCAGTTTTGGTTGTTATATATGCATCCTTTGTCGATGGCCTCAATAAAACCTTTATGACATAACTTTTTATAGAACAAATGTTATGTGTCTAGTAGTAAAACCAAGTCCGCGCGTTTCGTTGAACAAATTTCTTCTGAATGCAAAGGTCAGGTTTATTAACATGGATTGCGATGGCTTCCGTAATGTGTAAAAGGCGCACTCGTATACTATGTGGTAAATTTGATGGGATATGGTAGATAACCTTAAAAGCTTTATTCAATTCAACTTGGTGACCTGTGTCAACCAAATGAGCGAGAATAGAACTTTTTAGATGTCCAACTAGCCAGACGAGCAGATGGGACTTTAAAAAGAGGATTACACAGAAAGTCGGCAACAGGACAATACACCCATTTCTACAGTGCAGTGCCAATTAGATACAAAAGGAACTTGATAAAGATCTTGACCCATAGGGCCAGAAGGATTTGTTCCGAAGACACCATTGAAGAAGAATTAGCTAAGATTCGGAACATACTTAGTACAAATGGGTACCCTTTGAAATTCATTGACAAACACATGATGGAGAAGAAACCAAAAGCGAAGATACCCACGGTCCCGAAGAAAGTACTATTCATAAAATTACAATACATAAATGATACTACTGAAGAGATCGTGACCCAGAAACTAAGAAGAGCTGTACAAAAAACATTTAATGCAGCCAAACTGAATACTATCTTCTATAACTACCCCAAAATAAGAACGACTAGCAAAGACAGACTGCCTGAATTCGCCAAATCTATGTGTATCTACCAGTTCAACTGCTCCTGTGGAGCCAGTTATATAGGGCGTACAATTCGGCAAGTTCGTCACCGCATTACAGAACATCATCCATCGTGGCTAAATAAAGGACAGGTAAAAGTGATTAAAAGTTCTATTCTCGCTCATTTGGTTGACACAGGTCACCAAGTTGAATTGAATAAAGCTTTTAAGGTTATCTACCATATCCCATCAAATTTACCACATAGTTTACGAGTGCGCCTTTTACACATTACGGAAGCCATCGCAATCCATGTTAATAAACCTGACCTTTGCATTCAGAAGAAATTTGTTCAACCACTTTCGCTGCCTTGGCCATCTGTATAACATTCCATTTAACTGAACTATTTTCCATACTTATAACATTTGGTTTGTAGTTTTTAATTTTTAATTTTGGTGTTTTCTTTTTTTTCCTTTTCTTTTAAACTTTATAATTTCTCAACAGTCATCTCTTGATTCTTACGTAACTGCTATTCTATTGACCAACCATTACAAATTCGGTTCCTTCTCTTTCTCATATATTATGCAACTTAGCAACTTCTTGACTTAATAATTACTTTGAATATTAATCATCTTCCTCCCAAAATACTAGATGTTAATTTAAATGTCATTATGTAATTATTACGTAACTTATCCAATCAATGAGTATTATATCATTATTTTAAATCATATATATATTAGTGTAGAGCCATGATGAAAAACTAATTGAAAAGAAATTTCTTCGCTCAATTCGTTCCTTCTGTATTTATCAAATGTCCAAATGATGTAAATAAGTTGTACGATATTATTCCCTGAACTATCTATCATATTAACAAAACTAGAGATTAATAATATTTTTGTCAGATCGAATTATCAGAGAACATATAAAAAAGGGACTTAAGACAACTGAACGAACTTTTATATTTAGCTAAGATTTCTTCATCTCTGAGCTTTTTACGCATATTAACGTGATTTTCGAATGCTTCTATTAATCGTTTGCTTTCCAATAACAGCTCTTCTTCTTTTTTATGTTCGTCTTCACTAAATAATTGACTTTTTGTTAAATCAAATGTTTCATTTCCGTCTTCTATTTTTTCTTGTCTAAGACGTTGTTCTTCAAGACATAGATTTTCGTTGAATAAATCTGTTTCTTTTAAATCAAAATCAATTTTTTTATCTAACCGTATCATTTGCGTTTTAAGAGATTTTAGAATATCAGAATTTAATTGAGTAGCAAATTTGTTTAACTGCTCTTGATTACATTGTCGATATGGGTGAAGATCAAGTAGTGATGATTCAATAGTCTGAAATGTAATTGAAAATTCTTTGAGTTGTAAATAAAAATTAGGCATTTTAAAATTTTTCACGATAAACCATTAATTAACTTGAAACGTATTAAGGTGTATAGTTAAATAGTTAAGTGATAAACTAAGGAAGGCTTTGTATCGAATGGCAAGCATCAATAAGGGATAGCTGAGATTATAGCGGTTATTAATCACTCGGTAGAAATTGATTTTATGATTTTTCGGTTCAAATCGCTGACCGAATTCTATGAATTAACCTGGAACTCGTTCACTACTCTAAATGACTGAATATCTCTCTGCAACTTCATCCATAGAATTCAATCCACTCTGAAGACGAGAAACTGGGAAAAGTTACCAATAGGTGATCAGTGACTATAGTTAAGGACATAAAAGAACTTCTCTAGCACCACCTAATTGACTTTTCATTACTGATGTAGTAATGAGACAATTTTATATATTTTCCATTGAGTTGTTTGTGTTTAAAAATCAGCCTGTAGCTCTTCTAGGGTTACTATCGGTTCCAAGACCGTAAAAGGAGGAGGGTTGGGTATGGAGTCAACAACCTCATTTTGGAGAAAACAATCTTGCTAAAAAAACCCTAACGATAACAAACAATTTAAATCATTTAAACTCTACCGTATTAGTTGAGGAATGACATGACGCCTCATGTTAAAAGCCGAGATTCTTTGGAAGTCTCAAGACTGATGCTCCTTCTAACAACCAGAGCAACAAATTTTATAGGTACCTGGAATGTTCGGATAATGTGGGAGAACAGGAGGACTAGTCAAATATCCACGGAAATGGGGAGATACAACGTGATGGTGCTCGGATTCAGTGAAACACGTTGGATATATGAGGCAGAGATGCTGCTGTCATCCGGTCATTAAGAGGAAAATGCTCAACACACTCAAACAGTTGCTCTAATGCTGTCCAAAGAAGCACGTAAAGCATGTATGGGATGCAAATATCATGGAACCAGGATCATCAAAGCACCTTTCAAAACAAAGGAGGGAATTACGATGAATGACATCCAATATTATGCACCCACCAATAATAGGAATGACGACGATAATAATCAGTTCTATGGGAAGCTGCAATCGATTATAGCAAAGTGCCCATGAATGGACCTCATCATCCTGGTGGGAGACCTAAACGCCAGAATGGACAATATCGGGTATGAAGATATCATGGGACGACATGGACTGGGAGGAAGGAACGAGGATGGCGAGAGATTTGCAAATCTATGTGCGTACAACAAATTGGTTATAGGCGGCACAATATTCCCACTTAAACGCATACACAAAGATACATCGATTTCACCGGACCACATCACGGAAAACCAGATAGATCATATTCGCATCATTAAAAATTCATACTGTCAATGAAAGATTTGAGAACCAGGAGAGAAGCTGACATAGCTTCAGATCATCACCTGGTGGTTGCCAAGATGAAACTGAAGCTAAAGATGCATTGGACAACTGGAGAAACAGAATTACAAAGGTTCAATACAGCTTTCCTTCGAGATACTGAAAAACTCGACGAATTCAAGATAACTATCAACAACAGGCTTTGTGGTGTGTGCTAATTCTGTAGACATAAGTAGTGAACAGAATGTCTGGCAGCAGAGAGACGAGAAGATCGAACAATAAAGAATCAAGAAAGAATGCGATTTGTAGGAAACTGCAAGAACAAAGGAATTCTGAGTCATTTGAGACAACAAATTGAGCATTTTATATATGGTTGTTGGATCTTACTAACTAGTTCTGTAATTTGCTGTTTCAATGCATTCGATTGTCTTCACCTGTGTTCTGTTCACTACAGTTTCATCCCTTACAAGATCTACTCAAAGAAGAAGGAACTACGATGGAGAACAACTGGAAGTGGATAAGACATAACATTACGAAAATCACCAAGCTGCATCACGATGCAAGCGCTAACTTTGAATCCTAAAATGAGACGGAAAAGAGGAGGGTCAATAAACACACTACGTTGGGAATTGGAAGCAGACATGAAAAGGATGAATAGCAACTGGAAAGAATCGCCTAGGACAGAATTTAATAGGAAATGTTTGTGAGAGGTTTATGCTCCTTTATGAGAGGTAACAGGCATAGGTAAGTATTTGCGTTTAAACTAAGGTAAATACAAGTGGGATAGAATAATTCGTTTCAATCGCGTTAGTTTGCTAAATTAATATTTACGAGAAATCAAAAAGGTCTTATATTTTCTTGGTAAAGATGATTTCCCGATCAACTTATAAAACATCTACTTCGGTTTGTAAACTCAATGATTCGTGGTAAAAACGACCTATTATCATTACTCATGGGCAAGGAAGTGGTTTACCAAGCGGTTAATTGTATTTCAATCTAAATGCTCACTGATAGATAATTTTAACAATTATATGGACAATCTTCATTTGACCATTGATCAATAAACATTGGAATGTCTTTCATTTTAGGCGTGACTGTAACTCATTATTAAAACTTCTGTTCGGTAAAAGTTTCATTTTTTTCATTACCAATAAGTATAATTATTTTTCTTCCCTTAGTAATTAATATAATTTCATGTTACATCAAATAGATAGTGTTAGAGATCAGGTTGGACATGTTAGTTGACTGTAGCTTTGCATAGATTTTTGTTATACATCATTAAACATGCATTACTAGATACAGATTACATGTAGGTTGGTCGGACTGTAAATCTTTGTCTGTTGAGTTGATTAGGGTGTTTAAGTTGTGCTAAAACACCGCCTAGCTCAATAAGCAATGTTAGATGCTACAGGAGTAAGTTAGAAGAAACTAAGGCTCGCGCAAATCAATACGTAGCATAAGTTCATGAAGTTATTCGGTATTGGTCTGAGACGTGTTGGTAGAATCAGGCTACCTGGTAGGGATCAACACGGTAACTGTAACCATTAATTGGATAGTGTAACAGGGGTCAGAATTGGTCCTAATGATGTAAATTCACTTTTGATCTTGTTCTAAACCTTGAGTCCCAATATACCATTATATAAATCTATTCAAACCATAATGTGAATGTTTAGTTTTTCTCATTAATATTGCTACTACATATTTTTGTATCATTTTATTGTATTCATTTAGTCTTTATAAAGCGGTATAAATTGGACTAACTCGTGCGATTAAAACTGATTGGCCGACGATTATTATTATGGAAATTATTTGAATAAAGTGTGGATAAATTAAGAAGACTCAATTGTGCAAAAAAATATTGTTTTTGTGAGAAGTGAAACTTAGAGTTGACTAATGTCAAGTACTGTTGGGGAGTCTTAAACTACAACGAAACAGCTGTCCAGTGCTTACTAATTTTGTTTAGTTGTTCATTACAAAAATTATATTTTTAACCTGAACAAATCTACTCTAACCACAAAATAAACAATCACAAATTAGTTGTGCTGAACTAATGTTAATTATAACTGACGTGTCTGAGAATTTTTTTAATGATCATTTATATGTGTAGGTGATTACAAAGTAAACCATTTTCATTGATAGTCAATGTAAGTTTCATGGGGCAAAAGGCTTGGTTAAAAATTAGAATAATGAGTTATTTGTTCCTGAGGTGAAATTTATTTCACTCCAGATTTTAATTCATACTGCGGTATGGTCAGGATAACAGTACGAGACAATATATTCTGCTGCTAGACCAATCAATGCAAGTCATTCAATGAATTTCTCATTGTAATTTTAAGTTCCTTAAAAATGTATATAAAGGGCAACATTTTAACTACATATTAATTCTTCACAGCTACATATTAGGCTTAGTCTTTTGGTGTTCTGGCTCTTAGTGAAATATTAAATTCTTATACGTAGAAACTTTATTTATTGTCAGGTGATCTATCAGCGGAAGAAATCCGTCCCTATTGTCGTACAAAATCCACTCGGTCACACCAATTCATCACAAATGGGTCACACTATTTATTAACATGTTTAAATTAAAATTGATCAAATGATTTCTTTTTGAATAAATGAAGGCAATAATTAAAAATGAAATAAAATTAACACTTTTTAAATGCGAAAACATGATAAAATGTAGCAAATTAAGGTTACGTACTGACTGAGAAAATTCCGGCAGAATAGTCAAGTCTAGTTCTTTCTGTGCTGCCAAAGCCATTTCAGTTAACTAAAAGAAAATAAGAAAAATTAGAATTTTGTTGCGAGATTCTATGACATAAAATAAGGAATTTTTGAATTTATTTCAAAAATGCCTTTCAACTATAATTCGTGTAACAAAATTTGTATAATCTATTGTTTATTAGTTACTATGTGAACTACTATGTTTGAGCATATACGCTAACCTGAAAATGGTTTTGAGAATGTATATATTTGCAAACTCCCAATGGTGACGATTTATTCATTCAGAGTTCAAAGTACTAAATATCTTTGGTTGAAGCTTAAGAATAACGTGTAGTTGTCAATCTAAGCTGTACCACCGTCGCGAACCTGGAAACACTGGACGGCGCTTTCGTTCTAAAACGGACTGCTCAGATGTGTGTATACACGATCCCGCAAGTGGGACTTCCAGGTTTTCAAAAATAGTCCAGCTAAGATTGACCTGTAAATCCTACTGTGAAAATACTACAATCTCTACAAATCTCCGTACTGGTAATGATCAATACAGTCAAGCAAATATTCGTCAAATTCTTTTATTTCAACTAATTTTTTTCACTGCACAATCAATCCAATGAAATATTGATATAACTGAGATTGTTAGTTAAAATGAGGATTTGCCTACTGAGAAGCAATCCTCAAGTTCAAATACAGCACAATTTTGGTGACAGAACTACTTGTCAGTTGTCTATACACACGTTTATATATTCTGCTAAGAAAGTATGAATAAGAGCTATTTATCAGATGAAAAAATTCTTAATCGAAGATCATTTTGAAACTAACTAGGCGACACAATGGAGTATTTGGTTTATTGTGCAGTGCCTTATGCTTAATTCTTGATAACATTTAATGAGATCTTAGTATTCTGTCGTCACGTCCCTATGAAATATATATTTGATATGATATACTTGGTGATAATTTAGTTTCTTTCTCACAAATTGGTTTATGTGCTTATGATTGGCAATAGAACTTCCTGTCTCATTTGATTTATGTATAGGTGTAAATGTAGGACACATTGGAAATATAATTTTCATGAATGATTAAGTGAATAAAAATATTTATGAGGTTTTTTCGTTTTAGCACTATTACAATTGTGGAGGCACGGAACCTAAGGTAATCGCATTCTGTGTGAAACTCAATCTATATACATAGTTCGAATTATAATTTGTAGTAAACAGTATAGTTTTCCCAATTCAATTAATGTTTTCATGTTACAATACTAAGATCTGTATTGTGTGACATAACTATTAGATGCTTCACGGTTTGATTGGTAATCAGAATCTTGCCTAAAAAATAACTATCGCACAGTTCTGTTAGTATAGACATTTCTATTGAACAATTGAGCTAATGATTAAATTTTTGTACAAATGAGATGTTTATACAAATCGACTATTAAATAGTGCCCAAATCCTATATTTCACCAAAACATCTAAACTGAAATTTGTTGTGCATATGGGTAAACTAAAGTGTTTAATATTGTACTTTAGATATGTTCAAACTGGAAATTAAATTCATATGCTTACTTTTTTCCATTTTCTATAATTTTGTTTTGTAGTTGTAAGTTTGCGAAAGAAATCTATGTAACAAAATAAAAAGACATACTTAATAAAATTGTAAATGTTTTTTTATCTAACCATTTTTCTTGATCAACGAACTTGAGTATTGGTTCAACAAAACGTTGGTTCTAAGCTGATCAGTTTTTTTTGTTAATCATGTCGATTGGAAACTTTGAACCGTATGACATAGTGACCGATTATTTCAGCTGACTAAGAAGTTCTTCAACACTGGAAATTTGTGTTTAAAATTAGCCTTTTTTATTTGGCTCATCTGTGACTTAACATAATCGTTGGAAGCATTAATCAAATGAACAAACAACTGATTTATTGATGAATAAAGTGATTGAAGCACAATGTTTATTGTCATTTTTCTTTCGACGTATAAATTTCAAAAGTAAACGTGAGTCAAATTACTCAACTTTTTGATAGAAGCATATCGTCACACAAGTTTTTATGATAGTTTTCATCCAAACCATGAAGCGAATATTTACGAGAACACATTTTTAAAACAGTCATTTCTTTTGATAAACTTGCATAGTGTAATAATAAGACAAAGATTTCCAGAACTTTGTGATACATAAGCGCAATACATTTTGAACTATATGATCACACATATACGACCTTGTTTCAACTATGTATTTAGCAATTGAGGACGATGGATGTTTGTCATTGATGTGTGGGCGAGAATGATAATGATTGGTTGTCTGCTTAGTCAGGCATGTAGACATTCTGACAGATGTCAGATAAGTTATATATTACCTTATCCTTATTATTGTGATACACACTTATTATTGATTGTTCATTGTTGTGGGTTGTGTCGGTTTTGGGTGTGAAAATATATTCACGTTGTGATCAGACTAATTACGTGTTCTTGATCTGAGTTGTGTTGACGTCGTGTAGAATAGACACTGGGAGGGACCTAGTGTAGATAATCGTTTGAGCGTTATAACATTAGACGAAGTAATACCGAGCGTTATAACAGTCATCTACGCTTATTGGTTCGTTTGATTTCATTTGTTTTTTCAACCATTTAGGTGTATATTGAGACATCCTAATTCGCAAATCACGATCGCTCCGTCGTATGTTTGTGTAGCCAAAAACAAGCTTAAATTTATAAACGCAGTGGGATTTGACAATAGTTTACATGCCTTTTAGGTTCTCGATGAAGAAGACATTTTTAAGTAAAGCGTATAATTAAAACACTGATAAGGAAGGAAACAAAATTTATTTTTAGATTTTGTCACTGAGTTTAAAGTATCACTCATGATGATACTGAATGCTCAATTAGTGAGCTTTGAAGTTCAGTTGAGAATGTCTTATTACTTCTCTTAATATCAACGACATTTATCAGAAATTAATATTTCAGTTAGGCAGAAGTTTGTAGAAATGTATTTATTGTAGTACTTCAGGGTATATAAACGTATTAAACAATTTCACGGGTTAAATTCGGTTCAACCGTACTGTTGATAAATTTTAGCCTGACCTTATGTATATAAGTAAAAATAGTCATTTTGGATAATTATTTCCAGCAGTTGATTTTTCAGATCAGAATAATTGAATGCGAGCCCATAATGTTCTTCCTATGTAAATGGGAAGTTGGATTTCCATTGTCATATTTGATGATTTCCGACTTTTTGAAATGATGACTTATTAAAATTACCTTGACACTTCTTAGTTGATTCTTTTTCGGTTTATTAACTGATGTCTGAACTTCAAGCTACAAATTGTCTTATTTCCATCCATGTTTAGTCGTCCATTCTAAGACACAACTCAACCGATATTTAAATGTTCCGATATTCAATCAGTCAGCAACAACGTAGAACTTCGTACATCAGTTCGAGTTGCCATACCATATTGGCACAGAGATACGATTGTCGATTCAAGTCCTGCAGTGGTAGTGGTAGTAAAAGTATAAGTAGTCATCGGAAAGATTAGGGTTTGAAGATGTTAGTCAAGTCGTATCGTCCAGTGAAACAAATTTGGAGAGAGAAAAAAAACATGGAGAGTTCAGAAGATTAGAATTTAGGAGAACACAAAGAGTTGATGCATTTGCACCATCGCAAACGATTTTCAGCCATGCCATTCAAGGTGCCTAACCATCCGATAAGTCCCAGCTTACATTTTATTTTCCAAAAAAAGTCCACTTAGTTAAAGAAAAATAAGTTCGAACCAGAGATCAGCATCAAAAAAGTACAAATCAAAACATACATGAAAAATACACTAGACTTAATATAAGGAATTAGCGAATGGTGTCCTCTTAAGTATGCATCTAGATATACATAACTCTAATGGATATCTAAAAACGGTTGGTGATGTTTTACAGTTAAAGTAATGGTGAAAAAATGTAATAGTTTGAAGCAATGATTACTTTAAGGTATCACCATAACTTACTGATAGGGCCAGTCGGACGTGTACGAAGCCATTCTTTTTCTTCTCTACACAGTTCTTTCGCTAGAGTTTTTGGTTATAAAAAAATTATCTAACAAATAACTTGGTTCTTATTAAAATTTTATCTTTCACGAAAAAAAAATCAACATTGATGATAACATAAGCATCATACCTATTAAACAAGTTCATGCTAATCTAGACTCAACACTTCAGTAGATAACACTAACGTTGAAGGCAAAATCTACAGGGTTTGAGTCCACGTGTGAATACCGACACTGAGATTCAGATAAATGAAGCCGATGACCCTCAAATAGGATGACATTCGTGTCCTGGACTCCATCGGTAGCCGAAATCTATCGGTTTTACTTAAAACAATTAGCTTTTTATCACTGATACTAAAAATTGTACATAGGTAATGACGAAACATCAAATATTTAAGTTTAAATTACTGAAATGTTAACTCATTATAAAGTCCAAATAACTTAATTTTATCTCGATTTTATTCGTTAAGGTTTACGAATAACGAAGCGATCGATCTGATTTTTCAAACAAAAACGTGACTTGATATAACAGTGTCTACTAACAACATTTATGCAATCGTCATGAAACTTTAAATGAATATGCTTTGGGAAAGGAATTTGAGGAGCAGATAAAAATGTGCAATTTCGAAAGTTATTCACTGTAGAATCGATACACATATTTCTAATTTGTATTTCTTAGACAACAGGTTCATGGTATTTCGATACTGTTAGATTTCAGAAATTACAGTTAGTTACTTATTAAACTGTTAATCGAGCGATTATGTAGAGTCATCGTTACCGAGATAGATAAAATTGTGACACCGTTCATAGTTGTATAATTCATATTTATATTGTTTCAGCTTTTTATCAAACGTTTCACATTCAGGAGATATTTTTCGCCATCATAAGGTATCATCTGTAGAAACATTGGAAAGCTGAAACAAAAAACACCTGTTCCGTCTAGTTTTAGGACTTCCGAACGGTTTAAAGTAACGACTCATAACGACTTCAAGTTTAAAATCTCCAGATTTTTAGCATGTACAATACTTTTGAATCAATGATTTGAGATCTGATGATTTCAAATCTCAGATACTGTTGTTCTTCATCGGAATTCATTTGCTTTTAATAGTCTTTAGTAAATGTCAGGTTTATAAGAAAGTATTATTCAGAATATTGTTTTCCGTACCTGGTCTATCAGAAAATCATGTCAACGTTAGAATTATCTTTATTTTAATGTTTTAATTCTTTTGCTACCTATCTGGAATAACATGTTAAGCAAATTCATAGTATCATAATAGTTTGGCCAAAACTACTGAGAGGGTAAAAGAACTATGACAAAACTAGAAAATCATACATTTACTATACGTTTATGAAGCTGTCTGTCAACCAGACCTTTTTTTGAAGGTTGCTGTTATCATCTATCTGCTAATATTATCACTACAGCGTGCCTGAGAAGATAGTCAATATCACACGGAATTCATATAATGGATTAAACCGCAAAATCGTGCATGGAAAACAGCTGACAGATTCGTTCGAAGTAAAGACCGGTGTCAAACAAGGTTATTCACTCTCACCCTTTCACTTACTCCTGATGGTCTACTGGATCATGAAGATCTAGACTGCATCTGGACGATCTAAAGTTCGCAGGTGATCTGGCTCTTTCATCACACACTCAACAACAAATGCAGGAGAAGACAACCAGTGTAGCAGCAGCCTCAGCAGCAGTAGATCTCAATATACACAAAGAGAAAAGCAAGATTCTCCGGTACAACACAGCATGCAACAATCGAGTCACACTTGACGGAGAAGCGTTGGAAGATGTAAAAACTGTTACATATCTGGGCGGTATCATCGATGAACACGGTGGATCTGATGCAGATGTGAAAGCGTGGATAGGTAAAGCAAGGGCAGTATATCGACAATTGAAGAACATATGGAACAACTGTCAACCAACAACAAAGTCAGAATTTTCAATACAATTATCAACACAGTTCTACTTTATGGGGCAGAAACTTGGAGAACTACGAAAGCCATTATCTAGAAGATACAGGTGTTTATTAACAGCTGTCTACACAAAATACTTCGGACCCGTTGGCCAGATACTATCAGCAACAACCTAATGTGGGAGAGAACGAACCGGATTACAGTGGAGGAAGAAATCAGGAAGAAGCGCTGGAAGTGGATAGGACACACATTGAGGAAAGCATCCAAATGCGTGACAAGGCAAGTTCTCATCATTTGGAATCCTCAAGGCCAAAGGAGAAGAGGAAGACTAAAGAACACATTACGCCGAGAAACGGAGACTGACATGAGAAGAATGAACAACCATTGGATAAAATTAGAAAGGAAGGCTCAAGACAGAGTGCATTGAAGAATGCTGGTCGGCGGCCTATGCTCCATTAAGGATAACAGGCGCAAGTAAGTATATAAGTGCATTCTAGTGCAATAAATGTAATGTTTTTATGTTAAATAACTCACGTTTACCACTTCTTGTTCTCATATAATTCTCTTCTGCAGCATTATGGGCTACTAACTCTGAAAATTTTAGTGGTAACAATTTTTGAGACTTTTATTAGTTAGACATTACATTAGATAGCTAACTAGATCATTAAAAAATGCAAGCATATCACATTGGATTAAAGATTTGTACTAGAGAAATTCTACAATAAAAACCGAACAATTTAAGCTTATATGAAGTTATCACTTAAGGTAAAACGGAATGAATAAAATTAAAAAATAGGATGAAAAATTTTTTAAAGTGGGTTGAAAACAATGAATTAAAATATCACAAAAATCATCGTGTGTTTAATGGTATTAATCACTGAAAGTGTGATTCATGATTTACAAAACCATACAGAAACATTTTAACACTCGATTTTTCGGTAGATATTTTTACAGATGATAATCTAATTCATACATATTTGTTGTTTGGATCTACTCATCGATGTTTACGACTTGAATTGATCAGTCACATTCGGGATATGCGTATACTGCACGTATTGCGGCGATATTGCCGTTAAACTAAAGGCATTTTTTGTTAGGATGATCCAGAAAAATTCTCGCAAAAGACACGCAAGGATCAAGAAACATTAATAAGCATTTCATCCAATCAGCGTCCACTTGGAGTTTAGCCAGAAAACATCAAGGATGTGAAACGTCACATGTAGAGGTTCTGATTGGCTGATTGTTATACCGCTACCATGTTTAGTAGCATTCCAGAATCTTCGAGCAACCCAAGGACATTTAGAATATTATAAAAACCCTCTGTTTACTGAATTAAAATGAACCTTGGATGATGATTATCAGCGTTTCATCCTATTTTAGACTTTTTCGCTTGGTCTACCGACATGTCAGTAGCTAAGTGGAAAACGTGAGGACGTTCCAGGTGAACGTTACTGAGTTCGAGTCCTGGGGTGAACATCAATCCTGAGATGAAGTCAAATCCTACTGACGAGTCCCTTATAGAAAGTCCTAGATACCACTGCTAGTAATTAACCACCTGTGATTACAATTTGGAAATCGAATGAAAAATTACATTGACAAGACAGAAACCAACCTCAAATGCGAAAGTAATCCGTTACTTCCTGTTTATGTGATATTTAACTATAAAGTAATTCTCTAGTTCCATTAGGAATTTTTGAAATATAGGGTTCTTGGATTATCATGATAGAACATCAAATTACTTTCAGGGTTGAGTAATTACCACACATAAACATTAAGTCAAATAATTCGAAGATAGTGAAAGTTGGTAATTATCCAAAGCAACGATAAACATAATTTAGAAATGATAAAGGATCAGTTTTCAATTCTTGGTTGTCCACATTGTATAAAGATATTTCTCGTTGAGGGACTTGAGAAAGAAACCTGAGTTGGTATTGGTTTTATCTACTTGAAAATGTGACTGGATGGGGCATAAGCCAGCTGATTAAAACCTATCACAGACTGTTTTTTTGTTAGTAGTTTTCGATATACTAGTTTTGAACATTTTAGGTTAACCGCTGATACAGGGTATCAGTTTAACAAGGTGACGTGTGTTATATTTATGATCAGAATTACCTGACTACTTTACCGGTTTAGGAATGCAACATGATTGGGTGTACTGATTAATCATCCGAAAAACCTGCTATTACAATTAATAATAGTTGACAATATGCCTTCGCTCTTGGACCCTAAGTTTTCTGTATCGAATTTACTGTCCTTCAATTAAGCCACCTGTCATAGTAGAGCATCAAGAAATCTTTATTCCAGTCAATATAGCTTGATCGAGTTGCCTTAATTAGCTAAACTGACCATCAAGTTAGGATAGCAGATAAAGTAGGGGGTCAACTAAAAATTTTCAACATGAAGCATTTGTTATTGATTTATTCCCACCCACCATAAAAATAAAAGTTTCGAATCTCATCCCGTGTAATTTGATGAGAATTTATTTCAGTGCAGTCCTAATTAAGATAAAAGTAATTTCTAGCGTTCCCTAGTTAATACTTCTTGAAGGGACTTGAGTACACGATGATATCTGCGTTTAAATGTGTGTTTATTATATACAAAGTACTATTAAGGGAAAGTTTGAAGCTCACTTGTTTAGCTAATCTGTATTAAAATGTTTGCTACAAAATTTATAGTTAACCAGACTTTAAAATTTTAATTCATCAATAACATAGTTTATCATTAACTGTTCAGATTAACATACCTGAAAATTCCGATAAATTACCCGATCTAGCAGCTGAAACAAGATCATCACTAAGACCTGCAGCAGCTAAAACATCTGCTAATTGTTGTAGACTGTCAAGTTTAGCTGCAGCTAATAAATTAACTAAACCTTCAGCACCGCCGCCTGCTGCATTAATCAAGAGCTGTAAGGCTTCTGCACCTCCACCGGCCGCTGCCAATATATCCGCTAATCCATCTGAATTACCACCGATCGCTTCTAAAAGAATTCCTAATGTATCTGGATTATTTCCAAGTACTTTTAATAAATTCGACAATCCATCTATTGGTTTTTTTTGTTTACCTCGAGAAAGTATTTTTAGAAGATTATTGAAACCTTCTTGACCTCCACCTCCAGCAGTAATCAAAGTTTTTAAAATATTAGCTTTTGAATTAGAGTCTGTTGCACCAGCTGCTTGTAATAAGTTATTCAATCCTTCTTCATCTCCACCAGCCGCATTTATTAATACTTCTAGACCTTCAGCACCACCACCAACTGCTGCAATCAATGCCGCTAAACCATCTCCATCTTCAGAAAACTTTCCAGCGGCTTTTAGTAATGCGGCTAGTCCAACCTGTCCACCACCAGCAGCTGCAATTAAAGTTGCCAGACCATGTTCTTTTCCACCTAATAGATTAATGAACGCTGTCAAACCTTCAACACCTTTACCACCTATAGCTTTAATTAAAGCTTCCATTCCATTTTCTCCACCACCAGCTGCTGTGATAAGATTAGCAAGTCCATCATCACCAAGTGTTTTCAACAATCTCTTCATTCCTTCTTCACCACCACCCATAGCATTAACTAAAATTGTGAGACCTACATCAGCTCCACCTAATGATTCAAAAAGTAATTTCAAAGCACTTGGATCATTTGGATCAAGTCCACTGGCTAATAATAAATTTCGTAATGCGTTTTCATCACCACCTAACATTTCCAACAAGACTTTTAATGCTTCTGCTGGATTATCACCACATGATGCCAGTAATTTAGCTAATGCTTCATGTCCACCACCAAATGCATTCAAGATTTCTTTGATAGAATCTATACTGCCACCAGCAGATTTTAATAAAGCAGCTAATCCTTCTACACCTCCGCCAGACATTTCTATTAATTTTTTTATTACTTCTTCTTTATTGCCATTTTCACCAAATGAATTCAACAAAGTTGCTAAACCTTTAGCTCCACCACCTAGTGTTCTTAATAAACCTTCAATACCAACTTTGTCACCGATAACTTTGAATAAATTGTCAAGACCTTCAACACCACCACCTAATGCTTCAATTAAATTCTTGAAATCTTCTTCTTGGTTACCAGTTACGTTAAGTAGGTTAATTAGTGCCTCATTCATATCACTACCTAATGCACTCAATAAATTGGTTAAACCTTGTACACCTCCACCAACTGCATCAAACAGATTTTTTAAGCCAGATGCACCGCCCCCAGAAGCTGTAATTAGATTTGCAACACCTATTTTTTTAATTTATCAAAAAAGCAGTATGAAAAGAACAGTGTTTAAATAGAAATAGAAAAAACTTAAGATACGCATCATAATAAAATGATTTATTCAATAAATCTGGCATCTTGTCTCAAAGTCAAATAGTATTAACAGACGTTCTGGTGTTCTACTTTAACATAAGTGAATTATTCAACTGGCCAAGGGCATTGAACATATTAAACTATTCGGGTTAGTTCAGATATATAGATATATTCAAACTCTGTAAGCATCGCTGTCCAGGTTACGTAAATAAACTTTCTTATGAAGCTTTGGTTACTTTTCTTTTAACTAGGTGGTTAAAAGTTCGTAACGTAATGGTAGCTAAAATATATCCAGGTGACCATACTAATAGATTTATATACCTGCTAAATATTTAATTATCATCGTGTACAATGAGTTTTCTTACAAAATCACTAGCTGCGTTGTATTTGTGAGCACAACAAGACAGCGACCTGAATTTAAACTTCATCGAATTCTAACTTGAATGTATTTCTTTATCTAACTGTTGTTAACGAAAAGAGGATTATTTCGGAAAGATAAACTTGAATGTGAGTTACTACAGTTTACCGAAGTTGGAATTCATAATGTATTGGGGATTGTGTTTGTAGTCCATTATGAAAAACAATAAGAAATGAGTTATTCATATCAAAATGCTTTACAATTACAATGTTAGCTTACCGCCTCCAATATTTGACAATAGTGATCTCAACGACTCAATAGGTTCATCTCCAATTGAAGATAAAAGGTTTTTTAATCCTTCTAAACCACCTCCAGCAGCTTCTATGATATTTTTCAAGCCTTCCGCTCCTCCACCAGCTGCAGACACTAAATTTTTCAAACCTTCTATTCCTCCACCTGAAGCAGTTAGCAAAGCTTCTAAGGCTTCTTTAGTAGAACCACCTAAAGATTTTAAAAGATTAGCCAGTCCAGAAGCACCGCCACCAACTGCTTCAATGAAATTCCTCAAGCCTTCTTCTCCTCCGCCAACAGAAGCGATTAAATTGGCTAACGCTTGTGTAGGATCACCTCCTAATGCCTGTAAAAGTGTTTGCAAGCCTTCAACCCCTCCCCCGATCGACTCGAGTAAGTTTTTTAGGGCTTCACTACCTCCACCAGAAGCTTTTAAGATATTAGATAAAGCTTCGTTTGGATTATCGCCCATTACATTCAACAAACTTTTTAATCCCTCAGCACCACCACCTACAGCTTCCAACAGATTCTTTAAACCTTCTATTCCACCACCAGCGGCAGCTAAAATGTTAGCCAATGCTTCAGTTGGATTATCACCTGTTGCTTTCAATAGATTTTTCAACCCTTCGACACCACCACCAACAGCTTCAAGTAAATTTTCCAAACCTTTGAGACCACCACCAGATTCTTGTAATAAAGAGGACAATCCATCTTTTACACCACCGGCAGCTTTTATGAGAGTAGACAAGGCATCAGCTAAAAAGACAAGGTCAAGATAACAGGAAATAAACTCAGTGAAAGGTTTATGAATTGTAGTTAAACATTTTTAACACATGAATTAATACTTAATTGAGTAACTATTTAGTACTTTAGTAGATAGCTTAATCAAATAGATGGAAGAAAGTCAGTCTAAACTAGACACACTGACAATAATAGTTATTGAATCAAGTAAGGTATGCACGATAATTAAGAAAAGAACTAGGAATATTTACATTTAGTATACATTGAAACAAAATTCATCGCACCTATGCCATTTATTCTCAGATTCTGCGTTACTATAAATAATCGGTCAATTGGTCATAGGGAACGTAGAATTTGTTAAAAATGCCTCTTGACTGAAGCTTCCACACTGCATGAGTACGGCAGTGATCGTATTAAAATTGAACCAAGAAGGAAGAACAGACTTGCAGGAATAAAAGTACGGAGTACTTCGAGACTCAGATTTAACGAATGACCTAGTGTGTTATTGCAACTGATTTTAAACTATTTTGTTCAACGCCTTCAGCCAACAGTCACAATGATAGCGTGAGCCCCGATCAGGTAGTCTGTACCTAGAATAGTAGTCAATGATTGCATGCACTGGTGGCACGATTTCGTTCTTTGGCTAAGCTTTCTTCCAATATACTCCTACGCTTTGAGCTGAAGTAGTCGGTGGTTTGGGATATATAATACATTTGGCAGTCAACTCAAATGATGAATATCCATAACTATACCAAAAGATTTGCTATGTTTATTTGGTACTCTGAGTTTAAACGTAATACCGCCAGCTCAGTGATGTTAAATTACGTAAGCAGTTCTTCGAAGGTACACATCATTCAATACTAGTAACCCGGGAACTATCTCTACTTTTAAGGACCAGATTATTACGAATATCTACATTTAACATATATGTTGTACCAGTAATCTTCTGTTTTCATTTCAGATGAGTTGGCTCAATCTAATACTTAGTTACTTGAAAAATGGTCAAAAGTGCAGATCTTTACGAATGTTTAACGTTCTTATCTATCTAGTTTTATGGATAAATTGAGTTATTCTACTTCAAAAAAATTTGTAAAATATTTGTCTCACGTAAAAATTGTTTACTCCTTATTCCAATCAGTAATTCATTATTCACAAGACTTCTAGCGACCAACAACTCAGATATATGACTAGTGAATTATTGAAATTAATTTTAAAGTAAATCATGAGATTCCTTTTCAACATAAAATTTCAGATGACAGAATTGACACCTATAGGTAATTCTAGTTTATATTTGTATTAAATTATCAATAATACTGACATCGCTTAAAATCAATAAATGATTAATGCCAATATCAAAGGATTCTATGTTTGGATGACAGAAAAGTATGTAGATAATGACAGTTATTAGGAAAACTTTCCCTTGAGTAAACCATAAAGGCTATCTTACAATCGAGGTTGAATATCAATAAATTAATCACAATTAACGAATAATTAAGTTCCAATAGTTGAAATCATGAATCAATTGAAGCTAGACCACCATGGAAAACCTGGAAGCACTGGACGGCCGTTTCGTCCTAGTATGGGACTCCTCAGTGGTGGTTGGTTAAGCGCCTGGCGCGAGACTGATAGGTCCTGGGTTCGAATCCCGCGGGGGGCGGGATCGTGGATGCGCACTGCTGAGGAGTCCCATACTAAGACGAAACGGCCGTCCAGTGCTTCCAGGTTTTCCATGGTGGTCTAGCTTCAATTGATTCATGATTTCAACTATTGAAATTACCAATTCTCCACAAAACCCATTCTAGGAATAATTAAGTCCCAGAATGTTTAACCATTCATGAATATTTGGTTGGGTATTTATCATCGATAATGTCAAATTACTTATTTAATTTAAGGATTTCAATCAATTGCAACTACAGTATATCAAGGAACGAGTGATATTTAGAAATACTTGCTGTGTTCATTTATATAAGGAATGATTTATTTCAATAAGATACTCAAAAAAGAGTACAATTTAAGTGCGGAGAAAGGTTAGATTACAGACACATTGAAGAATCTACAATTAAATAAGTATAACTTTCGATTATTTTGTTAAATGATACCGGTTTGTGAATAGAATATGTCAGATATTCGATAATTTTTAGAACAGATGTATGAATGTAATTAAAATTCATTATAATTAATGGTAATATGAGCACAATGAATTTGACACTAACTAACCTACATTATCTCCACCGATAGCAGTTAAAAGATTTTTCAATCCAGTTACATGATCACCGCTTAATTGTAATAAATTTCTAATTCCTTCAACTCCACCACCAGCAGCTTGTATCAAATTCTTTAAACCTTCTAATTCACCTCCAGCAGCTGCTATTAAGCCAGCTAATCCTTCTGAACCTTCACCAAATAAACTTTCCATTAATTCTTTGATACCACCAGCAGCTTCAAATAGATTTTTAATTCCTTCAGCGCCACCGCCAACTTGTTTGATTAATTCTTTTAAAGCTGTTTGTTTATCACCACCTAGTGCATTCAATATATTTTTAATTCCATCGACACCTCCACCCATAGCGTTGGCAAGTTGTTTTAAAGCATTTAGTGGATCATCATCGAGACCTCTTAATAATTCACCTAAAGCTTCAGATGGATTAGCACCTGAAGCTAGTAGCCTAGCTAATCCTTCAGCACCACCGCCGACCGATTCAATCAAACCCAGTAAAGCTTCAATCCCACCCCCAGCTGCAGCTAATAATCCACTTAAAACGCCACGATTAGAAAGTGGAGTGTCATAAATAGCCCCTTTGACCAGATTCATGATTAGTGTTTCCAAGTTTAAACCTTAAACAAAAAGTTGTGGTATATAATAAAGTACACAGAACACAATTAGTAATACTGTATGTCTTGTGAAATATTGAAACCTTGAGAATAATCTCACAATAGTTTGATTTCTGACAGTTTGGTATAGGTTATTTAGACAATTTGGATCTCCATGATAAAAAATATCAACTAACTCCCACCTAGTTTTATGATTCTCAAAATTGGGATTGATTCAAGGAATTAGTAAGCGTTTAGAGCTCTGCAGAACAAATTATTTACAATAGAAACTACAGATTTTGTTTCCTGAAGGGAAATTCTCACCATACAATTCGAAGAGCACTCTTTTATAATGCTTTATTGAAGTGAAAACTTATGTTCACATAATTTCTTTGAAAACCGATATAAAAGTAGACTAATTTTTCTGAGTAAACTTATTATCAGGTTGGCTCTCTTTTGATATGTTTTGTAAAATCGTAACATATTATCCAAGGTCATATTCAGAGAGTATCACAATGAGAGTTTAAATACAACGGAGAACATCAGCTTCTTCAGTTTCGCTGAGAAGATATGCTAATGATGGTGCTCTGTGATGAAACCTAAGTGTAACAGGCTCCGCTGCTAATAATTCTCAAACATCTAATCTAAAATAAATTGTATTATAAAGATTAGTCGTGTAACTTGGTAAGCACATTATAAGTTGAACGTTTAAATTTGATTAATCTATTAGAATGTATAAACTAAACGATTTAGAAGTTCTACACATTTATTCTTCTCAATCTAATCAAGCAAGTTAATTACAATAATAATTTTAAGAAAAACACATTAAATGGTAACTTCATATAATTAAAAACTGAAACAATCGGAATTATTAGGATAAGTAGTGGTTTTATAATTTACCTGTAAAATGTTTACCAGGTTTTGCTGTATCTGATCCTATTAATTCTGTCGCTACTATACTGCATACTTCAGCAATTTGTATAATTAATTTTTCTAAATCATAATTTTGTTGAATCGATATCACTTGTTGCATTGTACTATGTTTAACTAAAAAATTAAAATTCCAGTTATAAATGAGAGTTAGAAAAAAGTTTTTTGAAATAATTTACCATCCACAAAAATAAAAAGAGGACATTTAACTTCCACAGGTAGCCATCAAATGCCCTTGTACGGCCGAGAGTGAGGAAGTCATCTCTCCATCTAGAAATGCTCTCATATGACCACGTGCATACAATCACTGCTGGGGAAGTTCAACTCACTGAGTTCTCGCACTACGGGTATTGTTTACGAAATTTGGAGGACAAAAGGCGAATTTCCAACGCTTTAACTGGGTGGGTGGGCTCGGAGGGTTCACGTAGGGGACTTGGAAAACCCTGATTCCAAACCAATGGTGCACATGGGCTTCAGGATCCTGAAGGAAAAAATGGCGTATGAACCAATCCTCGGCCACAGGCTACCATGGGACTGCATTTCCTGACGTTGCCTCATTGCCTTGTAAATCAAACCTTTAGGTCGAAGGCTCCGGGTGTGGCCCTCTAAGAAAACCACCTGCTTCGGTATGGGCAACCTGTCAGTATCCTTGCCCTCACACAAATCGAATGATTTATGTGGCTCATGTCTATTTGGAGCCTTCTTGTACCTATATTTATGTGTTTAAATTAATAATAATAAACAAACCTCACCTTACTCACTTCCATTTGGACAAATCAATTGTATCAGTATCAGCAATCCAACATAAAGACATATACACAAACCTACACTTGGTATAAAAAAATCTGGGCTGTTAAAATACGTTTTTCTTATTCACTCAACATTAAACTGACTTTTAGATTACAGTCGAATTGAATTGAATATTTGTTAGCTTGTTTTTATACCATTAAATTTATCAACAGTGAAAGAAAGGTTTATTAAAACATTGTTTCATTAAATCAACGTTCTTAAAACAATTCAAAGTGATTTCTGGTATGATCGGTTTCCTTATTTAATTTTTCTTTATTGTGGTTTATTGAAAATATTCAACAATAATACATGACATCGTTAGTATGATGATGTATCCTATAAGATTTTTTTCAGTAAAGGAAATAGAGAATAATATACCACAAATATTTTTACTTAGTGCGTACACTATAAATGGTGCATAGAGGAAATCAATAGAATTTCTTTATACTTGTAAATCGCTGATATTCATTACAAAGGAAGTTATTCATTACGTCGATAAGAAAAAAACTTATTCCCCAAATGAATTAAAAATTTTCTAAATATATATTTCTGTTTCAATAAATTTTTATTATTCAAGTGATATATATATATATATATATATATATATATATATATATATATATATTACAATGCTTACATGCATCTCGAAGTGTTTTAATAAGTATATTTTTGTATTCTTTTTGTGTATGACCATGTTTTAATATTTGTGTTTCTAGTTTATAACCTGGTCGTATTCCAATTAAATTAGCTATACTACCAAATGCATGCGATTTTGGCAAGACACAATAAATTGTCTCGATAGCAGTCTAGAAATACAATATAAGTAAGCAAAATCAAAGAAATTCATAAAATGAGATCAGGTTGTAATGAATACATTCAATAAATTATACTATCATTAACATTGATAATATAAAAAGTAGAACGAGAAGTTTAAACCTGATAAATAAGTAATGTCTTCTTATTTATTTATTATTATTATTTGAACACATAAATATTGGTACAAGGGGGCACCAAATATATATGCGCCACACAAAACAATGAGAATTTAAAGAATAGGGAAAAAAGGTAAGGAACGTAGGGAATTATAAAAAAAGGGGGACAATAATGGGGGAAACGAAAAGGTACAATCAGAAGAAATCTTACAGTTAAGGAAGAAGAAACCACTTTTTACAAAGAAATTAAAAGAAGATTACAGCAGGATCGCCACTGGCTTCTATTCTGAGCCATATCTGATAACGTCTCTAGCCACTGTGTTACACCATCTCTCGGACCCCAGCCAGGGAGTCGTGAAGGACCAACAGAAGCCAGCCCTTTGCAGCTTTCTTTCATACCACGACACCATGTCATACACTGACCACCTCTCCGCTTTTGCCAACCAGTCCCAGAGTCGGAGAATAATGCACGAGGTGAAATTCTCTGGGACGACATTCGTAGAACATGTCCAAGCCACTGAAGTCGGTGTTTCAAGATGGTGACACCAATGGAATTATCGTCTCTGTGCCCGAACACACGATGTCGAACCTCTGCATTACTAACATGGTGTTGCCACTGAATGTCGGCAATCCTTCGGAGACAGCGATGACCAAACACAGAGAGTCGTCTAACATCCTCAACTCGGAGAGGCCAGGTTTCATAAGCATAGAGCAAAACTGCTCTCACCGACGCGTTGTAAATCCGACCTTTTACAGCCAGACTAACATCACGAAGGCGCAAAAGATGGCCAAGATTGGCATAAGCCGCTCTGGCTTTCACTATACGTGCATTGATCTCATCACTCACGCCACCACCAGCACTTATGCAGCTACCTAGATACACGAACTTCTCGACTACTTCTATCTGCTCACCATCCAGAGTGAGTACAGGATTAGAATCCTGCCAGTCTTGTAGAAGTACTTTGCACTTCGAAGGTGCAAAGCACATACCATACCTAAGGACACTGATTGCCAACTGATTAAGTGCGGATTGCATGGCTAGGGCATTCTCGCACAGTAAGACAATATCATCCGCATACTCAAGGTCGAGAAGTCTTTCTCCAGGCAACAGATCCACACCACCATTACTTACATCCGTCAGAGCTGTTTCCAGAATGTCATCGATGGCAAAGTTGAAGGGGAATGGTGAGATTGGGCGACCCTGTCTAACCCCACTGCTTGAATGGAATAATGGAGAAAGGTGGTTGTATGCCCTCACTCTGCCTGAGATGTTTGTGTATAGGGCTTTTAGGATGTTGACAAACTTCTCAGACACACCCTTCTTCAATAGACAATCCCAGAGAAAAGTTCTGTCCAACGAATCAAATGCAGCCCTGATGTCAAGAAACACTACGATTGTTGGCCTTTGATAAGTATGGCGGCGTTCTCACATTTGCCGGAGGGTGAAGATATGATCAATACATCCTCGACCGGAACGAAACCCAGCCTGCTCCTCGCGAGTCAATCCTTCTCGGGTTTTGAACATTCTACGAAGTATAACGGAAGCCAATAGCTCGTTAGCACGCTCCGACGACCAGGCTTCTCGGTCCTTACGCAAGCTTTGCCCGATTTCATTACGTAACATCCTTCGTTTGTGATCAAACTCACGGTCACTCGGAGTAGACGACGGGCTTCAATGAGTTGTAAGGAACCAGAAGAAACCCAGTACTTATAAGCGGGACGTTTCGCGAATCCACAACAGAAGTTTCAGCCAGCTTGCTAACGTCAATCCTTTGGTGGCGGTCACTTCTGAGCATTCAAGTCTTCGGCTAGTACTACAATGTCTGTCGAACGCACTTTCTGAAGAAGAACAGTTAACTGGTAGTAGAATTCATCCTTGATTGCATCCGGGCTGCAATCTGTCGGGGCATAGGCGGAGATGACAAAAAGATATCGTTTCTCACGCCGATTTCTTCTCACTTTGATGGAACTTTCTAATCTAACAGCACATAACCGAGTGTTAATGGGGATTTAATCGATTAGTGCTGCCTCAGCTCTAGCGCTTAGTGCGACACCAACGCCAGCAAGACCAGACGAAGATGCCACAGGGTCCCCGGATAAACGCACGTAAAACAAGTTTTTTGAAGTGACAGATGGAGAGCAAATTTGTAGTACTTCACCAGAGTCCTGAATACGGGTCTCGGATAGACAACAAACGTCAATATAAAGACTTCCCAAAGACGAGCTGCTGTATAAGTCGAAAAATAAGGATAGACAGAGTGGAAATAAAACAGAGTGAATAAATGACGTGATAAATAATAATAATAGTAATAATAATAATAATGTGAATTGTCTGACGGTAAATCGCGGCGTGAATAGAGTTTTCAGAGAACATCATCATTTTCATTATATTAGTGTGTGGGCTGTGATAATGCCCGGGTGCCCAGACCGAAGCAGGTGGTTTCCTTAGGGGGCCACACCCCGAGCCTTCGACCTAAAGGTCTAACCCACAAGGCAGTGGAGCATCGTGAGGAGATGCAGTCCCATGGAAGCCGGTGAACAAGAAAGTGGTTCATACGCCATTTGTTCCTGTAGGATACTGGAATTTATGTGCACCATTGATTTGCGATCCAGTTATAGCGCCGGGCGTTCGCTTTTCGTCCTCTTATTTTCGTAGACAACACCCCCGCCACGAGAAGGCAGTGAGTAGGACTTCCATGGCAGAGACTGTATACGCGTGGCCGTGTGAGAGTATTTTGAGAGGGAGGGCGAACCCACTCCACTCTCGGCCATACCAGGGCATTTAGGAGATGAAGCAATATGAATATTGACATCTTAGGTTTCATTCTGTAAAACTTCAATTATGAACTAGTAAACAGTTTAAGGTACAACTAACATTATCCCAAAGTTTTGAGTGTATTTTCATCGGTTTAAAGATATTGTACTCCCTATGAGATCCAAAGGTCCTGGACTACATCCTATGTTGGCTCGTCAGGACTGGACTGGAACACTAGACCGCTGATCCTAGGTTATAAATTATAAAACCTTTTATTAAACTACTCAAATTTTTTTCACAGCTAGCCTTAATAAATGACTAATAATAGTTTGTAATTTAAACTGTCCTCCAAATATTTACTTTTTAAAAACTGTCAACTTCATAAACACACCAATTGTTTGTGGTTAACACGAAGTACGACCCAATGTTTATTAGTAAAACATGTTAAATAAAACTAGCTTACTCTTAATTCTTGTGCTAAATTACGATGTGGTTGAATTTCACCGAAAACTCTTTTTGAAATTAAATCTGATTTCCCTGACAGAAGAATTTCGAGTAATTCAGGAAGTGGAACTGTAAATCAAGAAGATAGACATTTATTCAATATATGAAATATTATTTAAAAATACATAGGTTTCTTTACTATTCTACTTCGATTCACATTACTCGAGATATAATTAACCTCACTTCATATCTTCATGGGTTGTTTTTTTATGTCTATTTGTCAATGATAATAACTTTCTATTTAAGGAAAAGGAATGAACTTCACCTGTAGCTCTTATAGGGATACTGTCGGTTCCATGACCGGGTAAAGGAGGAGGGTTGAGTATGGAGTCAGCAACCCCATCCTGTAGAAAACAACCTTGCTAAAATACGCTGACGATAATAAACAATTAACCATAAAGACTTTGTCCTGAGAGTTCAAGGATCTTCATTCAGAAGAATTATGACGCTTCATGATGAAAGCCGATATTCTTCAGAAGTCACGAGGCTGGTGCCTCGTATAACAACCAGAACAATAATTAATATAGGAACATGAGATGTCTAGACAATGTAGGGGAGTAGAAGGACTAATCAAATAGTTACGGAAATGAAGAGATACAACATTAGGAATGGATATTTACTTTTTTCAAGAAGCTCCTACTTTCTTATGGATTCATTTAAAAAACAATTGGCCAGTATTTCATTATCTATGTAACTTCTAGAGGAGAAAAATAACCTTAAATGTATGTTGATTTTTACGTGAAATGAATTACCTTCTTCGTGTTTTATTTCTTGATAACTCCACATCGTCATACAAAAATCATCAGGATTAGGTCGTGGTTTTATGTCTAAAAAATAGAAAAGAATAAGTATAACCAACGGGGACTCAACTGAACTATTGAACCAAGTATATATATGATATAGCATATATGGAGTTCATTTTTGAAGGATTTTCAATTAAATGGATTACTATTGAACTGTTTATTAGCATTTTACTAATAATTGAAATAAAATCATATCCACAAAACTACCCCATTCAAGTTGTTTAGTCAGTTATTGTTGATTAACTACAGAATGGCTTTATGAATATGAAATCAAAAGCCATGACCAATGCTATTCATACAGGTTGGTAGTAAGATAATCCAAAGAAAATGGCCTGGTTTAATGCGAAATACATCGTTTAAAATTGGAGCATGTGAATTCATTATTTTTAGTAAAATAACAGGATTGTTAGTATTGAGATGATATGACGTGTTAACTTGAATAAGTTTATAAGTTCAATGAAACTTAGATTAAAGATCAGAATACTAAACGATCAACTTGATAGTAATATGTGTTATGTTTTCCTTCCATTTAAGAGTGGTCAGCTGATAGGACATTCTAAGAAAGTTCAAAAACCGAGATCATATAATTCACGTCTAGAAGCCCATTTCTTGCAACGAGCAGTAAATTACTAGAATTCTCTACCAGAACACGTAATATCAGCACCTTCTGTCAACACATTCAAAGCGAGATTGAATCTTCATTGTACTAAAAATTTAAAAGATTAATAAAGGTCGGTTGACCTCCTATTCTTATTACTGAGGACTGAATAAACATAGGTCAACTAGGGTGAGAGAAATAAAAGTGCAAATACAAATTCGACCAAATGTTTAATGAAAGAATATATCAATCAGTCAGTGACAACGTTTAACTTCTTACATCAGTTCGAGTTGCCATACAACATTAGCACAGCGATACAATTGTCGATTCAAATCCCATAATGGCAGAGGTAGTAAAAGTATAAGCAGTAATCAGAAAGATTAGGGTTTGAAGATGTTAGTCAAGGAGTATAATCCAGTGAAATAAATTTGGAAAGAGAAAAAAAGGAAAATGAAGAGTTCAGAATATTAGAATTTGGAAGAACACAAAGAGTGGATACATCTGCGCCATTGCGAACGATTTTGAGCCATGTCATTCATAACCATATTTTTGATATGACGGGAATTTTTCAGAGAGTGAAATAATCGTTTCCGAGTGCATCGTACGATCAACAGTATATATTATGAATTGGTTGATATCAGAAACGTATAAAATAGGAAGATCGTTTATTAGGTCTCTGGCAAGGCCATGGTTGATTAATGCTGAGAAACCATTCATTGAAATGAAACAATTATTCATTATTTCTTAGTTTTCAGTAGCCCACCAAATATGGTCAATCGGTAACGATCATCAACAACACGGTATCGATATTGAATAAATTACCTTTAGTATTTATACTATCCAGTATGACTATAAAAGTAACACAGCTAGTGAAAACATAAGATGCACTGAATGGTTGTTTTGTCCTAACTTGAAAATCCCGTGGAACGACACCAACAGAATTCTAGGAATCGAACTAAAAACCCTGGAACTTGTAGCCAGAAGTTTAGCTTTGTACCAATGAGTCTGAATCCACTAGTGCACATTCCCAACTTAAAATTAATACTTGACATGGAGAATATATATATATATATATATATATATATATATATATATATATATATATATATATTTCAATGCTCGTAAACCAGCTTTACTGAACTACATTAACCGATAACTTAAGAACCAGGTCAACTACTGTGAACATTAAGATATATTCTTTAATTACAAAGCCTGACATAAATCATGGTTTTATATTACAAGCAATTGTATCCCGAGCTGGTTGAGACTACAGATGCAAACCAATAGGTCCCCATTCAGTGGTCTAAAAATAAGGGACTCGCAGCAACATTTCTACCAGGTTCATTGGTGAGCATTAGTAACCTAGGAGGGAAACAGCTGTCCTATGCTAGCTAGTTTTCAATGGGTATCAAATTAAGTCTAGTCCATTATTTTAAATAAAATTTCTTTATTAGTAACATTGTCTAATGAAAAATACTTTCTGCGGTATTCCACAGTCGTATTTGTAATGATCACTGAAAATTTACAACTCTCAATGGTTAGCAAAGATGGATGGTGGCTAGCAGTGGAATCCGGGACGCGTGTTTTGTCCAACTTGGGGCTCGTCAGCCAGATGTGCCCGCATCCCAGGGATGATATTCGCTCCTGGGCTCGAGCCCAGTACCGTTGACTTCAAAAGCCATCACGTTATCCACCTAACAATGTCTAGGCAATATGCACATATGCCGATAAGAGGCTGATCAATTGCAGTCTTAAATATCAATGGGAAGATTCAAGTATACAATACCAAGTAATCTTAATGATTAGGTTTGCATTTGTAAGTTAGAATCTTTAACGGGAAATCGGATCTTGTCCAAAGGTGAATGCAAAATATGATAGTGAGCTCTGTAAACTGAAAAACAAATCATGACCACTGAGATCCAAAGGAAAGCGAATTGTTGATGTACAACACCTAAGTAAAGTGAGTAACTATGATAAAATTACAAATGAAATTAAAAGAACGTAATAAAACGTCGAAACAGGAGTGCAAACTTATAAGATAAATGGCTTTTACCACATAGATCAGATGAACTAAGATTTTCGATACTACCAAATAATGGTCTGTAGTAAAATGAAATGTAACTATAAATATTTCGACGTCATTACAAATATTTATCATCGCAAGCAATGAAAAAGTTTTAATCATCTTTTTATGTTTATAAGTCACTATGAAATCAGTGATAGAAAGTTTAACCAAGAACTTTTATTTCAAGTTTTCTGTAGGATCGATGAAAATGGTTCCGTTTTATTCCATGTGTAAACTCCAGCATCTTTAACATCTAGATCATATTGTTGACAGACAATAATGTCAGCAGTAGTTACTGTCCTGAGAAAACTGCTTCCTGATATTCACTGTCATACTAAATAAAGTAACTGATCAATGTAAATCCACGATGTACTAATTTTAAAAAGCAACTCCCTACCATTTGATCAGCACAAACATTTATGTGAATACGTTACTTCATTTCATACACACATAGTCTATAAGAATATCATATGATTGATTCTGCATACAAGGAATAAATATTCAGAAAAATACATTTAAACAATAATTACGTCTTTTTATTGGTGGATTGTGCATTGGAACATTGTCTTTAACAGCTTTTTGTACTTTTTTTAATGAATCTATCATTGTTAATCCCAAACTATCGGAATTTGTTTGTGAAATTTGACCAATCCGTTGCTTTCTGATAGTTGAACGTTCAGCTAAAAGTTCAAAAAGAGAAGAGAAGTTTACATATTAGTGACCAATATCATGTATGTCAGATCCTTCTTACTGCAGACCGAACTCTATCGACCAATTTGCAATGTGGTCACTTGTCTGGGTGACTCGACATCGCGTACACTAGATTGAAATGTGAGGCAGCGGTACGTAGTTGGTTCGAAATAGTCTATCTGCACTAAGAAGGGCCTGAAAAAAATGATATCGATCACTAACCAGTGATAAATCATTTGAAAATTCATCATAGTCCTACAGGAAGTCCGTCGTGTCTTGTATGGATCAGTAGTAACGTCTCTGTTTGCGAAGCTGGGTCGAATCTGACAGTCAGCATTTAGTTCTCTCAAGAATACACGTACATTTTGAGATGGTGAAGATTTTTAGCTCAGGTGGATGATTTTGATGGGGTTTTGTTCTCTTAGCTGGATCAGGAAAATTATGCACAAACATAGGAACAAAAATCAAACCAATGGGAGACACAACCAGAACAGAGAAGTAAACAATGATAGGTTTAAGGTCAACAGGAACCAATCAACATCGAAGTGTACAGGACAAGCTGTGAACCGCATGTGGAGAAATTCGAACACTTCACGTCTTAGAAAATTCATATGGTAGTTCGCTTTATCTGATGTTAGACGGCTAAAAGAAATCTATAAAATGTTTTAAATTTAGACTTAATATTAGCTGACGCTCGTCAGGAAAAATTTTGTAATTTTAAGCATAATGAATGGGACTCATCAAGCGTCATGATCAGAGTCACTATAATTGGCTCATTTGGGCTACAACTAATTTGCTGCCTGCCTCCAACCAATCTGCAGGAAGTGATGTTGGTAAATGGAGAACATTTTAGTAAAACTAAATATTATATACATACACATCTGAATAATGAATACATACATTTCAACTCAATCGGTTTTCTTTCAGTTGGTTCATTTGCTGAATTTAATGGTACATCAGATTGATTGATTGGAACAAAAGCAAATTGTACATCTTTGTCAATACGTGCCGTTTTATTAGGCCAATAACCCTTCGGTTTAGAAAATGGCAATGGGATAGATTTTTTTCTGAATGTTTCAAACACTATTGAGTTATTATTGGTTTCAATTATTGGAAGGATTGGTTCAAGATTAATAATAATACTGTGTCGTTTATTATTCGTAGAATTATCTGGTTTTAGTAAAATGTTATCATTGTCATTTTCCAATGGTCTGTTCAAATCGCCATCAAGGCAAGCACAATCGTCGGAATACACATCGTGATTAAAAATATTTAATGTTGACATTGTAGTTTTATTTTCATTGGAATCTATGGCGGGAGAAAAAATGTTGGTTGTTATAATAACGACACTAATATTTGGTATAATATCCAAACTTACTTAACCAGTTCTTAATATATGGGGAAAAATGGATCGATTTGAAAGTGTTTGTTGTAACGTAAAGTTGATAGCCAATCACTAGAGAGATTTCAACGACTTAGCTGTAAATATCAGCCCCTTTCTATATTCAATGTTGGATACTTAGAAGTAGACAACAAATTAGTCTCGAGTTTTAATTGTTTAGTTTGAACAGTTATTTGTATCCAACGTATAAACTGGAATCAACGTGTATTGGTTGGAGCTATTACATTTTATATTCGTGTGGGAATTAACAAGTAGAGAGGTATACGAGTCAAAATAATCAAATTATCAGTTTTAGTAAAGGAGTAAACACATAAAATACAGTTCAAAAAGAAATGAATAAAGTATGAGACCATCAAAAATCAAAAATTAAGAAAAAGATAATAGATAGCATCTGCGAAACGGCAACCTATTTTCAATCAAGACTTATAAGGTCTTTAACAGTATCTGATGGTTATCACACAGAAATTAATCAGAGAGTATACATGACTTGATATGACCTAATATAGACTGATGCCATGACATGGCTATAGGGTCCTTAGACTGATTCCAATCTGCTACTTAATTAGCCATCGCTACACGTACTTGTAGACTATAGTTGAATATGAGCAATATGTATTTGTTGTTAGCAGAGAATAATTAGAGAAATCTATCGTGTGTTCTTTTTATAGCTTACAAGTCATTGTCAAATAGGTAGCGTCTTACACCTCAATTAACTTATAATTGGTTTCTGGGTTTCATGTTATCATTTCTTTGGGACTATAATTTTTATCAAGGTAACTATAAATCTACTAATAATTTTTTACGTAAATTTCACGTTACAGTTTTATTTATAGATACAAACAAAAATTACAATGGGATCTAGGAAGTATTTATTCTGGATGTGACTATGGAAGTTAGTATTGATATTCATTATTGTTCGCCTTTTGAAATATTATTATAGTGTGATTGCAAACATCAGAAAAGTGACGTCGGAATTTGTAATAAAAAATTCAAAAGTAATCACTGTAATTATTCATCTTGTAAAATGCTTTGTAAAGTTTAGCTTCAATTACAGCTTAAATCGCATAGAACTGATGAGAAAATGCTTTTCTCTCATCATATGGCGAAAATGACATAATAAAAAACCATAATTACATTACCTCGTTCTAAAGTAGATTTAATTTGAAACAGAAGTTAACAAATAATTATTCCTGTTTTATTTATTCCAAGTACACTCTCAGTTATATCATGTTATCTCAAACATACTGAATTACTGAGTAGAAATTCTTGGCCTTCATATATCAGTTCATATTCATATAACTTAATAAGATACAATGTCCCAAAACAAAATCATCAGTTTTGGTTTCCAATTTATATTACTCAGGGCAATCACTTCGTTACTACTGTAACAATTTAATCATTGGGTAATCACAAAACTTATCAATTTAGAACATTATTTGTTGTAGTAAAAATATGAGATTGATGAATTCTTGTGATGTTAACACTGAACTCAGTAACTTTCGCTTTAAGAGACTATCTGGACTAGGTAGTTCAGTGGACAACGAGTTAGGGTTTCAAGCGAAAGGTAGATACATCCCGCTTACGATGCCCGTATAGGATAGGACGCACATCGTAAATTCTACTACCAACCACCATCCAGTTGAATAAAAACTTGTAAATAATTGGCTATATCAATGTAATTTACTCATGATCTAAATATACCAAAAGAGGCTGATCAATTGCAGTCCTAAATATCAACAGTAGGAAAAATAAACAATCCTTACACATAGGTGTTTTGCGACATTTTCAAAAACTACTTTCCACCCATTAATTATTTACATGTCTTTAACGGCATGTAAATTACAGTCTATATAAATAAATACACCTCCAAATCTGTTACTCAGGTTTGTGTAAAAATGTACTTAATAGGAGTAGTGCTTGTGTTCACACAATTGGCTTTTATAATCACAAGGGTTTTAATAAAAGATATTTTCAATCATTTATTTGGCGAGCTCATGTTCATATTAAATACTTGAGAACGTAATGAGTTGTATGGCTTATCGATTTTACCAGAAATATAGAACATTAGGAACAAAATCAAAAAGAATATTGATAATAAGTGTATACAAATTACCCGTTATAAATGGTAATTTGTCCAAGGATTCCATTGAAAATTTGACTGGTGTATTAAACGATAAACTATGTTCAATACCAGTGATTACATTTTCTTCACTTCCATTATCATCGTCATCATCAATATCATTATTGTTCATATTATTATTATCGCTAGAATTTTGTTTTAATTTGTTGTTTCCTTTCCCGTCACTTTCAATTATTTGAATAAATGATTGTTGATTTGGATACTTTGAAATTATTGGCGGCAATTTCAGTGTAGATTCTTCTAATATCGAATAATCACTGTCCGATTTAAATCTCTTTCCACGTACATGAACTTGATTCGGATTAATACTAGATGTTTTTCTAACAAATATAAGACAAATTTAGATATACTTATGTTCAAAGATCGAATACGTGTTGTTTTTAAGGAAAATAAATTACAGTTATATTGAACAATATTTTAACTTGCGTTGTAATTTCATTTAATATTACTTGACAATTTACTCTATAACGCTTAATTTCAATCATTCAAGGTCAAATAACAATGCTTTTGTTTCACGAACGTTTCCGAAATACCATGATCCATGTAAGCTTTATTTGATAGATTTCAAATCATAGTGAGGTTGAAGTCAATAGGCAGGAAGTACTGTTTATAGGTTTCATAACAGTTGACACTCGTCAGAAAGTTGTTTATGAAATATTTTGAAACATGATGCGTACTATGAGATAAAAAATTCTTATTCCCTAGTATTTCAGTCGAAACAGATGTTTCTAATCAATGACTCCTACTGTTACTGAGCTCCTATAGGAATAAGGTAGATACACCCATTGACCAATCAGTATTAACCGATATTCACTTGGTTAGTCGATAGTGCCGATGCAGCTCTATTGATCAGGTTGCAATATGGCTACCAGTCTTAGTGACCATTCATCACAGTACACTGCACTTGTTGTTAGTTGGTTGAGTTTGATCTGGTGCTACCAATCGATTCATCAGTTTTAACTTCTGTCATAAGTCTAGCGATTAATTATTTAGTCTGTGTTCTAGGTTGAAGCTAGAGATATTTTAGGATTTTTTGAAGGTAATCTCAATTAAGTAATTTTGAACAAATGTTTATTCTCAGGTTACTTTAAGTTTTCTGAGGTTCAATGAGTTTCTTTGTTTTACATAAATCGAATGTAGTTCATCATTTTCTATAAATGATTTTACAGATTTATGTCATCCGTTTCAGTTGATATGAGGTAAAACAAGACCTTTTAATTACTACTACTGGTACTTCAAACAATGTTTAAGCAATACCAATAAATGTGTTGATTGATATTTTCAAACGATCTTGCGCAAATACTATTCATCACAAAAAACGTAGATAAATACAACAACAACAACAACAAACATTAACACTTGTTAATTTACTCAAAAGACCTAAAATAACCAAGCATTGTGGTTAGGATGCTAAAGGAATATTTTACAAGTGTTTTATTTTATCGATATACTCGTCAATCAGCAAATTCATATTTGCCTATTTTGAAACTATACCAACTACGTTTTTATTTGACTGCTAAATACTTTATTTAATAACTTCATACAAAATTAAATAAAATGAAATACTGACCACCCACCCCACTCGCAGTTCACTAATGCATTATGAATATTTGAACCTCTACTATATACTACTTATTTTGTAATTATTCAGTAACAAAAAAAAATTTGTTTAAACACTCACTTAGATCTTCTTTTAATAATAGGTAATGTTTTATTTCTTGATAATGCTGGAAGTTTTGAATTTGTATTACTTGAAGGGGAAACAGGTAATTCGAATGATTTTAGTGTGTATTTTCTTCTAGGCGGAATATGATCACCATTTCCTTCTTCATTTATATTAAAAGGTATATTTTCTTCTTGATTGATCGATTCATTTCGATTTCTCTCCGTTTCATATTGATAATCATCATGTTCTATACGAATTTCACTGTTTGCATCATCATCATCATCATTGGATCCATTCAAAAATACATCGTCATCATCAAACAAGGGTGACTCATTGACACCATTCGAATCACTCTGAACATGAGCACAAAATACGCAGGAAAACCAGCAAGTAATTAAACGAACACTTCAACAAACCGGTACCTGGTGACAACTAGTAAAAGTGATGATTGGTTGGCTAATCCGATTAGTCTTGAAAGTCAACTGTGGCAAGTGATGAGAAAGCCCAGTTAAATAACTAAAAAACACTTGATTTTAAATGTTTTTATCTTTCAGCTGATAAAAAAACCGAAATGCTTTAAGATATTTGAGAATTAATGTCTGATGGTTGGAGGTATTCGGCAAGTACAATGGAAATTGAATTTCGGATTGAATGGTCCTCATCATCAATGTGTATCTAAGATCTTTAGTCAGTTTTGGTGACATAGTGAGATCCTCTTGCAATGCTATTGGTGAGTTACTGTTTGATTCCCGGGTTGATTAGGTACATATTTATGAGTACGCACCATTATAAAATCTCATACAATGATGAAACAAATGTTTAGTATTTTCTTAATTTCATTCGTACTCTAGATGAACTAGTTTATAAATAAAATATTTAAATATTGCATGCCAAAAATGTATTGTAAAACTTCTGGGTACGAAATTAAGATTAAAGACTTATCATTTCTCCAAATTTTATATAAAGAATTGCTATTTTAAGTTACTTTGGGACAAAAAGAGTGACTCCAAACGCACATGGATCATATTTTGGAAGAAATTATTCACCTAAGATTAATTTCAGTAAGTTTGCAGATAATTGCGAGATATCATCGATTGATTGAGGTTACACATTAACAATGCTGGATCCTGGTCGATTCATGATTTCGATGCAGATCCTTTTCTTATGGAGTCACATATACAGTGATTTATTGCACAGCTATTTTTATCTTGTCTATTACCAAAAGGTTGTAATTCCTTTTTTAATCTCTCTTAAAAGGCCAACATATAATGATCGATGAAGTGAAGAAGAAAATTTGTAGCTCAAATGTATGTTATTAATAGTGTTGATCGTTGCTTTATAACTAACTTATTGAAGTTTCATTCAATAGCTGAATTGAATTTTGTAGAAAAAAACATCTATTTACAATTGAACAACTCAATAGTCACAAAAAAATAGGTAGATCAAAAAATAATAAATGGATACTTATAAGCATTTTCTTCCCCAATAAACCTACTTTAATTATTGTTGTAGGAATTTCATTGACAATGTTATCATTTGAATACTGCATTTCATCTTTTATCTCTAAACTGATCATTTCATCTTTATTTGTATTTACTACTGAATTTTCTTGATTCTGTTTAGTTATATATAAATTAATGTGTTTTTCATTTTCAAATGTACTATTGTTATCAGTATTCTGTGTTTGAATAAATTGATCTGGATCATAGGAACTGAATAATGAAATTAGAATTAAAAAGAAAAAAAAGTGTTCAGTTATAATCAAAAGAAAATTAGTGAATTTATACTTATCAAGATGTAAATTTCGATTGGTTCCTAGTTTTTACATTAAGAGTTTTATAGTTTTTTGTAGGAATAATGAACTCAACACTTTAACTATATTTACCCTCAATATACTTTAATAAAAGAAAGAAAAATGACAACTCTGTAACAAGAGAGCTCTTATTATTTTCTCAGAAGTCAAAAACATCATATAACTAAAGCATAACTGTAGCATTAAAAGTTTAAGTAGTTAATCATGGAAGAGCAAAGTAGATTAACGAAGAATATAGATTTTCATTTTATAATAGATTTATTAAAAAAAAAAACAGAAATCTTAGGATCTTTATTGAAACTTTCAAAAGAAATTATTCAAATTTATTTTATGAGTGATTAAGCATTGAGTCTTTAAAAATTGCACATCTTACCAAATTAATATGAGTGGTAAAGTAAACAAAACTTATTCGAGTTATATGATCAAGTATAAAAATGTATATAAAAAGCTGGATGGATAGACCGATAAGCATTGGATAATTGTTTCATTATAGTTTGCTACTCCTCAGAAGTGCTCATTCACTTTCACCAAAATCATAAATAAAATAATTCAAGCCTGTTATCTTTAAATAACTAAATAAAATTAGATTATTCAATATTTCTAACCTCAAGCGATACACAAAATAACGCGAGTACCAGTGGGACAGTATCAAAATTTAGTCACTTAACTCACCTGAATTCCATTAGTTTATTTTCATTTATATCACTAATCAGCTCATCAAGAGAATGAGTTGTCTCGTATCTAGGGTTTTGTGGTTCCATACAAAATGAATAATCAGTAGGTTGTGTACTGTTCGGTGGGACAACGGAGTCAAATAAATAATCACGGAAAACATCTTCTGTATCATCTAATGTTTGAAAGAAACATAATGTTGTTAATCAGAACACTAAAAAGAGTATCACTAATTTAGATGTAAATTGTGCAATTTTTAAACCTATAAATCTATTTACCTTTTATTTAAAGTTCAGTTTTATTATATGGAGATTGTAATGATACTTGAATAAATCAGAATATCTTTTAAAATCTATGAATTGGAAGAGAAAGAATATATGATTGTATGTATAACTAAACTCAAAATTTTTACTCTGTTTTTCTTTAAGGGGAAATTTTAATTGTGGGCATAGCTTAGTCATTAAGGACTAAATATGGATGTATTTGTTTTGGTGATTCTTATACGGATTCAGAATTCATCTTAAATGCAAGGAGTTATTCAGGTTTCCTTCCGTTACAGATCATGTGCTCAGATACACCAATAGTTTATCTTTTTTTAGAGTAAACCAAGCATTTAAGTCTAGCCGGCCTCCGGAATGGATTCATTTATTTTATTGTAAGAAGTACGTATTCAACAGTACTTGAACACCATACTTTTGCTTGGAGAAGTGTTCACACTGAGAATATGTTAATATGTCAATTGTGTTTTATACTTCATATACTTGGGAGTAATCTTACCTTAGACTATATATTCAGATTGACTAAGCCAGGACTTGATCTTTCACTTAAACTATGGCTTAAAATAATTATGATTTTTTCAAAGCCAGAATCATAAGCTGATCTTAGCTCGATGACCACTGAAAACCTGAAAGCACTAAACGGCCGCTTTGAACTAGTGTCAGGGTGTGTATCCACTGCCTAGTACGTGAGAAAGAAACCCAGGCCCTATAGTATCGCGCGCGAACGCTTAACCTGAAGACTATGGGGACGGGATCCAGTGGTATTAATGTCTAACTTTAATTGACTCACGAAACTGTTCAACCTACTGCATGATGATGATGAATAGACTAGATGTACACAGCCGCACCTCGGCTCAGTCGTCCTTATGTCAAGTGTTTGCGTGAAAAACTGAAGGTCCTGGGTTCGATCCCTAATGGAGGGATCAAGGATGGATAGTCCTGTGGGGTCCCATACCAAGACGAAACGGCCATCTATTGTTTCTAGGTTTTCAAAATTATTCATGCTAAAATCAGTTTGTGATTTAAACTTTGAAAATTGTACAGTCATCATGAATTCTTTATAATAACCACTTTTCTTCAGGGTTATTATCTTTTACGTTTATTAATCAAATTCAGCTTTCAGAATTGCACCACTTATAAATTTAAATCAAATATGAAAATTTTCATCATTAATCTACTCTCTACGAGAACTACATTACAATTAGATTTCCGAAAATCCGTAACAGTTTGTTACAATTTATATTTGAAACAAATTCACTACTATTGTTTGCACTGTGCTGCCTACAGAAGGTATCTTATCTCACCCCGCTAGCGAAATTATAGAGACCTTAAATATGTAAAGTATACTTATTACACTCCCCTTCATGCTATAACTTGTTCTTTTGACTTTATTACGAACTCGTTTGTTTGATCTACACTTTTACCCTGTTGAAATCATTTAGTTTATTTTAAAAATGTATAGAGATTCATGAAAATTATATGTTATGAAAACATAAAGCATATATATGAAGATTATCCTAGAATAAAATTTTGTTGTTGTTCCGTGCTCTCTGATTACGTTTTCTTTTACTTAGTTGTAGATAATTATATGTATTCTGTGATGGAATTGTGATCTTTCGCAGAACTATTCATTTATAAGTACGAATTGTTAGTCCTTCAAGTAAAAAAATGCTGACTCCCAACTTGTGCGTCCTGTACAACACCTACCATTTTAAAAAACCCATGATATCATATTCGTATCGTTTTTCTTAACATACTGACATGATATCATTTCTGATTAGTCATTCACTCTGTATTATCGTTGTAAAAAACAAGTCTAAGTGGTTTATGAATTATGTCTTTTCAAAAAATGTGCCCTTATATGTTTTAGATATTGCATCCATCTTGAATCAACATGATCATGCCTAATAGTCAGTGTGCAATTTGTAACTATTTTCAGAATATATGTCATAAAGAAAGAATAAACATGACCGATAGTTTTTTAGATTATATAATTTTGTGGAGATTTCTCATAATTATAAGGTAGTATTTACGACAAAATGTTTTCAACCAGAGAATTATTAAATATCAAAGTTGAATTAATAGCACTTGCATCCTGTTTCGACACACTACATTAATGTGGACTCACAACTTTACATGCTATCGAACAGTGGGACAATTGATCTCCCAATAAGTAAACTTTTATTGAACCACCCAGCTAGCATCCAGCTTTCTACATTTTCAACTTCAACTAATATATGTGATAAAGCGAAATCCCTTGTTCACTAACATTTATAAATTAATACCTCACCCTTAAAATAGTTGATCTCGCAAGCCACGGTTTTTTACTATTATTTCGAGGAATTCATCTTGAGGCTTTTATCTATTAAAATGGATTGCGGATATTCCGTATAATTTGAAAATGATTTATAATACATACTAATCTCAGATTATCTGCAGTCAATGAACAGTGAAGACGAATTTTGAAGATAGAATATTGAATTAAGTCACAAGAAACGCTATTCAACATGATTGATTATAAACCATAAACCTCAAACTTTCATTAGTCATACGTTTTTGCTAAACAGTATAAATTGTATCCACTGAGCGTTTATTCATAGTCAAAAGTGCTTTTACTTTGTAAGTCATATATAGATTACAGATGCACTTAAAAGGCTTAGAGTAGAAAAAAAATGAATCATATCACTTAAACTTGACTATACGTTACTTGGTAATTTCGTTTAGTGAAGATGAGTTTAAATACCTTATTGATCCGTCTATCATTAATTGAAAAAGTACTTGGATATCAGAGTAAATCTATTGGTTTCTTTTCAATATATTAATCAGTAAATTAAGAGAAAAAAGCTTGTCTAAACTGAAGTAGAATGTGAATTATGATCCCACAAATAAATAACTTGATAAATATCATTTCAGAATTTAGTAAATTTCTTCTGATTAACCTCATTATTTGTCATTTTTATGGGAGACAGAAAAAGAGAGAGAGAGAGAACTCTTGCATAATATACAAGTAATAAAGCATAGGTCTTTAAACTAAAAACCAATTAACTGAGACCATGAACCGATCAATGTTAGACTACCATTGAAAACCTGAAAGCACTGGACGGTTGTTTCTTCCTAGTATGGGACCCCTCAGCGGTGGTCTAACATTGATCGGTCCATGATCTTATTTAGAACTCAACAATCTTCACAACCTTATACTGATAAAAACAATTAGTTTTTATATATGAGCACAGAATTAGTTTGTATGTTAACGTTTCGATTTCTGTATACTTTCAAATTTATTTAGTTAATATTTAGCTATAGGAACTATATTTACGTATATATTATGAAAAATGTTCATACAGTTATTTGCATTGAGCACTTTTAGGAGTAATTTATTACAAGAATTGACTCCATTTGTGAAATCATGAGAAAAAAAGAAGGATTAGATAACTGATTCTAACTACTTGAATTGAGTGTTTTCTTAGAGAGAACATTCACAACCAAACTAGGACCAAACAGCTGTAGCGTATTGTTTCACTCTCTTTCTAACATCTATTTGTTATAAGGAATTTCTTCAGGGTTATACGAATTCTTTACAAGATTAAAAAACTTTACTAAACTTCTCCCACGAATATAAATTCAACTGTTTGCTGTACCGAACAATAAATACATCAGGTTGGTTTTTTACTCCTTTGCAAGAAATATTTTATACCTGTTTCACCAGACTCGGTAAACCAGATTTCTGCTGGAACACTTAGAGAACGACGTAATTTAAGTCCCCTCTTAATATTTTCATCAAGTGTGAAATCCACATCTTCCGAATGACCATAATTTAGAAACGAAGACAACGGTCTTTGTTGAATTGCATCCTCTATCAGGTAAAACGAAACAAAAAAACGAAAAAATTACAATGCCTGTAAATATTTTCATCGAGTATATAGTTAAATATCTTTTTTTGAAAACACTTTATTCAAATAAACAAAAATTATTAACAATCGATTCTCTGCTCAATTCCCGAATGTTCTCAAAAATCTGTTGACCATAGAACGTAGCTCCCGTGACAACTAAATGAAATGTCAATTTAAGGATTACACGTAGAAATATTTTACCAAGACATCAGTTTGATATGCAACCACTATCTAATTGATGTGATACCGTGTTCGCTCTGTTTGGACGTACTTTTATTCTAAATTAATTCATCTGTTGTTGAAACATTGACGAAATGCTAAAGATTAAAATCACTTATCAGTGTATGAGGTTTTGTAATTATCAATCACAATAATTAACAAAAAAGACGTTTACATTCGAAACTATGCTGTGTTTAGGTGAAAGGTACATTTTCGATTTGACACATATATATGCTATTTTACTAAAAAACATTTAATTAATGACTATAAAAGAAATGTTTATACCTTAAATTCAAATACACCTGGAATTTCTGGAACGGGATAAACTCTTTTTGTTAGTTTATTGATGTTTGATAAGATTTAACTCATTCTTATCACTGCGTTCAGCGTTCTTCAATTCCATTCCCAAAAAAGACAAATCATAGTTGTTTTTATTCGAAAAGAAGTTAAATACAAAATGACCATTTTGTCCTCAAGGTTTACTTTAGAATGATACGTTAAGGGTAGGTTCTTCCTTTGTCGTTTAGAACAAGCGGATGGTAATACTAAGATCTAGAAGCAATTCAATAAACCTAACATTAACTCGAAGTCAACAGATTAGTTCTTTCAGAGGAAAGTTGAGGTCAAGTTAGCCCAATGACATCGTCTAAAAGTTAGAGTTTTCAGAGAACAGTCCGGGTGTGAGGGAGTCACCCAACGAAGACAATGGGAGGTTGTTGCATAATGTCGCAGACTGACTGAAGTTAGACATAAACACTACTGAGTCCCGGCTCAATTGTCATCCATTAAACGTTTGCTCACGAAGCAGAAGGTAATGGGTTAGGGATTCGCGTGCGGAGTAGTGGTTTAGCATGGTTGAGGAGTCCTATAATAAGACAAGATGGTCATCCATTGCTCCCAGGTTTCAATAATGACTTAACATTGATTGGTTTATGATTTCAGTGGAACAGTCCATAATTTGAAATGATCTTTCCAACAAAAGCTGGTGATAGTCACATCGACACACCGTGATCGTACACCATATACTGATGAGTATTCCGTTGTAGCGGTAAGTTTACTGAAACTAGAACACGAAAAGATATTTTAGGTAAACAAATCAAAACCAATCCTATTTTAGGCTTTTACTTAAAGTTCTGATATCCTGAAAATATGCTTTGTGATTTTATAGCTTCTGTACTTTTAAGCAGTAATAGTTCTGGTAAAATATGGTTAGAAGAATCGATTTACCTCTTTTCACTTATCAAATATTGCATTTTTAATTAACTAAACAGTACAGAATATCTATTTCATCCATTTACTGGCCTTCTTTAAATTTTCAAGAAACGTTTGACTGAAACTTAATTGTGATAAAAAGGCCATATTTGAAAGTACAATAAATCTGAAAGGTGGACATAATCAAGTCTAACCATTTTTATAATTTGGTCATGGGACTAAAGAGTTTAATTTGAACGGAGCCAAAATATTATCGGTGTTCAACCGCTACTATGTTTAAACAATTACTGATTTCTTGATGTCAATATTAAAATGAAGGCCTCAGGTTAAAATGATGAATTAGTATATTATGTTAGAAAGCTGTACTAACCATGATGAAATAGTTCATAATTGCAAAACTACTTTGCATCTTTAGTTACAACACTACCTGTGCAGAAGTGCGATTGAAAAAGTAATCCTCAGTTATTGAAGGTTTCATGAAACACTATGTATTAGATATAGTCGGCTTAAAATACTGGTTGGTTAGTTTTAAAATCAGCTACAAAATTTCGTCTGTGTTCAATATTTCGTCTTAATATAAACCGTAAACATCCCATCTCTTCACACACTGCTGTCAATTGTAATGATAATGATAGTAGAGAGCTATCTATTCAAGTTCAGATTTATTCTTTCAGATAAGTAATTTGGAACTCTACAAATATGTCAAGACTCAAAGAACTACTTCTAACCTACTTAAAAGCCATTTATTATAGCATATACGCTGAAAGTTTGGGCTAATTAGGTTGCATGCACTAGTTAAGTTAACCAGAAAAATAAAAAATTCAGTAATATAATCAGAGCTACTTAACGTACTTACACAAATCTGGTCAACTTGCTCCATCTAAAATAACGTTTTATAAGGTCAAAATATTATTCAGTTCTTTCAATTGTCAGTCAAAAGAACTCTGTTTCAGACAGTAAGCAAGCGTAAGGTTCTGTTTCCAGCATAACGCATCCCAAAAAATGACACAAAAAGCATTTCCGCTTATATCTCTATCCTTATAGATTGACTAAAAGATCTGCATATACTCTCAATTATGATTTCATCACAGAACTTGAAGTTTCCAATCCAATGTCACCCATAAAATCACACTGCAAATTAAATATATTACAGGTAACTTTATTGACTGATTCCGTATGTGAAATACATTCAGTTACAGAGACACTAACAGATGTTAACCCGACGTCAAGAGCTGACCATTGACCGACTTAAAACGCACTGACAACAAACAGCAATGTAGGTGCAATGGATTTATTTAGTCATAAGATAGCTGATCAATTTTCTTTTTTTACAAAGCACATGAGTACAAAAATGGTACTGTTTGAATTCAGTGAACTGTTCAAAACCCAGTTGTTTTGAAATTTTTAATTACATTTAAGATTGTAAATCATGTAATAAAAAGCTCTAGTTTGAATTTATAAAATCTAGTTAGTTCCACAAATTACTAGACCTAAGGATAAAGCTCCTTTATTTTATTAAGCAGCTATGTTAGTGAGGCCGACTAGAAATCTTTAAGAAACGAGAATTCCCAGGATAAAAACGAGTATACACTAAAGAACCATTCACAAGATGTCTTTCAAATTCATTTGGTTAACTGTACAGGAAGTAGGTCACGGTACACTCTGCTTACTTTGATACTTATAATGCTTCTCTCAGCGTTATTTATATGTTCGCATCATTTAATAATTAACACAATCAACGCATATTTTCTACGAAGAAAACAAAGTGTTTTCTAAAGACTTATAACTTCATGACTAATAACAATAGGTAATCAAAAGTAACAAATTTTAAGCAATGTAATAAATTATATCATCCATAGACAAAACATAAATGAAGGCTTATCTGATATTTTTAAAAGAAAAAACGCAAAATGTTTTAAATAGCACTAAATTTTGTCATTACTTAGCCTGATACCTGTTGATTTAGATCAACAGGCAGTTAGTAAAGATAGATCGTTTAATTTGCACACTTTGATGAGTTTTTATTTTTTGTCGACCCAAAAAATAAGGAATTAAATTGCTTAAGATGAGACTTAATCTTTCAAATAAATGTGTGTACTTCATTTTGAAATAAATACTTAGTTGTTAAGTGGTATTTGAGAGTTTCTGTTAAACAATAGAGACGGAGATTACTTTCTGAAAACTACTTCAGATATTATTGGGTCAATAAACGTTAAAGTCATAATCGCGTTACTTGAGATTATCTCCAAATGCAACGAGGCAGCGACGTTAATACATTTAGTGACTGTTCTCCGTTTTTGCACGGAAACGCTAGTTTCCTTAAGAAAATATACGTATTATTGTATTTACGTACAATTCGACATGGTTTATTAACGCATAGACAGATTTGTGGTGGACCAAACAATATACTAACTCAAAAAGTTACTGATGACAAATGATTATATATATATATATATATATATATATATATATATATATATATATATATATATATATATATATATAGTTAAATGTTATAAACACAGTGAAAATGATGGACATTACTTAGTTCATCAGATTAGTGGAGATATGCCTGACAAGCTTATTTTGTAAATAAACTTGTCAGGCATATCTCCACAGATTCAGTGAGTTGTTTTTAGCAAATATCATTTCTATCGCATCATAACAAATATCTCAACGAAAATTAACCTTCAGTTTTTATTCACCGAAAAATCCCTAACAGTTGTTTTTAGCTTAACATAACTCCACTTCTTTGTGTTTCTTTCAAGAAGATCCGCTCCTAATGTTTACAAGAACAACACGCGTTTTTAGGAGGACTTTGTCTTGATATTTCCTTTGAAAACTTTAAACGACCGATTTATAAATCGCAATCACTGCAGTTCTGTATCGCTTATAGTTCTAAATAGGTCTCAAGGATAAATAGTTTTGTAAGTCATAAAAATCCATGCTAGTCTCATTGGTTTTACTGGACACACCCCTAACTGAAGGAGCTTAGTCTGACATCCGCACCAGATCACGACTGTGTAAGGGACGCTAAGTATCTTTTATGAAAAATAGTCAGCTGAGGCCAAATACTTTTCAACGCATAGACCATATTCCAAATACATCTTTAAACCCCTTCATTTCTGACTTTTGTTTTGTCAGGCTTTGAGATACCCAGTTAATGATAACAGAGATGTCAAGCGTTGAGTACCTGCGACATGTTTTTTAATATCAAAACACGAATTCCTATACACCTATATATCGTAAAGGAGAAAAGCCGACGTAAAGTTCACTGATCTTTATCAGAGACTGTATGGGAAAACACTAATGCATATCTTAATTGTTTCCCAATTATTTGACCATTTAGAATACGATTGTTAACGAGTAGTCCAACGCTTACATACTTCAGTTTCAATAACAATTAGTTTAAGCAGATATTTACATAGCTGTGATCATTTCGTTCTTGCGCTTTTTATGAACGGATCTCTAAAAGGGATGTATCATAAACATGAAATTGGTCTGTCAATGAGGAAACAATAAACAGTGTTTTGTCATACAAAACTTCAATCACGTCAATTACAATCATAGGATTAAAGTGTTAAGAAGTATTTCCAAATGTTATTGAGGTTAAACCAAAACCGAGCCGACAAACTGCGATAAAACTTCAATATTTTTGTTGTCGAAAATCTCATCACAAATCCAAGAAAACATGTTTTAAGTTTAGTTTCTATTTTATTCAATTAATATAGTCTGTGATATAGAAATAAAATCGCAGTTTTGTGTCCGGTAATCTATTTTGTAACGTCTTTATATGCTAGTTTTGAAACCAGGAAGGTTGATTCTTGTTGTGTGATTTTTTAAAGCAAATGTACTGAGTATGTGGTTTAAATACGGCATGATTGAAATTACCGAGACTGTAAAATTATACGAAGAAATCACTCACTCTTGCAAAAAATTCTGATAAGCTCGTCTTTGTTTAACTGACGTACCCACTGAACGAGGAACCTTTTGGCCGATAAACCAGGTCTAACCAAATAAGTACGATGGAACTGTCTATCATCTGAAAAGTCACTGTCCTTTAAAAATCAACAAAGTGAGCTAGGCCATACTTTTAATTCATATTTAAGAACTTCGTTGACTGATATTTTGGCTCCTTTCAAAATTTTCTCTAACGGTTGATGTTTTAGTTTCTCAGAAAGACATAACTCCGTATCCTTCCTCTCCTCATTTAGTTGTGTCTTCGGACATAATCTCAGAACACCATGCTCCGGAATCAAAACTAGTGCTAAATCACGGATATGCGTCTTAGGAAACCGATAACTTCTTGACCTGTTCATGTAAAAACAATCAAAATGAGGCACTTTTCTCAAGCCTAAAAAAGAATGTATTTTCGATGTATTAAAACACTTTACAGCAGCTTTCCATTGAATTAATGTAATTCAAGTTCTTCTGACACATACTGAAGCAATTTATTATCTCACAAACAAAATTCATTTATCTTAGCAGCAAATGTTTACATTTTTGATATTACAGACAATTGAAGCTTTCAAAAAGAATAGGTTTTAAAGTTTACAATGTAATGCGACTTAAAATAGTGAATAGTGTCTGACGTTTAAAGGCTATCTATTAGCACAAAAATCCGTAGTTATAAGAATGTCCGGATATTCTCTTTTTGTGACAACGCTTTAAACCAATTGATTGGCAGAAGATAATTTGTGCCTATTGTATTGCACTTTTATGTCACACTTTCTTATCTGAGAAGTTCCGTCATTACCTAATGAACATTGTGTGCTTTATTTCTACTGTACATGCTGAGCAGGAGTTTGTGTATGTCTTACATGTTTATCTCTGTGTAATATACTGTGACGTTTGGATGGCAATGACTATTGATTGCCTTTTACATCTCAGTGTATAAACAACATTTATTTGTAATTAAGGCCGATTTGTTGAATTTCTCTGACATTTACTCATACTTTGTAGACCATTCGTGAAATCATGGATGTGGGGAACTAGGTACCTACCAGATAACGTTTTGCGGTTGAAAGCTCTGTAATCATAACATGGTAGGAATTACTTTTATTTTTCCCTGATACCATATGTAAAGGTTATACTCACTGGGTATCACTGTGTAGCGGTAAATAATTCCCCAAAATCAATTAGCTCTG